ACATGATCTTCGAGCTATGTATTTTATTTCGCCATCGAGGTAGTTGGACAATTTTATCATAACCTTCAAGAAAAGAATATTCCTTTTTAAAAGGCCGGCAGCACACCTACAATGCCTTTGGTGTTGTGGGTGATCATGGGCAGCGGTAGTCACTTACCATCAGGTGAGCCGCATGCTCGTTTGCCCAATGTCTTGTAAAAGAAAATTTGGCCATCATGCAATTAAGCTCCATTATAGAATTGGTCTCGCCCATCTCCGGTATTGGAACTTCGCGACGAATGATGATGACGATTGACTGTTTACAAAAACCTTCATGTTTTATATACCTAATAATAATATGCATTTTGTAAAAATAAAACGAAAAGAATTAACATCAACATTTTTGTTTTAATCCAAGTTTTTAATTTCAGCACGTGCTTCAATGTATCATCATAAAATACTGTTTTTACCTTGTTCTCCAATTCTTAAGCTTTAATAAACATTTTTTTGTTTACGCTTTACTCCGTTTGAATGAGTTCCGAGAATTATTTGTGTAAACATTTAGCACTCACCGTAGGTGGTCCAATGACGTAAGTACTTGGCTAGCAAATGCAAGGGGGGTATCTATCAATCTGAGTGACTGATGATCCAAATAATAAAAATGTTAGGCATATACCGAAATACTATATTTTCCAACACTATCCCAATTCTTAAATTTATATATTTAAATAAATAATATACTTGTAAGAGATTTTTTATACCTGATATAAAGCTTGAATAATCTCCAAATTTCTTTTCGCTATTCATAGTGGCAAATTTTCAGTATACCATATCATGACGATTAGCTACGGTAGTACAGAGTACCATAACAACCTTAATCCAAATTTATGTTGTCTCTTCTGTAAAACAATTAATTGTATTGCCTATTTACCATTTAAATTATCGACATTAGACACAACAGCGCACGCGTCACACCAGAATTAGGACGATGATAATCGAACCTATACAGATGTATCACAAAGAAAGAAACCACTACAAAGAAAGCTACTTGCATTATATAACAGGTAGATGTAACACCTAAATCGTAAAGTGATGTGAGTTATAACAACCTGCAATACAATTTCCAAACATTAGATAAAAGCTTAGCGACACAGATTAAAACGGAAATTTTCCAATAGTCTAACAATAATATCTTATCATTCTATCAGTAAAATCTTAGCAAAAAGAGACTACAGTTACTAGGTTAGGTACCTAGCAATATAGCAAAACAATTTTTATCATAAATATTACCTTGCTAAAAATATTATACCTAAGTACATGCAATGCAGTAAACAATACAATAAATTATTATTAGTTGTCTATTTAAAAAAAAAGTGTGCTTTGATTTAAATCTTAACGACTTTAAGAAAGTTTCTTACACAAAGTCTATATCACATTGTAATAACTGCTCACACAGAATTCACTTTTCGCGAAACTGATATTCTTAGTAAAAGTAACAAAATTCTGTAGGATTTTGTATCATCAACATTATATCAGCCATTATCTGTCCACTGTTGAATATAGGTCTCACCGGAACGGTCCTGAACCATCTACATCCACTGACTTCTTGCAATAAATTTGAGATCGTCACTCCATCTAGTGAGGAGGTCGTCCTACACTGTGTTTAACGTACGAGCTCGTCACTCAAGAACTTTTCTTGTAGTAGTCTAAGGAGGAGGTCTATGGACAGCAGTAGATAGATAATGGCTGAGATTATATTTCATAAACAATTCCTTTTTTTTTATACAACTTAGAATGGTAAACAAGCTGACAGCCCACCTGATGGAAAGTGGTAACCGTCGCCTATAGACATGAGCAGTACCATGGACATAACAGAGTATACTGTTTCGCCCATGATACCCCCCATGCGTTGCCATTCCTAAGGACTCAGGTGTTATTCCTCTGTACCCAGTAAATTCACGCCATATCCCCCACCCTTTAAACCGAAACACAACCATGCACACACAACTGCTTCACGGTTGAAACACGAATGGGACAGATGTACCCAAGCAATCGACTTTTGTACAAAGTCTCCCTCTAGTATTATTTCCATAACATTGCATAAAAAAAAAAAACTACGTCATACACATATGACAGATACACGTACGCACTGCAACCGTTGATTACATTAGGTTCGGAAAATTTCAGTGTTTTTTTACGTGTAGATTATCCGTGTGATTTTTATATAACACGGATTATTTACTTCTATAGGGTGTTGATGTCCATTATGATAATATCAGAAAAAAATTATATCTTTGATAATATTTAGGTACCCGCCGCGCGTGCGGTCCGCGTGATAACTTAGCCCGTGCGATTGCAGACATCGTGATTCGCACATAATATTATGTGCGCAAAAAGTACGCAACGCGCCACGCACAATACAGACCAAAAAGTCTAGCTGCTTAAATTTCCAAAGTTTAGTGTATTTATTTCTTGTAATGCCTCCGATACGAAGCCATATTTACTATTAATCCATTCATAAACATTCAAATTGTTTTTTTTGGAATTTAGGAGCAAACAAGTCTGCGCTTCACCTAGTGGTAATTACCGCATGCCCATAGGCACCATCAGAGAAATTGCAGATGTGTTGCTGGTATTTTAAAAAGAAATATGTTCTAATTTCGCAAGTTTCAAATTAGTACCTAAACTTTTCTTATTATTTCCAAATAGTGGTGGGCAATCCTAAAAGAATTACTGTGACCTTACACAACGTAAATTGCATATGTAGGTACATATTTTTTTGTTCTCAGTTTGTGATGTCGTAAATTAAAAGACCATATTTATTAAGAATCGTAAAGCCACGGATATTAATTTAAAAAAAAGGATTTTTTTATTACGAATGGCCACAGTATGCTAAATCTAAAAAAATATGCGAATATTATAGGTAATAAATACTACAAATAATAAGAAATCAATATGTTTGCAACGCGATCATACGACAGTTTTAAATGTTAGTTTATAAAATCTGACGTTCTACAGGAAATTAATATTAGACATTTAATAAAAACAGCATGTTACTTCATGTTATTAAATCAGGGCTTACGAACAAAGTGATATGGACTACGGAACCCATTTTTACGCTTTCAAATAATAGCTTGATTTACAAACATAAGCTTTATGTCAATTTTATATATTTTTTGCTTTTTCACTCGATTTAATTAACGGAATGTTATTTGTTAATGTATATGGCTCAAATGCTACATACCTGTTGACACTTTAAGAGGTTTACTATCAAAATATAGCACTTGTAATATCACAATGAGTATATAGTAGTTATTACTAATAGTTTTATTACATGCAACAAATTTAATTCAAATGAATGAATATAAAACTCCGGTTACAGGTGTTTGCAATTTGAAATCTTATCTGTAATTAGCAATCCGCCCTGATTCTTCTTATAGATTTTTTTAAATAATATTATTATTCGCTAATAATGTAGCTTTCTATAAGTAAAAGAATATTTAAAATGTAATTAATATAATAACATATTTCCAAACCTGAAATAGACTACAACAAACAAGCTATTTGAAACAGCTTGTTTACAAGTACTTAGCTGATTTCTGTACAAAGTTTCGCTTTATCAACGTGCACCGATATTTTTATCACCTTTATGTTGTAGATAAAGGCTATGTTTTATATCCATTCCGTGTTGAATGGACATAGATCATGACGTAACGTCTCGTCAGTTACGTCACAAGTGTTAGGCAACTGAGGGAGAGAAGGGGGAGAACATTATTAGTAATGGGGACTTGTATCTCTTTTTACTTGCAATATAACCTGTCATATCAATCTCCACGCGGCCCCCCTGAATTCGTCATAATGACCAAATGACCTAACTTTTTCCTCACTATTTTACTCCACTGATATGCCGTCATTGTATAACAAATATAGAGATTATAAGGGAAGAAGGGATTAACTAGTAATGCGGAGTACCAGGCCCATTGCTAGCAATATATCCTGTCAGGTCGACCTCCAAGTAGTCCCCCCTGGAAACCATTGTTCTGAATTCCTGGTATATTTTTCACGTAGAGCTAACTGACCTGCCTTTTCATCTCACCTATCATCCCTCACTGGTGCCCCACCAACGTACACCATTAGCGCAGGCAGGGTAACCATTCCATTAAAAAATAGAGAAGTGCGCCATTCCATCTCTATCCTATTTATTTTTATAAAATTGTTGTAAGGGGCGACTACCATAAAAAAGAAAGTCTAATTATACCAAACCGCCTGGTATACTGGCGAGCGCCTGGCGGGGTACCATTGAAGGATAAGTAAAAGTAGAATCAAGTCAGTTGGTTCATCGTGACGAATTCATCAGGTATTCATCACGATAATTTCTTTAGGATCCATTCTTGACAGAAAGATATCAATGAGTTTTAAAGATTAAGTTAAAAATACACTGTCATACTGTTAATTTAAAATTGACACTATTCCAAATGACACAAGGTCTTAATTAAAATAACTATATTACTAAATTGCAACAAATCTGTATTATTCACTTATTTGGCTCCATGGCACACCAAACAAATCGATAAAATCATCTCCGTTGCCGAATACACACCAGAGACACTAACATTGGTACAAGTTTTGAAGCTTACATCAACAGAACCAGTAAGGGGTCGCTTTACAACGAGATCGGCATATCAGTCGCCTATTGAACCGTGGCCTATTGTACCGGTAATAACTGGACAGCGGCCGCGGCAAGCGGCTCCTGATAACGTTTCCATATTGTACCACACAAATCTACACTCAGTGGCGTAATTCTGCTGTCTGTCACACTAATATGAACTTTATTGTTATTACACAACTTTTTTTTGAAAACATAAAATAGAAAAATAAAAGTATAATTCTTTTGAAAATTTGTATTAACAAATTGAAATGTTTTCTAAGTTGATAAGGGCGTGATGTGAGTAGAGACAGCATGTTCGCGGGGGACTGGCAAGCTTATCAGTGCGTTGTCATTCCGAGACGTTTTATAAGTAAGCGAAGCGTACGACCGCCATCATTGTCCGTAGCGACCGCGCAGTGACCAGTACTAGTGTTAGCTCGCAGACAGTGGATAAGTGTTACGATGTTAGCGTTTCCGCAATGGAATTTGGAGATACCCAACGATGGGTGTAGGATCCAACGATGGATGCCTGTGGACAGGTTCGCGCCCTACCTGGCCAGACCTGTGGTGCTGCCGCCGCTTCCCCCTCAGGTGCGAACACATTTAAAAAAAAAAAAGGAATAAAACAAATACTATATTTAAATGTGTAAAAAAATTACAAAGCGCTATAAGTTACTAAGACAGAATTTATCCTTTTTGCAGGCGGAAGACGAAGATTCATCAGGTGGTTCATCCCCTGAACGTAACACGAATGAGCCTAGTGTAGACGGGGGTGAAACGGTGTGCGGATGGCGTGGATGCGGCGATCGGTTCCCGAGCGTGGCCCGCCTGTCGGCACACGTCGCACGCGCGCACGCACATGCGCTCAGAGATGGACTCTTTTACTGTGGGTGGAAGGGGTGCCTAAGACCACAAAAAGGATTTAATGCTCGGTAACTAAATATTTTATATTCTAAATTAATTTTGACAAACTACAAAAAGGAGGTTTTAATCTATAACATTTGCGTTGTTTGTGTACAAGTATTTTTATATGATTATCAATAGCAAAACTACAAGCCCACTTGATGTTATAACTGTGAACATTTTTTAATTACATTTGTGAACATTTCTTTTCACTTATAATCGAAAGGCTTTACTTCCGTGTACCATGGATAACAAACTTGCTACTAAAACAAACTATATTAAAAACTTACCTATTTTTTCTTTTGTCTGCAGATACAAAATGTTAGTACACGTACGTACTCACACGAATGAGCGCCCGCACATTTGCAATCAATGCAACAAGAGTTTCTCCAGAGCAGAAAATTTGAAAATTCACCTAAGATCCCACTCTGGAGAAAAACCCTATATATGTCCATATGAGGTAAGTTCTAATAAAATTAATATATATTTTTTCATAATAAATATCCACATTTATCTATTTATTGCTTCCTTATTAAATTTTCATTAGTCATGTCAATATTATTTAAAATATATGAATGCATATTTAAAACAGTCAATATATTCCTCTGACTACCCTTGGGCTTATAGTCACTATAATGCATAAAACATAATTGTCTTCAATTATGTTTCCTTAATAGAAAGTACGGTTAGATATTATCAAAATGAATCACGATACGTTTAATTAATAATAACTGTAAATCAACAAACTTAATGATGTTACTGGTACAACTCGGTTCTATAGTTCTACTAATCATCATATAAGTACCTACAATAGCCAATCGATTAACACGAATGCAGTTTGTAATTAAATTTACATTAAAATATGTATTTATTTGTCTACAGGGCTGCGGCAAAGCATACTCAAACTCAAGCGACCGATTCAAACACACGCGCACTCACACAGTCGACAAACCTTATTGCTGCAAAGTACCCGGCTGCAACAAGAGGTACACGGATCCATCCAGCCTAAGGAAACATGTCAAAACCAACAAACACTTCACAACTGAGGAGGCACAACGTCGCGAATCATCTGACGAAGTGCAAAGTTCAGAAACATTTTCACCGCCACGAGAGAACAGCTCGTCCTACAATGTAGAGCCTTCGTCACCACTACAAAACCCGGCATATAGTCCAAACAGAAATACTATATCACCGACCATACCTCCTTACAATCCTATATTGCCCACTATGAGTCCTTCGATCTCTCCACCTATAGGATACTCCCCTTTGATTAATCACATAACATACATAAGACCAGTTGAAACGGCATATCCCATAAGGGTTCCCACACACGAAATGTCATATTTTGAGTACACGCAAATGTATGAACAAGCACATAGAAGTTATTACTCAAGTAGTGTCACATATCCGGTATTAAGGCAAAGTGTAAACGAAAAAGTATACACTTATGAGGACCAGCCTCCATTCGATGATGTACCAATTAAAGAGGCCAAACCAACAGAAAGTTATAGTCCAGCTGAAGACATGCCTTTGAACTTAATATGCACCAAACGAATTGAGTGCAAACCTATTGAAGAGCTCGTCAGGCGTGACTTACCTTTAGATTTAAGTACTAAGAGTTAAAACTATTTATTAAATTATTTATTACTACCTCTATGTATTATTTCAATTATTTCACAATAATAATTTATAGAAAAATTTAATAATATAAAAAGTCCAATCAAATGTTGGCACATAGTTCAGCATATTATGTGCCAACATTTGATTACATATTACAAAACAGATATAAAGAAATTCATGTCTACATAATAATGAAATAACTCTAATTATTTATTATCTTCGTCAATATCGTAGGTAAATTAAAGGTATTAGAAATCAACACTAAGTATAAGATATAGAAAAATATGTAGTATAGTTTATCAATTTATTTCAATATCTTCTAATATTAAATAGGTAAAATCTGACATTTTTCTGAAAACAAACATACCTACAACTTTGTCTATTATATAGGTAATAAGTAAGATATGCTCGAATGCAAACAACAATTTCTTATAGTAGATTACTACATGCAATTTTATAGCAATAAATTTGTTATAACTTTAATAAAAAAAAAAAATACAAAACAGTGCAAATACTGCGACTGCATAGGTATTTCTATTCGACTATGTATATATATTTAAGTATAGAGGAACAATGCAATGAAATTAATAAATACAACGAAACTTAACACCCTAGTTCTTAAGAACTTCAACGCATGAGTGCCCGGAAGCATCTCAATGTTTTTTGTAATGTTTATGATCCAATTTATGTGGATATACTACAGATAGCACCGTCCATGAAATAAAACGTCAGCTTGTTTACCGTTTCAGGTTGCATAAAAAATACTGAAGTGGGTCAGTCAAAAATTCAAATTGATAGAAATTCAAACAACTAATCACTCTTTCGAATCAGACTAATAAACCACTAGCCCCCCATGTATTCTCGTACCTTCCATAAAGATTATTTCTTTAATAGGATGCTAATCACCCAATTAGGGATAATCCTAGATAAAATCCAGGATATTGAATAGGTGTTTATAAGTGATAACTATGTTAAATATATTCTTAAATAGTATTTATTTTCCAGAAATACTTCAACAATTTCCAATGGTCCCTCCAACAACATAATTTCACAAACAACTTTCTGCAGGTCAAAGGTTTTTTCAACGCGCTTTCCGGGTCGAATTTTCTAGAATCTCAATATACAATTCATATGAGTAAGACATGCGTAATCCAGTAAGGTAGAAAAATATATTGGTTCTAAGCACGTACAAGACGGGACATGCCATCGGCGATAGTGTTAAGCGCGGCGAGGTCCTTCCGAGCGGTGTCTAACAAATGCGCCATACCGCGCTGTTGCAGTGTGAGAAATTGCTTCACGTCTTCTTGGGCACCTGTATGACAAAATATATAAAATTGTTGTATTTTTGTTCACCATAACTTGATAATTGATAGATACGTTGATACGTAACATATACAGCGAAATACCACTAACTAATCGTGATACCTACAAAGTCATAAAGCCTATTAGATGTTCCTCGTGACAAGTCTTCATTAAAGAATTTTGAAAAGAACCGTTATTCTTAAATACTTCAAATCTCTTAAGAAATGTGTATAAATGTTGAAAATCATAAACCCTATTCCTGCTACTTATACCAATAACTATATGATTTACGCTACAATATATTATCGTATACTTAAAAACATGTAAATAAACATCAATAAGGAAATCCAACCATGATTTTGTATGAAAGCCAACATTTTAATCCGTCCCATGCTTATAATCAATAGCTTTTATGTCACAAACTGGCAAACGGCCCGGCTGATTGCAATCAACTACAGTCTCGTATAATTATAGAATTATGTAAAAAATAGTCATACAAATAATACATGATAACTTACCAGGGTCAAGATGATAACGTTCGTGTGATGCGCCCGCGCTCGCACTACGTTGAAGCCTCACAGCACACAGCAATTCGTTTAGACGACCCTAAAACAAAATATTGAAAACAATTTTAAAAACCATTTTTTACGATAAGAAACGAGAGTATTAGACGTAAGCTAATGGTTATGACCACAGATATCGTAATATGCTAATAGACGATATTAGAGGATATTTAAAAAAAAAATATACGGAGTCCTTAATAAAACCAATAGAAGCCAAAATAATTTTTAATTTTTTTTCTATATGTGTATATGTTTGTTCAGGTATCACGATAAAACTACAACACCAAATTGAATGCGATTTTCATAGCTGTGCTCTATATTACTATTTCTTCCATATAGTATTTTATGGTGAAATTATTCACTATAACGCTAACAGTCTAAAATTGCCTCTAGCTCATGTAACGTTTTAGTATAAGGGAATTTAAAATAGTAGTGCTTTAGATAATTAACCACATTACTTTGTTCTATTTATAGCGCTATAATACAATAACAATAATTGTTATACATTGAACACAAAGTGCAGAGTACAAAAAACAACATTATCTATTTTAGATTGGGCAACGATAAGATATGATACCGTAGACCCCCTTCTAGTAAGAAAAGCTTAGTAAGGAAAATATTATAGTTTTTATTAAACTAGCTAGTTGACGTGGCAAACGTTGTTCTGCCCCTACCACCATCTACCACGTCCATTTTTCTTATTGACCTTTTTTCTACAACTATGAATGGTAAACAAGCTATCGGCCCACTCTTGATTAATTAACATTTCGTATTTAAAAAAAAAAACTTCATCAAACGAGGTTAATTGGGGGTAAATAACAGAATAAGCCCCATAGATTACAAAACAATCACCAAAATCGGTTCAAAATTAAAGAAAATATAGCGTACCATTCATTCAAAAGTATACAGGGGAATTGAAAACATTCACCTTTTTTGAAATACTCATCATCATCTTCCAACCCATATCCCAAGGGGGGAAAGGGATTGTTAGTAATGGATACTGAGAACCCCATTGCTAGCAATATACCCAACCAAGTCGATCTCCTCGCAGTTCTCCTTGTAAACTATCATAGATAATTCCTGATGAATTCATCATGTTGGGCTAACTGGCCTGTTTTCATTCTCATCTATCACCCTTCACTGGTGCTCCGCCAGCGTATCCCGTTAGCGCAGGCGGGGTTACCATACCATTTTCACCCATTAAAAAAAACCATATCCCAATTATTATTTGAGGTCGACTTAATGTTTTAAATAATATTTTTAATTTTTTAATTTTTGATATACTAATTTAATAAAATACTGGTAATAACGGGACAGATAAGAGGGAGGATAACCAGAGGGAGACTTTATACAAAAGTCGTTTGCTTGGGCACCTTTGTCCCATTTGTGTTTCTACCATGAAGCAGTTGTGTTTGCATGGCTCTGTTTCGGTTTAAAGGGTGGGATATGGCAATGAATTTACAAAGTACAGAGAAATAACACCTGAGTCCTAAGGAATGGCAACGCATAGGGGGTATCATGGGCGAAACAATATACTCTGTTATATTCATGGTACTGCTCATATCTATAATAGATATAATATATATAAAAGATAATATAATACTTGGTTACCGATACAATGAATATGGCTTGGCAAAACCGTCGTGGTTAATTCCAGGCGAATTCTTTACGTTGGGTCCACAGAGTCATCCTCACCAATCATCTCTCACTAATACCCAGCCAAACCGATAGTGTAGACAAGATTACCATTCCATAATCATCCATAAAAAAAATTATGTAATATCAGTACATTGTTCAGTTAGCGACTTTAGACCAAAGGCAGATGTGTAGCGGGGGTGGTTCGTCTACCAATAAGTACTATACGGAGAGTAATCTAAAATCGAATAAATTAGCAAGATAAGGTGCTATTGGATTTGAAAAAGACCCTATGGGTACATGGTACTTGGTACACATATATCCTAACCTTTTTTCCTTTTTCAGTTATTATAACTATTAACAAAAATTGTTGCTGATAATGAGATACAAAAATCCTTTCAAAATCAAAAATATTACGTTTGAAAAATTATTAGATATAAGTAGTTATTTATTTATATCTAAAAATTTCAAAGGTGTCAAAACCTATCGAATTAATATCTTATCAAAAGGTTTTTTGAACATTGGCCAGACATGATTTGAGCGTCATTTGTCATATCAATTAATAGTTATTGCACAATTGTTATAATTTATCAACTATTTTAGGGGAGAGAGATGTGCAGCAGCGTCCCTCTTAAAACATCTTCAAAGCCTAACTGCGGTTGGCAATTCGCCCGTCAATCGCGGCAACTATTGGCAAAACTCCAACGTTAAGGTCCACAATAGATTAATAATTGAATTTTACAATATGTTGATGAAAAACATATTGAAAAATTCAATGTGTTGACAATACTTCGAACGCGCGCGCGCCTCTTCTAAACCTCTTATTTCGCCGTGTTTACTATTCCAAGTCGCTGAAAACTAATAAAAAGCTATGCTATCATCCTTGCCTCAATGATATAGGCCCATCCCCCATGGATATTCCAACGGAAACGTCTTAGTAAAACTATGAAACGGTGATGCACTACCCCAGAATTGTTCCGAAAGACAGACTTTATACGACATATTTTACTCTATAAACATATTTTTATTGCCAACTTATTATCAGTTTTAACACAACGATTGTATAAGTTAACATCCTTGTACTGCGCATTGCATTAGAATATTGCGCATTAAAATAATTTCAGATCGTATTCCATAAAAAAAAAACGTATGATCCCGGCATAGAATGGGCCACACCTTCCCTTCACATAAGGGCGGCTAAGGAAACTTAATAGTCGAAGGAATGGCAGTAGCGTATCTCTTAAAACATCACTAAAGCCAAATGCAGTTGCCAATCCGCCTGTCAAGCGTAGCAACTACTGACAAAACAACCATTATGAGAGAGACCGTTAACTGCCCACTGCTGACCATCAGCAGTGGGCAGTTAACGGTTGATATGATTCCACAAAAAAAAACCCGAGCACAATTAATATCAATTATTTTGATTTAAAAAGTCCAATTATTTATTTTAAAACCAATCTACTGAACTGATTTTGATAAAATTTATATCGAACCAATCTGAAAGTTCCAGATATTAATTAATTTCCAAAATCGGTTATGCCGGAGTTATGAGGTATTAAACAAAAAAAAAATACCACATCAACACACCAAATTAAGAACCTCCTTTTTTGAATTCGGTTGAAAATAACAATTACAAACTTTAAATATAGAATGTACCTGTTTTTTTTTTCTTTTTGATTGAAACTACTCCGAACAAAGAACGATATTTAGTTTAATAACGATACACTGATTTTCTATTCAGTTGCTTCAAAGACAAAAAAAAATTAGGACCTATGAATACAGATAACATCGAAATCATTAGCCATACGTAAAAGTAAAAATCTACCCATGCTATAGAAAGTATTAGAACAAAATTTGCATTAATTAAAAATTGAAAAATAAGAAAAAAATTCGCAAAGAACTCTTAATAGCTGAACGCTTAATTATGTGAGGCTTACATTTTTTTTTGTTTTTCATTTTCTATATATACTAAAACCAAATTTTTATACAAAATGTAAAATATTTGCATGCCTACATCTTTTAAGGCAATAAAACAGGTGCCAAAATAATACCACGTGGCTTGCAATAATTTTAAACTGTTTAATGCAAATAAACTCATTTCATTTGATTTCAAATTTTGGGCAAAAATTACTTATAGGCTATATGTCACTCATACCCAAAATTTTTATTTATCTTTCAGTATAAACAGTTAAACATGAAATTCAAATAAATCACAGTGCTAAATCATCATCATCATCATATGAACCTGTCCTGTCCACTGCTGAACATAAGCCTCTCCCTTGAGGGTGTTTTGCCAGTAGTTGCCACGCTTAGCAGGTGGATTGACAACCGCAATTAAGCTTTAGGGATGATTTAAGAGGGACACTGCTGCCCATCCCTCGCCCTCCCTTAGTCGGCACTTACGACACCCACGAGAAAGGAATAGTAACCTGTTCTATGCCGGGACCACACGGCTACAAACAAGTGCTAAATATTTTATATAAATTTAATAAGAATTGGTACAGAAATTAGCAGCGCGTCAAACTTTCCACTAAAAACAATTAACTTCATTAATGTCTCCTATTGTATTTAGTACTGTACCTATTTACCTACTTATAAGCAGTGAAGTTTACCTTCACGTTCACTCGTTTCCAACATGATAATATTATAGTATATTTGATCACAAACATAACCAGTTTAAACTGGTTCCGAAAATGTTTAGTGATAACGAGTCTTTTCAAAGGATTATATCTAAAGATAAGATGTCAAACCCCAATGCAAAAATATTATGATAGCGTGTATTACAGTTACAAAGGCCTATAATTAATTGAAGTCTCGCTATTATTGGCCATGTCTACAGGGTAAGTGAGGAGGAAAACAATGAGTTCCAAAATTATTTTCTGTTAATGTATAATACTTCTGTTTCAACATAGGTCAAAATTGAGAAAAGTAAAGAAGAAAAAAATTTCCGGTCAGAATAAGAAGCACAAATGGGAGCCCCGTTATAAGAGGCTTGAGTGTTACTTTGAGCTCGAACATAATAAAAACCAATCACTCAGTACAATATCTAACACGAAGAACACCTTAGTACTCTAGAAGAACGATAATGCACGAGGGGTGCCATGGAAGACATTTTGTGATGTCAACAATATTGTACCTACATAGTACCATCAGATGCGATTGATAAAAATCCCTAGGGATACCTACATAATATATAATAGTCTTAGATAGCTACTCGTACATTTTATCTTTATTTGCAAAATATTTTATAATATATATAAAATATTTTTATTTTTATAACTTATGTTTTTTAATACAATGTCTATATACATGTACAAAGGGAATTTAACTAAGTCGAAATGAAACAATTGTAAGAAACAAGTTGTTAAATTCCCGTTGTGCGTGTATGTAGACATCGTAGATATGAGTAGGCATATATATTAAAAGTAAAATGACTTATTGTCACATCTTTTTATTTTTATGACTGGAAGTCTATTATGGGTATCATCATCATCATCATCATCATATCAGCCTTTAACTGTCCACTGCTGAACATAAGCCTCCCCTTGGAGGATTTTACCAGTAGTTGCCACGCTTGGCAGGCAGGTTGGCAACCGCAGTTAGGCCTTAGAGATGTTTTAAGAGGGACGCTGCTGCCCATCCGTCGCCCTCCTTAGTTGATTCTTACGACACCCACAGAAAAGGAAGGGGTGGCCTATTCTATGCCGAGAACACGCGGCAATTAAGGGTATATCACAGTATATATATTTATAATATATGCCTAATACCCTATATTATTATATTCGCCTTGCCAAAACGTAATATATGTCAGCAATCGACGCAATAATTTCTTATCGCGCATGCCATCAGGCATTTGAAATACTGCTTATCTGGACACTCAGACAGGTAGGTCTCCAAGATATCGTTATTTTTGAAGTGTATATTATCATAAAAGCTATTTTTATATTTTCGCAGGTGAATTAAAACACAGAATCAGTATCCATAAATAATTAAATTGATTATTTCTTCTGTGAGTATTCCTATGCGTTATATACTTTATATGGAATGACAAATAAACTAAATAATACCTGTCTGAAAATGGTAATCTCAAATTTTTGTGGGCAAAATGCTTCTCAATAATTTTTTTTACACAACTTAGAATGGCAAACAAGCTAACGGAAAGTGGTAACCGTCGCCTATAGACATGAGCAGTACCATGGAAATAACAGAGTATACTGTTTCGCCCATGATACTCCCCATACGTTGCCATTCCTGAGGACTCAGGTGTTATTCCTCTGTACCCAGTAAATTCACGCCATATCCCACCCTTCAAACCGAAACACAGCTATACAAACACAACTATTTTAAGGTTAAAACACGAATGAGACAGAGTTATCCAAGCAAATGACTTTTGTACAGTCTCCCTCTGGTATAAAAAGTATTTATTCATAATACTACTACTAGAAATCATATAAAGGAGCAGCTTCTAGCGTTTAGGGTTTCTAAACCGCGTTCATTATACACGAGGGTTTCTAAACCTCTGATACGAATAACTTGAGACCGCAACGCAAAACGGTCTCAGAAAAATATCTCAAAAGAATAAAAAAAGACTAATGGTTGCGTGATTACTTATACAATTTACCACGTAGTCAAACAAATCGTCACAAAAGATTTATTTATGCAATATATTGAAAATGTAGTAGTAAAATAATCATCAAAAAGGACCTAATTCTATAAAGGTAAAAACAACTGTCACTTCTTAGTGCTTTAACACCTAATGCTTATGAAATTTGATATACACGTAATTTTTGAGTAGGGAGGACGAGGATACTTTTTATTCAGATTAATTATATATGTTCGTAAAGTAGACGAAGTCGCGGGCACATAATATATGACTACTTAACAGTATAATCCAAAGCGGGTCCTCCGTTGTCGTTACTGATGCGATCAGCGCTCGTGATAACGGAACTACCACCATAGCACCTTTACATGTCTGATGTCTGGAGATAAGCCGATAATTCACAGATAAGCCAGCACGAACAGGACGAGTGTTATGAAACATTCAGACAAGGTCAGCCGTAATCGCGACGAAAGATAATGAATTGTCCTATGGTAATGTACTCGAGGCCTATGCGTGATTTTGTTAAGGTAAATGATAATCTATATACCTATATTAAAGTCAAACACTACTTACTGTTTAATCGCAATATCGCAAAAATTTGTTTGATCTACGATACTATAAATTAGTAGGTACATTCGTTATATGTGAATATTAAATTATGAAATTTCGGATGACATACTATAATTTCTGAAAAGACCAAACTTTTTGCAAAAGTCTTTTTAAAAAAGAGAATTTGTACAAAAGTCGTTTGCTTGAGTACCTCTTTCCCATTCGTGCATGGGAGGTATCATGGGCGAGACATTATACTTTGTTAGGTCCTTAGTACTGTTCATGACTATAGGCCACAGTAACCACTTTAATCAAGTGGGCCGTCAGCTCATTTGACATTCTAAGTTGTATAAAAAAATAAGCAACATTGTTTGAATAGAACTTAATAAAAATAATATAATTTCTAAATAAAATTAATTACAAATAGAAACAATCAATATTTTTTTATTTGTACTTCTATTGGACTTTAGCAGATTGTCTATGATAGGGTTAATTAATTGTTTATTCACATTTTTGAAACAGACTATACACATATGTCAATATACATTACTAGATTATCGCCCACTATTTCGTAAGCGTGGATTTCGGAAGTAGAAAAACCAATCAAATAAACCACATTTAAATATCGTATCAAAATCATACACACACCGGTTTTTAAGTTAAACTTTCAGGAACAGCAATGAAAACCATCTCCAATTCGGTGCAGTAGTTTTTGCATGATACCAGAACAAACTTATAGATGGACATGGAGACAAAACTTCCTAAAATTTTTGTTTTGGTTACTTAGGTCTTATTACACCTTATATCAATTTTTCTTAAATATTTCCCCATGTACAAACCTCGTTTAATTCCAATTTTATTATGCTAATAAAATTAATTATGAAATGAAAACAAATCTGTTACTCCATGCACACGAACAAGTCTTCTAGCATGGTAATGGTAAATACTAATTGTGACTACAGCTTTGTCCGGGTAATAATCGGAATTAATTTATTCGTGGGGTGGTCACTCTTTAGTGCCAACTCCAGTTTGTGAACGAAGCTTTCAGTTATACACAAACATAATCTATATCTTTACTTCTTTACTTTACGGTTTCCAAAACTCCGTCCGACATGTCTACGTTTGTTATGTATTTAAGAACATAAGTACCATATATATCATGCAGTAATATTATTAAGCTATCATTGAAAGACTAACTGACCTGCTTTCATCCTCACCTATTATCTCTCCCTGGTGCCCCGCCAGCGTATACCAATAGCACAGACATTAAAAAAATAACTGCTGTACCTCACTCATCAAATCACACGAAGCTATGCTCTTAGCAGCAACTTACTACCTATCAGCAATAGCTGACAGTAACCGCTTGAGTTTTTTTTTTTTTTAATGGATGATAATGTAATGATAACCCCGCCTGCGCTATCGGTATACGATGGCGTGACACCAGTGAGGGATGATAGATGACTATGAAAGCAGGTCAGTTAGCCCATCATGACAAATTCTACTAGAATTAATCATGATGGTTTCCAGGGAGAACCACGTGGAGGTCGACCTGATAGGCTGTATTGCTAGCAATGAGTCAATTAGACCCCATTACTAACAATTCCATTCTCCCCACCGCTTGATAGTAGAAATAGGAAGCTTTATACCTGTCATACTAAATAGATCACATGACCTAACTGGTTTAGAGTGACGACCATTACGACATCTAAGTTTCAACTATTTTTATATTATTGATAAAAACATTATAATCTAGGAAATGTTATCCAAGTCCTTTTGTTTATCAAGTTATTTATCGCACATAGGTCATGTTTCAAACATGCCTTATTGCGGTATCAACGATATAGATAAAGCTACATATCTACAGACACTGTATCTGGCAGACACAAAAGAAACAATACATATCGATCTCTAATAATTACATACACTGAATATATGCGTATATTCATATCCTGCGCACGTGATAGCGTGTTACAATCTCATAATGACACTACGGCATCGTATCTATTCAATCGTTAAAACCATTCATTTTTTCACCCTCGATTCTAAAGTGGTTCATTTATAATAACATGGTATCCATTTCGTATATTTTTTTATGGGTGAAAATGGTATGGTTACCCCGCCTGCGCTAACGAGATACGCTGACGGAGCACCACTGAAGGGTGATAGATGAGAATGAAAACAGCCCAGTTAGCCCATCATAATGAATTCATCAGGAATTAACCATGAAAGTTTCCAGAGAACCGCAAGGAGGTCAACCTGGCTGGGTATATTGCTAGCAATGGGATTCTCAGTCTTCATTACCAACAATCCCTTTCCCCTTCGTATTACATTTTCAATTGCTTATTTATAAATATATAGAAATAAGTGGGTAGATGAAAAAAAAATCTGCTTAGGAAATAAGGACATGACAGTACTACATCAGTCTCTCGTAACCGCGGCCGATGTAACTTAGTCGATAGTCGACCTATCGACTAAGTTACATCGGCCGCTCCTCCAGATTAATTATCTTTCATAAACCATAAACCATGCAATGCGAAAATCAAAATTTTTTGTTACTTTCCTTTAAAAATGGGAATTTAACACAAAAATTACTTCATTTAATTAACTTTATATACTATTAATAGTTCATATAGCTGCTTAGTGATAGAAGCACAAGAAAATATAACCTTAAGTACTAGGAAATGTAAATAGAAAAACACATGTCACATCACTCTGATTAAAGCACACAGTCATGGTTAAAACTGTGCTGAAGAAAATCAAAGATCACATACATTGATTTATCGATGTACTAAGATTTAACAATATCTCATCCTATTCCTCATATAGCGCAATTCCTAAAGAATGGAACTAATAAGTACAATTCCTGAAAGAATGCTTCTGCATACCCAGTAACTTCACCGCCTTACTTTACCTTCTCTTTTTCTTGTCTTCCTTTCAAATCGAAAAAAGACATGTAAGCACAACTGCTTTATTATTATTATATAAGGCGAGTTTTGCCAGTAGTTGTCACGCTTGCCAGGCGAGTTGGCATCCGCAGTTAGGCTTTTAGAGATGTTTTAAGAGGGGCGCTGCTGCTCATCCCTTCCCCTCTCTTAGTCGCCTCTTACAACATCCACGGAAAAAGTAGGGGTGGCCCATTTTATGCCTGGCACACACGGCGTTAATTAATACTTATTTAAGTAAAGGATGAAGAAGTATTAGTATAGTTACGTTGTATAGCGGCGGCGCAGCGAGTTGCGACGCGAGCTCGTGCAAGCGGGCGCGCGCCGCCTCCTCCTCCGGCGACAACGCGGCGCCCACGCGGCCCGTCACCTCCTGCCGCGATATCACCTGCCACATAACACCACACATAAATTTACAATCTATAATTTTTATACTAACACCTATACCTTGATATGGGAGGGGAAGCGATTTTTAGTAATGGAGTCTAACTGACCTATTCACGTAAGACACAACCTACAAGGTTAACCTGATAGGGTGTGTCCCTATCAGGTTAACCTCCACGCGGTTTCCTCCGGAAACCATCGTGATTAATTTTAGTGAAATTTGTCACGATAGGCTAATTGACCTGCTTTCATCGTCACTTATCATCAATCACTGGTGCCCCGTCAACGTATTTTAATGGATAATAATGGAATAGCAACCCCACCAGCCCTGAAACAGGTCCATTGATCTATCGTGACGGATTCAACAATAAATCAATAGCGATGATTTCCAGGGGGAACCGCACGAAGGTCGACCTGATCGGGTATATTGCTAACAACGGGATTGCTAATCCCCAGTTTTGACAATCGCTTCTCCGCCCTGGAGCCGATCACACATACTTTTTTATGCTTGATCTTGAAATTAAATAGTTGAATAAAGTAGTTTGACAAAACAATTTGGTTTAAGGGTAAATAAAGTAAATGGAAGGTGGAGCGCGACCTGCAGCAGCGTGTGGCGCAGCGCGTGCAGGCGCGCGGTCATGTGCGCGAGGCGTGCGGCGGAAGCGGCGCGGCGCGTGCGCAGCTCGGCCAGCGTGTCGGCGGCGCGCCGCAGCCAGCTCGCCTGCAGCCGCGCCTCCTCCGACTGGCAGCGCGCGCGAAACTTAATCTACCACAAGTACATTTCGATGCGTAAAAAAACACATAACACACACAGGCGACGTAGTATACTCAGTTATATTCATGGCACTATTTAAGTCTACCGGCGACGGTTACTACTTTCGATCAGATAGGCCATCAGCTTGTTTGCCATTCTAAGTTGCATAAAAAAAAATAGTGTTTTCAATCGTGACAAAAATTTTGGGCCATTACAAAAGCCTTATTAATTACAAATATAAACAGAAGGCTCTACCACCCATATTTTGGGCGGACAACTTTGTAAAATGTATACCTAATTAAACAAATAAAAAAACAAAAATAAATTGCAATAGTATTCTTCTGAAACGAGTTCATTATTTACCTCTGTGAACCCGATGATCGGTACTGGGATGTAATTTTCAGGATCAGGGTTGTCCGCTTGAGCTTGCTTCCATAACCGCATATCCATACCTAAAATTTATTTATTTATACTTGAGACGGAGGATCAAACATACATAAATAACAGAACTACTTGAAACATTAATGTATAAACTTTAAAATCTTGGTATTCTTGCCTATATTATTATATAAAAAAAATGTATAATGTCTAACTGATATTTTCCATATTATATACAAAATTTTCTAATTTTTTCTAAAATTAACTAGAAAAATGATGGGGAGAAATTGTTAGCAATGGAGTTTGACAGCCCCAATTTGCAAGCAATGTGCCCTATTAGGTCGACCTCCACGTGGTTCTCCCTGGAAACTATCGTGAACAATTCTTGTTGAATTTGTCATGACGGGTTAATTGACCTACCTCATCCTCACCTATCATCCTTCACTGGTGCCCCGCCGGTGTATACCGATAGCGCGGATGGGTTTATCATTCCATTATCACCCATTAAAAAAAACTAAAAGAATGGTAATGGGCACTAAGTTCACCTTTACCGTGTTCTTGGAGTAGTCAATAAAGCTAAATGTAAATATATATAAAATGGTTAATTCAGAATAAAATTCAGAATTAATTTAGAATAAATTAATTCCTAATTAAAAATTAAGAACACTGATTCCATGTAGAAGAGAAGTTTAGTACTGTGTATAGCCTTAGCATGTTTAGGAGTTTAGGAGAATAATAGAGAGTTCAATTTATATCTGAGTACAGTATTTTGACAATTTAACAATAGGTATTATTCTACTCATCGGTTGATTACGATTTTTGGACCAAAACCTTGTCTAAAATATCATTCAAATTTATTCATGACTGCCTAAAAAAGTAGTATATGTAAGTTTCTTACTTCACTATAAGTTTTAATGTTTGAACAGATTTAAATATATGAGGCAAAGCCAGCTTTTTATATTTTTTTATAAACACTCAGGTTATGAAATGAGCTCCCTGCCGAGGTTTTCCCAAGAGACTACAGCATGGAGTTCTTCAAAGGGGGGGTAAAGAAGTTTCTTCAGGGTCGGCAACGCACGCGTAATACCTCTAGTATCGCAGGCGTTCATAGGCTATGGTAACCGCCTACCATCAGGTGGGCCGTATGCTTATTTGCCACCTCAGTGGTATAAAAAATTAAAAAAAATCCTTTTCGGCAGGACGATCGCGTTGTTTGATTAGCAGAATGTATACAGAGTGGCGAGGGTGGCAAGGAAGTGGCGTGCGTACCGGGCGGCGGCGTGGCGAGGTAGTGCGCACGCGCGGCGGGAGAGGGCGCTGTGGCGGGCGCGAGCGCGCTGCAGCCGGCGCCCGCCAGCGCCGCACGCGCAGCGCCCGCGCCCAGGAACGATCCTAGCTCCGTCGCGCCAACACGCGAACCGCCCGCGTTCTTGTCCACCACGTACACTACCACCTGCACGTACACATACATACATACATACGAAGTTGGGGGAAGGGATTATTAGTAATGGAGAGGCTGGTCCCCATTGCTATCAATATACTCTGTCAGGTCAACCTCCATGCGGTTCCCACTGTAAACCATCGTGACTAATATATCGTTGAATTCATCACGATTGGCTAACTAACCTGCCTTTTCATTCTTCAAGAGAAGGGATTGTTAGCAATGGAGTTGGACAGCCCCATTGCTAGCAATATGCCCTATTAGGTCGACCTCCACGTGGGTCCCCCTGGAAACCATCGTGAATAATTCTTGTTGAATTTGTCACGATGGGTTAACTGACCTGCTCCATCCTCACCTATCATCCTTCACTGATGCTCCGCCCTTGTATACCGATAGCGCAGATGGGGTTACCATTTCATTATCACCCATTAAAAAAAAACCTACAGTAAGTTCGTTTTTTAATGGGTGAAAATAAAATGGTAACCTCATCTACACTAACGGTATACACTGTGAGGCACTAATGACAAATGATAGGTGACGATGAAGACAGGTCAGTTAGCCCATCGTGACGAATTCCAGAAAAATTGGTTGCAACTACAATTAACCTCGAACTGTTTTTTCTACTGACCATAACGAGAGCAAACTATTGAACAAGACCAGCTTTCTTTCCCTTGTCTTTTTCTTGACTTTCCCTATTATGCCGGATCTACACTATATATTGTACATTATAGTGTAGATCCGGCATAACAGAAAAAGTTATAGGATCTCTTAGTAGTCAATCCTCTATATCCTCATATTAGTAGAATTAAGCAAAATAATTCTAGTCAACTAACCAATGATATGGACTTTCGGAAAGTAATATTTGAGTTCCTAAATCAATCGCAATTGCAAATGGGTATTGTACAATATATTACCTGAGTTTTCGTTTCTGAGACAGCCTTTACAGCATCAATATTGACAGCCAAATGAGGTTTATTTCCCAACAAATTAAATAGGGAATTTGTTAATGCTTGCTGATTATTTCTGGAAAGATAATAACATCTATTAATTATATAATACAAATTAAATAATTAATTAGAGCAAAGCATTATTAATATTATATAATGTTAAAGTAACTATTTTGTTCCCACGCAATGACAATAATCCTCGAGCTGATGAACATTTAATACATATTGCAGCCTTAAGCTACAAGTTATAAACCTAAACCAATTTAGAAATTGTTTATTACCAAAATTGTCTCGAGAGACAATTTACGCAAGAAAATTAACCTCTAAATATACAAATATATATATATATATGCTTCTGGCAATCTATTGGGTTGGCAATTTGAAACTAATTCGATTGCGTTAAAATATACAGAAATTACAGGGTACAGATGCATAACATCTTAGTCCTCAGGAATGATAACGCATGAAGGGCATGGGCGACACAGCATACTTTGTTATGTCCATGGTACTATTCACGTCTATAGGCGGCGACGGTTACCACTTTCCATCAGGTAGGCCGTTAGTTTGTTTGCTATTCTAAGTTACATAAAAAAATATAATAAGGAAAAATTCAATAAAGTGCTCTAATAGCTTAATAACAAGTCATTACATAAACAAACGAAAATATAAAAATTTTAAAAAAATATTTTGTTGTATGCATCAACTAAATTAAATTTTCTATTTAAAAAAAAATCATCAATGCAAACAATCACAATATCTTTTATAAGTTATCCTGATTATATTTACACTACACAAATGTTATATATATACAACATACTTTATCTCCTGTTCAGGTTTATTAAACAACATAGCAACATGTCCATCCTTATCCTCTCGTCCACCCAGTCTAGAGTAACCAACTGCTTTGAAACGGCATAATGGGTTCTGTTCGTTCAATTCTAATGGCGGTGCGTTTCGACTGTAATAAGCTTGACCTAAAACAAAAAATAATTGTGCTAAAAACTATAATAAGAATAATACGAATTGGCATTTATTGTGTACACACCTATAATAATATGATATAGTATAATAATGCATTTTAAGGATTATCAATTGGATCTTTAGAGGGTCGTCTATCCTATGAGGTCATCCATTAATCAGGTGATATTTTTGAGCAACTTTTTAACCCGACTGGTGATACATGGTCAGGTTTTAGACCAGTGGTTCCCAACCAGTGGTTCATGGACCACTAGTGGTCCGCAGAAGCTAAAATATGGTCCGTGAACGATTTTAAATTTAGCGGGCATTTAGTCATTGGTCGCCGTGCAATGAGTTATTTCTTATGTAATTTCCTATCGAGTTTTTAATTACAGTTTCAATTTAATTATTACAGTGTATTTTTATTATACCCACATGGTGATTCCTACCAACAAGAATAATATAAAAATGGTTTCCAACCAAGAAAAGGTTGGGAACCCCTGTTTTAGACTAACAAACTGCGAAAATCATGTGTATTTTTTAGTATCAAGTAATCTTAAAAATTATTAGAATATTACCTTTAAATACAATTAAGAAAAGGGACAACGGAAAAAAAGATGGATAGACTGTGTGAAAGATGATATGCATAAAAGAAGGGTGAGCTCGGCAATGACAGTTGACAGAGATTTGTGAAATAAGAAGACATATTACGCCGACACCAAATAAATGGAAAAAGGAAAGGTAATGATAATGGTATTTTTAAATAGAGGTATAATCTAATTTAATTATGGAAAATAAACTACGGTGAAAACATAACCAGACATATTAATGTTGCAAGGGCGAATTAGGATTACGCGCCGCTTTTTTGTTTAGAAATCGTGTGTTTAACAAAAAAATAAATACACGTGATATATCACTATATCCTTCATCATTTTTTTAGTACTTCAGGATTGCGTAATTAACAGCAAACCATCCTCGCTATTGGATACAGGCGAGGGGCCAGCTCGGTATATAGGAGATGGACTCAAGAATGAATGTACACACAGGATATAGTTTATGTGGATAGGTTAATCTTAGACTATTTGAATATATATTAATGTAACTGATTTTTTTTTATTAAATTTATTAAATGTACGCGACTCACCAGTCCCCCATTGAGCTTGTAGTAAGTTCCATTTAGCGAGCACTTGATCCCTCTCGTCACCAAATACAGAACAGTTGAACACAGCAGCCACTAATGCCTCATAAGCAGTTGTCGGACCCTGTTGTTGCTGTTGCTGCTGCTGCAGCTGTTGCTAAAATTCAAAATAATATTTTGTTTAAATATATTTTCTTGTCTGACAGGCCAGCCTTAGAGTACCTAGCACACCTTTCTGTCAATTTTCAAAAACAATTGAATTAATTTTAATATAATATTTCTAAAGAATTATTTAACAACTTAAATATCAAAGACATAATACTTACGTTACATATAAATCTACAACCAAAAAAAATTGCATCTACTAAGAACAGCTTAATAAGGATACTATTGCATGATGAATATTTCAGTTCACTAGCAGAACATATTCTAAATAATGAATTTCAAATTTGTTCAATTGTTTTTGAATGTTAATATATAATTCCAATGTTGCCATACTTCATTAAATGTTTTTGTATAAACACCCTTAACAATTTACAAATAAAAATATATATATGCTAATGACTGTATACTTATAGCATTTTTTTAATATATTGATGTTGATTATACAGCTATTAACTGTTCTCTACTAAACATAGGCCTCTATAGTATTTATTTCATTTATTTAATTTTCTTTTGGCCATCAGCATATCAGTTGCCATATAAAGAGGAAATATGGCTAGCATTTTATCCAATCCATTGGCGTGATTATACCTTATTGTTATATGGTTATAAGTGTACACATACTTGTTGTGGTTGTCCAAAGGCTGTGGTACCTCCAAGTCCAGTCCCAAAACCACCAAAACCGGTTGTTGCTGGTTTATTGCCAAAAGTCGATCCAAATGTAGAACCAGTACCAAAAGTTGATCCACCAAATGTGTTAGAGCCAAGAGTATTAGTACCAAAACTTGTTGCGCCGCTACCAAATGTGGATGTTCCAGCACCAAAAGTTGAGCCAGTACCAAATGCATTCGTTCCAAAACTGCTGGTACCGAAACCTAAAACGATTAAACATTGTAACATTAATAAAAATTAAGTTATTCATATTAAAATACCCTTTCAAATAATTGCATTGGATAAGGACCAATTAAACTTTCATACCGAAGCAAAAAAAGACAATTGAATAACATCATTTGAATTTTAAATTTGATAATTAGATAAAAATACACCATAGACAACTATATAATGTTAATTAATTAAGCTTATGGTTAAACTATCACAAAAAGAAATATTTCAAAGACTAAAAGGTACTTGAATACTTGAGAAAATAGATATTATGTGCAAAAAATTTTAAAGTAATTTCATATGCAACTAATTCTTTGATTATAGTTTATTATTAAAACACTTTTAAAAGTATTAATAATAATTCAATTGTTTAAAAAAAAATCATTAATCCCATCCTTTTCTTACAAATGATAATTTACTCCCTTCTCATTTTAACTATGCTACAATTGAAATTAGCTTAGTTGAAATTGTAATAATAATTTTATCACATTCTCAAAAGTCTATAACATTCTTTAAGTGCAATGAATGACAAAAGATTTCTCTCAAAGAAAATATTTTTCTTATTCTACAAGAAACTAGAAGTAGATTTCCTAGACTTGACCACTATAAAAGCAAGGATCTAATACTGATAAATAACAATGCATAATGGGTAAGAATATATAATCACACCTGTAGTAGGTTTAGCAGCAGTAGATCCAAATCCAGTCCCTCCAAACAAACTAGGTGCTGTTGACGCTGGAGTAGTACCTAGTCCACCAAAAGGCGTAGCTACAAAATATAAATTTTAAAAATTAACAACAGTGGAGTGGCGTTTGTCCACTTCTGATTTATCTGATACCCACCCCAGGATGAGAGCAGAGTTTTTAACTATGCACAGACATATTTTATAATACATAGAGAGATAGATACTCTTTATTGTTTCCTCCAAAATATTACAATAGTAAACTTATTCTATACTACATATATATATATATATATATATATATATATATATATATATATATATATATATATATATATATATATATTATATACTACATATAGAAGGTTTACACAATAAAAATGTACCAAAAATGAAAATTTTACCTTTCATGCTAGTCATAACTGTGTTACAGCAAGGTAATGACTCTCGCTCAAACAACATAATTCTATATGAATTGTAACTACTTAACATAGAAGATATAACAAGTCTATACAAGATAGACATACTTAATGTTTATGGTTATATTTCAACCAAATTATACAATATGCTTCATTATTATAGTCTATGTGCTAAAGACATTGTAAAGTTTAATCAAAAGAGTAACAAGCAACAATCTATCCATTGTTGCAAATTCACATTTATAATATTAATAGGTGGAATATTATTTCTTGCTAAGAAATGATTGACAAATTTTAATCATTAAAACAGTAATAGTTATTCTAAAACTAAGAATAGGGAGAAGTATCATTGTTCTGAAAGCACTATATAAAATTTCATTTTACCTAATATAAAAAACATATTAATATTATAATCTGTAAGACGCAAGCTACCAGTAATATATACTATCTACCTGTGCTTGTTGGTGCTCCAAACGTTCCAAACCCTGATGATGTTGTAGAGGTTCCAAATCCACCAAATCCGGCTGTACTCGTAGTTGCTGTATTTGTACCTCCAAATGAAAATGTGGCTGAAATAATAAACCACTTTAAAATAAATTTTAAGAAATGTGCAAACCAAACATTTTATAGAAATTACATTTTGCTAAAATATGAATTTGTATAATGCCACAGACACAAAAATCAACTAAATATATTACTTCTGTTATCATTTTTGTTCAAGAGTGCATACCAAAATATATTTCAGTCAAGTATTCCAATTATTCATTCTCTTAAAACCTTAATTGGATTATCACAATGATCACCACTAAAAAAAACTACTTACGTTTGGCTGCAGAACCAAATGCAGTACTTTGTGTAGTAGTATTTGAGCCAAATGAAAAAGACATGATAATAAGTAAACAATTCTATAAGATCATTTAAATTCTGATCTTAGTGTTTAATGACATCGACTTATTTGTATCTAGTGCTGGTATGCAATTATTTCTTCCACAAAGAGGGATAATTCTCGTTAAAGTTCCTGTAATAGTACATTAATACGTTACACTTGAGTTCTCTTATACAATAGAAATGGAATGGACCCAATCTGTGCTATGTATATGGTAGCTGGGTACTAATAAATGATAATTGAGAATAGTTTCCGAGGGACCACGGGCATAATAAGAACGTAGGTCTGAAGTACGCTGAAATCAAACAAGCGCATGGTTCAAATTTTGAATAATATTAACCACACACTTCATTTGATTTCACGTTCTTTTTGGTCACATCTTATGACAGTAGAATAGCTATATAATCTACAACTTAGAGAAATAAAACAATATAGCTAAAGGAAGAATGACAATTCAGATAAGTTGATAGATACCTAAATTAAATTTTTAATTTCTATTAAAAGATTAAATAAAAACTAATGCTTTCATTTATCGCTACTTTGTTAGTATCACATTAATGCAAGCTAATGTCACTTTAAACAAACGTTTTCTTGTTATATCTATGTTATCGTCCCCAGCCAATATTATGAAACTATATTCCATCACTAGTTAATATCCGCGACTTTGTCCGCGTGGTATTTATTATTCCTATTTAGTATGTATCGATGTATGTACCTATTTATTATCTCTGAGAATACTGGACTAAAATTACCAAATGATGTGTAATTTTCACTATTTGCCTTAGGTCAAAATGACTACGTAAGTTGTATAATAAGCTGTATAAATTACTATAGTTTTTTTAATATCACACGGAGACTCTTTAATTTTCCGTGATTAAAAGTATCTAAAATGTTGACCGGGAATGTAAGGTACCACCATGCAAAATTTAATTTAAGTCAGTCTAACAGTACAGAACCGTAACACACTTCGACAATGAAGTGGAGGGGAATGTATGAAGACATTTCATGAGTCATATATTCCTTTTATACTCAATACACAATATTGATAGAGGACTTCAACACTAAACTGGGCAAAAGGAAAGATGATGAAACGAGAATGATGAACTTCCATATCGAGCAAAGAAGTCCTAGAAGATAGCAATTTGCTAAATTCATGAAGAAGGAGGAATCCTTTATAAATATTTCTTTCTTCCAAAAGTGACTACACAAAAAATGGAGCCAAGCTAGCCTCGACAGATATAAAGTTTGAAGACTAAGATCTTTAATCAGTGCGTATTGCTAGTGATGACTTATGGAACTGAAACATGGTCCTGGGAAGATTAAGTTGCTTGGAGATTGCTCATGAGGGAAGGATTGTTAGTAATGGAGATGTTAATCCCCTTTGCTAGTGATACACATTATCAGATCAACCTTCACGCGGTTCCCTTGGAAACCATTGTGATTCATTCTTGTTGAATCCGTTACAAGAGGCTAACGAGGGAGGAAGGGTAAAGATAAAGATAAATTTATTTGCCAATAAAACAAATTTGCAAAGGGATTGTTAGTAATAAGGACTAGCAATATACTCTGTTAGGTCGAGCAGCGCGTAGGCCCCTGTAGAAACTATCGTGCTGAATTCCTGGTGTATTCTTCACAATATACAGACCTGCCTATTCATCTTATCTGTTGTCTATCACTGATGCTCTGCCAGCGTATACCGTTAGCGCAAGCGAGGTTACTACTTCATTGTTATCCATTAAAAAAAAGAGGAGATAATGGGTTTTTATTATCACCCACTGGTACCCCACCAACGTATACTGATAGCGCAAATGGAGTTACCATTCCATTATTTTGCACGCGGTACTGGAAACCATCGTAGTTAATTCTAGAAAAATTATTTAGGATAGGCTGACTTGCTTACATCCTCGCCTATAATCTCTCACTTATGGCCCGTCAGCGTAGACCCATAGTGCAGATTACTTTCCACTCTCGCCCTTTAAAAAAACACCTACATGTCTGGAAAATGGCCGACTAGGAAAATTCCGTTATAGAACCTTACTTATATTTTACTGTCTTTGTGTAATTTTGCGGAAGTTCATAACTAATTAATGATTAGAATTATTTTAATTCCGCTACCATTACTATGTGTAACTACTAATATTCAACAACTGACTAGTACTATTACTAACAGAGTACGGAATCTGTAATTATGTTTCATTACCTATTTAGGTATTTTTTATTTACGAACCTAAACAAATTAGGTTTCTATGAAATCTATGCAGTCAGTTGATTGTATTTAAAAAATTGACATCATAAAAGATATAGGAGTATCATATTTACAGAAATTTTGAAGAGAGGCATAACATGTTACGGAATGTGTTTTATGAATATATTTTTGTGTTGGTAGTACTAGGTGGTTTGACACATTCATTTACCTTCCCGTAGCATTAATGAAAGAGCAGTGTCGACTCTTAAATAATTATTATTCGTAAACATAAGACTATTATAAATTTTACAAAAAAAATTGAGTCAACTCAAATAAACTATCTTTATTGCATATCACATCCACAGTTGCCCAATAGTCTGAATAAAATATCTTCATAATTTTTCAAGATGGTAACATAGCAAACAGAACATTCGAGACAAAAAATTAATATGCTTACGTCATTTTTTTTACAATGCTATCTAGAATACAAACACATTGTTAATTGTCATTCAATCAGCAGCAAAATGAGAATGAGATTAAATTATTATGCAATAAACAAATCGGAGTATAGTCTTCGCCTCCCAGGGAATCCGTTATTTCTTTCCTCCAGGAGGCTGTAGTGGTTGGCCTCTTTCTTTTCCACGTAGTTTTATGCCAATTGCCCGTTCAATTTTTCCCAAAACAACATTATTTGGTATTCCGCGGCCGGCTTCGTAGTCATTTACTATTTGTGGCTTTTCACAAATTTTTGTAGCCAAATCTTTCTGACTCATGCCTTTGGCTTGCCGACCTTGCATTATTAACTTGCCCAAATCAAGTGATACTTTTTCATGGCGCAATTCTTCAGTTTCTCTGTCAAGTTTAGCTGTATTTTTAGTAGTAACATGTTGTTTATTGGTTCCGGCACCATATTTTTGTTGAGTTTCTACTGGTAAACCTTGACGGCGTGCAGCGTTTACAGCCTGTTCAGTCTTTAATGCGGATGCTTTAGGTGGTTTTTTGCGAAGAATTGTGACTGTATCCCAATCAGACATTTTAAATTTCTGTAGTCACTGGTTCCACGAATTACTAAATGAAGATATCACTTTGTGATTACAAGAATTTACTTATTTCGTATTGCCGACAAAGAAATGTTAAAGTGATATTTGATGAATTCCAATCTTCAATAGCAGGTGGTAGCAGGCTCTTCACCTTCTCTGTTCTGTGTCTCACTTCACTTCACTCGCCACAGAATGACAGAACCACAGATTTCAAAGATATAGACCTAAGTCAAAGATTTTGAATTAGAATAGATGGGATGCGTAATTCACATAGTGTGTTGCTCGTTGAATTTATGACATTGCCAATGCGTAAGAGAGGAACATACATACATACATATCTGTCACGCCTGTCTCCCATTAGGGTAGGCAGAAACAATGGAACGCCAAATGCTTCGATTCAAACAAACCTCTTTCGCTTCTTCCACATTCATCAATCTTGTCATACTTGTAAGAGAGGAATAGATATATAAAAACGCATCCATTTCTTAAAGTTAATTTTAAACCTAACATGTTATTTCAATAATTTCACAAAATGCCTTGGTCTTTATTTTATGGACGATCATTAACTAAATTTTAATAATTTTGATTTAAATCTATTAGAAAATTAGTTCATATTTACTGTTACAATAATTGCGAAATTTTCGCTATGATATCAAATTGATTTAATTTTAGAGAAAAGTTTACAGAAATGATGTTTCAGAATCGACCCCGATATCTAAATCTAATAATTAATCTATGGTCTCATAGACAATTCTCCTTTTAGTTTTCTGTTGTTTAAACGAAATATGTAATTCTTTGTTATAGAGTTACGCTTCAGTCAAGTCTCGGTAGTGATTATTTTGCTCTGTCGTAGTCTATCTAATTTGTATGTGTTTTGACACGAGCAATAATAAACAAAATACTAAAATTTTGTATCGTTTACCTTAACTAACGATATTTATAATACTTTTTATCACGGGAAGTTTAGAAAATAACCACTATTAAGTTAAAGTAAATAATAATAAATGGGTAACGAAACTGATTCAAATTCCGAAGAAGAAATTTTAGTTTTCGCCGAATTTGGAGACGGTGTCAATATTGACCAATATCGGAGCATTCATGTTTTGGGCATCAACCAAAATAATCCCATTGTTCAGATGGATGAAACTTTTTTTACAGGTAAGTTACTGTACTTAAGTATTCTCCACTGCCCCTAACTACCACATAGTATATAGTTACCAAACACAAAGTGTAATGGTTCTACCTATTTTAGTGATATCTGTATTTTAAAACATATCTGAAAATTATATTTAGTAAATTATCAAATCTTAGTGAGCCAAATTGACAGAATTTAGCTTGAGCTGAGATGACCCATCAGCCAATCAAAACCATAATAATGTATTTATTTTTTTTTATTTTACATAATTGTATATATACAAATGGATATTAAAAGTTTTAACCTAACTATATTCTGCTATACCTAAATTTGCAAAGTTGAGTTAGACTTTATTGTTTGCTATAATATTTGTTGATTTTATATTAGGCAGTATTTATTAAATTTGGTAATTCACAATTAGACAAAATTTCACTAAATTCAATTTAGCAAGCCATTTTTCTTCAAAAATAATGTTGTTTGTTTCAGGCAAATTTGAACAACCTTTAGGCACATTTATGTTCTTTGAAAATGATCCAACCGCACAAAGTTGTGATCCTATTTTTGATAAATTGCCAGAAAAAAGTTTGAAATATGTGTGTAAGACACAGAAATATCTTACTATGGAGCATGCTTATGTTAGTTCAAAAGAAGGAGGTGGTAAGTCATAAAGTCAATCTATACTTATTACCAACATACTGAGTGATTCTTGATTAGTGTTCAATTCTTGATTAGTAGCCAAATTTTAAAATAAACTTTATAATTGGGTATTTATTATGGATTGGTATGTTGTAAAATTCAGATTGAATGAAAAAATCCTAGTCATATACTTATATGAAGTTACAGATAAAAGCTCGTCTATACTTATAAAGAGGACAAATTTGATTATTATTGTTTGTTTATTTGTAATGATTAAACTTAAAAACTACACAACAAATTTTAAAAAATTTCACTATTTGTGAGTGACATAGGCTATACAGTGGCAAACAAGCATACAGCCTGCCTGATGCTAAATGGTCACTCTAGCTTATGGACGCCTCCAACACTAGGGGTGTCATTGTGTCAATGCATTGCCAACCCGAAGAAACCTTAATACACTCATTTTGAAGAACTTCACATTGTAGTCTCTAGAGAAAACCTCATCAGGGAGCTCATTCTGCAGTCTGAGTTTTCATGCGAGAAAACTCCTCTGAAATTACACTGTACTCATATGCTTACAAGCTTATGCTTAAATAGTAGCTATTTATGTTCAAGCTTATGAGGATTAATTCCTTTTCAATGGCGATGTTTTTAATGTTTTATTTATGTTAATCAAGGATACATATATATAATGTAAAAATTTAGTTATGTACTTTATGAAATATTTATTAATGTGATTGCTGTGCCCTTCCAGGGTTCATGTTGATTCTTTACTTTTAATAACTTAAGACCTATATTATTACAACATGTAATAGCAATAAATGATTGAATTGAATTGATTTAAAACGTGGCTGTAGGCATAATTTTAAACAGTTCCTCTGAACATAAGTGTACAAATAGTAGGGTACAAAGGGAGGCAAAGTTTCACCTTAGACTTAAGGGCTCGATACTGCCTTTGAGCTTGGGATTCTCATATGATATAAAATAATTATTTTCGAAAATTGTCCGTGTAAAGCTGGGCTGGATCACCAGTATTTTATATATCACATTATGTATCTAGAATATCTAGTAATAATTAATAGGTATGCTGACTTTTGCCCTTATTTAAACAGAACAGAGTATGCACAGTCAAGATTGTCAACCTGATGATGAGATTCAAGTTGTTAATTTTAAAAATTTACAAGAAGCTCTTCAAAAGTTTCAAAGTATATCAAACTATGAATCAAAGCCAATACCAACTACATCTGAGCAAAGTGATATAACAGAAGATGTCTCCAGTTTATAGTGTAAGTAATTATATAAAAATAATTAAGTCGCCGTGCAGGGTCCCGGCATAAAATGGGCCGCCCTTTCTCTAATGGGTGCCCTGCCAGCATATACCGTTAGCGCAAGTGGGGTCTCCATTCTATTATTATCCATACCTCGTAAAATTAGAAAAAAAAAAAATTGTGGAAACTTTCTTTCTCTCAAAAATCGTAGAAAAACGATACATTTCAACAAATATTTGAAAGTAACAGCAGCACTGTATGCGGAAATCCCAAACAAAAAATCTGTGATGTACTTTTTTTATATTATGTGTTTTAACCTTCGATTCGAAAATACGATCGTATTTTCGAATCTTATTTTACTTAATATAATAAAATTGTAACAAAACGATGTCTGCACGTATAAGATAATTAGGATCCAATATTATGAGGGGTCTTAATAGAACAACTAGAGGCCAACATTATTTATAAAATATTTTATCTCGGAATCGATTATAATGAGAACGCGCCGAGAGCCCCTAGAATGAAGTGATTAATCCAGTACATACAGTCCATTCTCGGGGATTTCCGTAGACCTCAAAACGCTCACACAGTTAGTGTACAGTTCAGTCTCGCGCAGACTTCAGTGTAGGTCTGATCAGTACCTTATATTATTATAAAGTAATCTCGCAGTGTCTAATAATAAATAATTAGTAATTTTAACGGTAAGTTTTAATTATTTCTAACAATATTATTTTTCTGTATTAGTATTTTTTGTTTATAGTAGGTACATAATTATTTTATTATTCTTTCTTAACATAACATATTTACAATCTCTTTATATAATTAGATTACATATTAGATTAAAAATGAGTACGTTACACTACATCAATGTTGACGTCAGTCACTTAGCGTACTAAAATATTTTTACTAGTTTTAAACCGCGTTTTTGTTCGCGTGATTTATGGTATAAAATATCATAAATGTTTATCTAGGATATAATACATATATGTAAAAAAATTCATTCGAATTCGATCCGTACATAATGGTAATTTCTTCAGTGTTTTAAGCACATTTGAATAACATACTTGCATCTAAATATTCAAAATTCTATACAATCTTTCACCCATATATTATAGTCGGATTATTTATAAAGTAAGATTAGATATTTTAACCGACTGTCAATGAAAGAAGAATATAGGATGTATTTAATGATATCTGCTGCGTATGTATACATTATCTCGTCTATTTGTTACGCCATTATGTCTGAACTGACCAATAAAATTTTATAGTAGAGTATCTGTCTACAATAAAATTAAATGACGAACTTCTTTATTTTATACATTCCACTGTCTTTCTTGGAATCATTCTTAATAAGAAGATTTCAAGGGTTCCCTACATTCAAAACCTTGCCACCAAATTAAGTTCGGTGGCGTACGCAGGGCTAAACATTATAATCTAATTAAAATTACAATAATAACTAATTAAAATAAAAAATAAACATTATAATCTAATCTTGGGATTACGAGATTAGTTTTTTAATAGTAGACTTTTTCATAATATAGTCCTATGGAATATTATTAATGGACTAAAGCAGCTGACACCGAATGCGTATTTAGTATTACAAAAATTATGATATATATTATAAAATATTTACAAATTTAGTTATTTACTATCTATTATAAACATTTCGTCATTTATCAGTGTGTGTGTCTCTGTCTGTGTATTCATTATTGAATTCGCTTTTAGGATTCCGTACCAAAAAGGTAAGTATAAAGGAACCCTTATGGTACGACTTTGTCCGTCCGTCCTTCTATCTGTCACAGCTTTATATCACGGCAGCTATTAATGCTATGAATTTGAAATAGTTTTACCTATCATTGGTTCACATATATTACAATGGAAATAATATGTTTTAATTATTTTTTGATTTTTTTGGTACGGGATTCAAAATGGGTAGGTATGTACTAAAATTTCAAAATTGATTTGTTAGTTCAAGTGGGATATCATATGAAAGGACTTCATTTTTACCTTGTTAAACTGACTTATTTATTTTTATGCTGCGTATTCTTATAATTATGATTTTAAATGTCAGGACTCCTGTATATATATTTTTTAAACAAGTTGGATAAAAAATATACAAATACCAAATAAGCTGACTGTCCACCTGATGGAAAGTAGTAATTACTCGTATATTAACTAAACAGCACTTTAAGGATCACACAATATACTGTGACGTTATTTTTGTGACAATAATATCACTTATATTAATATATATATATATGTTTATTTTCTAGATAAGATAAGAGAAGAAAAGAAAACGGAAAGCCATGGATCCAATTTTAAACGAGATTAATCGTAAATATGTAAGAATTAATCAGTACGAAAAAACTTACAACAGTCAAGTAGTACATGCACTTCTGGAGAAAATACTAAAGATAATGCGAGATAAAAACCATCTATTCAAGAGTATGAACCCTAAAATAGCATATTTAGGTAGCTATTATGACGGCTTACGAGTTGGACATGCCACAGAATTTGATATTAATATAGTTTTAAAATTGCCAATTAATTATAAAAATATTGTATTAGATGCAAGCAATAAGGAAGCTTATACTGTTGTTAAAATGCCATCCGAATTTCGAAGGTTGTGTAAAATTCCAATAACGGCAACAAACGGATTCACCGAAACTGAATTCTGGTGTGATAAATTACATCGTCTATCGGTCAAGAAATTCCGATCATGGATGCAAAGCGTTCTAGACTCGGCACTTAGTACATTACCTAAAACAAATGATAAATATTCGATAAAAGTAAATGATAAAATATTTCTAATTACAGCAAAGTTATCGGGCCCTGCTAATACTATCAGTATATATGACAATAATTCCATCATTGACGTAGATTTAGTTCCTACATTTGAATTTAATTTGGAACAAAATAAGCCCAGAAATTGTGCAGTTGACTTTTCGATGGAGATATTTAAATTTAAAAAACAATATTTTATTGTTCCCAAACCGACTGATGATGAATATATATGGAGACTAGCATTTCCATATCAGGAGAAAGCAATAATGAATAATAAAAACAATTTTAAAAGTGCTGTGAAGCTAATTAAGCTTTTAAGGGATACACAAGAATTCAATAAATTGGCGAGTTATTACATTAAAACTTTATTTATATGGGAGATTACAAGGAAACCTAGTAAATTCTGGAGGAAATCTCTCTCGTTTTTAGTGCTTTATATGATGGAAATACTTAGAGATCAATTAAGGAAAAAAGAAATACAAAATTATTGGTCACCTAGACATAATCTTCTGAATACAGTTAAAGAAGAAACATTGGAGAATTGGTGCAACAGACTAACTTATATTATTAACGACATAAAAAAAAATAAAGAAAAAAATCCTTCTATAATAAGACAATACTTTGAAAAACAAACATTTAAACAAGAGAGATTTCATTTTGAATCCAGTCCTAAAACAGTTTCGTTACCTTATAGGTATATATAATCCGAATTACGAAAATATTCACAAAACTAATTTGATGGACATGTCACGAAAGATCAGCAGGTTGAAAGCAAATTGTCTAAAGAACTACGGGTTCTAGAGTAGATGGATGATGATTGTATTCAGTCTTTTATCAAAATTAGGCGTACTCTCAATAATTATTATTTTCAGCATACCATAACAGCAAATAATACTTTGAGTACTGTAACTGTAATATTTAACAAGAAAACTAATGTGTTAATATCATGAACTCAGGTGTTACAGTCAACTTGTCACAATGAGCTGATTATTAAATAATAAAACTGTTTAGTAAATATCTAAATACCTAGCTGTGCTAATTTAACCATATTTATGTAAATAAAATATATAAATACCAACCTACATTGTTTTTTTTTTTTTATTTACAATTAAGTAACACCTTTAGAGTAAGAAATATTGTTTTAAACCCTATTTATATAACCATATAACACCAGAGGGAGACTGTACAAAAGTCGATTGCTTGGGTACCTCTGTCCCATTCATGTTTCAACCGTGAAGCAGTTGTGTTTGCATGGCTGTGTTTCGGTTTGAAGGGTGGAATATGGCGTGAATTTACTGGGTACAGAGGAATAACACCTAAGTCCTCAGGAGTGTCAACGCATGGGGGATATCATGGGCGAAACAGTATACTCTGTTATGTCCATGGTACTGCTCATGTCTATAGGCGACGGTTACCACTTTCCATCAGGTGGGCCATCAGCTTGTTTGCTATTCTAAGTTGCATAAAAAAAAATTACAAAATACATATTAAGGGTGCACACGCATGTAATGATTATTAAGAATTAAACGAATCTTATCGCTTAAAATCTCTTCATTTGAAACTGGTATAATATAATTTCTCACCAAAACAATAAAATAAAATATGTAAACTGGTGACTCATATACTTTCTTTTGTAAATGAGTGAGAGGTAATACGAGTAGGTGAAGATGAAAACAGCTCAGTTAGCTCATCGGGATAAATTCAACAAGAATAAACACGATGGTTGAGGGGGGGGGGGCGTAAGGGTCAACAAAGGAGACGACGTAATACGTTATATTGCTAGCAATGGTGCTGTAAAAGGTATATTGCAAAGTGTAGTAATATGACGGGCAGTATATCTATTGCTAATGTGCCTACGCTACTTAAAAGCTGATACTGGTAGGCTATGTAAGGAGTACGTTATAATACGTTTATGGGTTGAACAGATCCTAGTAAGTGAGGATAAGAACAAACGACTTGGCCCATCGTGATTTATAACACTAGGAATTAATTACGATAGTTTCATCTGGCAACCGCATGGAGGTATATTTGATAAGATTTAAGAGATAAAAATGGAATTTGCATTTCCCTTATAAATATATCCTGGGAAAGTACCAATTAAGGTAATCATTGTTGTATTTATCATTTAATTTCTATGAATAGGCTTATACCTTTGAAAATGGCGCATTTATGCTTTTAGACATGCTATTTGTTAATAACAGTTAATTTGTTTTTTTTTTTTTTTAAAAGGGTGATCAACTACGTATGCGGGTGCGAAAGTACTTAGGGGGCGTTCGAGTATAACGTAATGCTATTTGAAGGGATTGAGGTGATTTTGTAAATCTATTACAGTGTATTACATAGAGTAAGAAGAGAGAGTCAAAAATCTTCAAAAAAGCGTTACGTAATACTTGAATGTCCTCTAAGACACATTTTTGCTGTTTAAAAAAAAATAGATGTCGTTAAAGTTTTTGTGACGTTTCTAAGGCCTTTAATTATCTTGATCATGAAACATTGTTTAAAAAGACAATGCTTTAAACTTAATAAAATCATAATTAAAAAGAAAGAAATTTTATTCTACAGAAATATGCGACTACATCTAACCATGGCCGTTGCTAGGCGGAAATTAAAATGAAATTACCCAAGAAAATTAGATAGATAGATTCGCTTTTTCGAAAACAATTATTGCTTCTGCCCTACCTTAAACTTGGGTCTAGCTACGGCCCTGCATCCAATGGATTCCTTGAGCGAAAGTATGTATCTCAAAGGTCTATTCTTAGCCCATACTTAATTTACGTTAATGATTTTAATATTGATAGATTAACCAAAAATGCGCCGTATGGTCCCGGCAAAAAATGGGTCACGCCTTCCTTTCCCGTGGGTGTCCTAAGAGGCGACTAAGGCAACTTAATGATCGAAGGATGGGTAGTAGCGTTCCTCTTTAAACATTACCAAATCCTAATTGCGGTTGCGAATCCTTCTGCCAATTGTGGTAACTACTGGCAAAACCCTTCAATAGGAGGAGGCCTATGTTCAGCAGTGGACAGTTAAGGGCTGATATGATGATGATGGTGATGATAAACCAAAAATTATGACGATATGAATAGTGCTTTGCTGCGTTTCTGGCATTAGTTTTATAACTTTACTTAGTTAATCTAATGTTGAACATTCAAAAATAACAAAAGCTAAATTTCTCCCTTTTTAAAAGTTTTAATTCCTATTCTATTGTAAAATAGATTAATTCTTCTGTAATAGTTCTAGACTGAAAATTTGTTGATTTGTTTTTAGTTATTTGATAAAGCTATCAATTTAAGATATGTATCAATATCATTTTAATGTTATTATATGACACAAAAAAAATTTAAATTCAACTTTTCATATTTTTTTTTTTTTTTTTTTTTTATGGGTGAAAATGGTATGGTAACCCCGTCTGCGCTAACGGTATACGCTTGCGGAGCACCAGTGAAGGGTGATAGATGAGAATGAAAACAGGCCAGTTAGCACATCATGATGAATTCATCAGGAATTAACCATGATAGTTTCCAGGGAGAACCGCGAGGAGATCGACCTGTTTGGGTATATTGCTAGCAATGGGATTCTCAGTCTCCATTACTAACAATCCCTTTCCCCCCTCAACTTTTCATTGCAATGAAGTTAAATTTTGATTTTAGATTATGATGTAAAATACCAATCTTCTAAAGCCGAAAATTATTAAATTAAAAAAAAGGGCGGCCATTTTATTTATATCGCCATTTCATTTCTGTCGTGAGATGGAGAATTGTAATATTGTAAAGTGAGATAGAAATAAACTTCTTCAAATCGTTTTTAACACAAATTTTCTACATAAAACGTGATTAAATACTTACTTAAAATCTTATTCAAGTAAGTTTTAATGAAAATAATGATCATAATTAAAAAATAGTCTTTGTAATTCTGTGTTCTCGGCGTCTCTTCCTTTGAAATCTCTTGTCAGAGTGCAATGGCGTCCGTTTACTCGAAGCGCGTCTAAATATATTCCGTCATCCTTTTCTTACATATATCGACTATTCAGGAGACACGGCTTTTCTAACGAACGATCTTTTTACGAGTAGAGTAGACTGATAAGAAATATTCCCCGTTACCTTCACACTTTGTTTTGGAGTTTCTCTTTCGTGTATGAATCTAAATACGATTAGCCGCGCTTTTAAAATGACAAGAACTATTGTTTCATTGCAGATGTGCACATCTAGTGTATGAATAAAAAGTGTAATGAAGTAGGTGTATATATTTGTGAATTATGTTCACCACCAACGCTGTGCAAACCGGCACAGTGCCGACCCTGCAGTATCAAGAGCACCCAACACAAAAGACTCAAGGAAAGAACATTGAAACTGTACAGCAGAAAAATGCACAACAAACCCAACAAAATCAGCAGCAACAGCAGGTTTGTCTATATGAATATTTGGTTAACATGTAGATAACACATTATGCAAATAAGTGCACCTAGATATCAACTTTTCTTTTAAATCTAAAATCTGAAAATTATAAAAAATACTTTTCCTTATGTACACACACATCTTGTTTATTTATAATTAATGTAAAAAAGTTATTAATCTATAAAAATCTATTGGTAGATTTATATTACTATATTGTTTAGAAACATATTGCTGTATTTTATTTCCTATAATATATAAGCTCTAATAGCATCAGGCATTCAAATACTTGCTGTGCATGTTTGATTGTATTTCTATTTGAGGGAATTGTTATATGGTAGTGGAATTACAGGATATAGACCTAAATGCCTTAGTTCTCCTGAATGATACATTCACATGAGGTATACTGTATACACAATGTGTTATATTCCGATGATGTTGTTTGTGTCTATATATAATGATCCACTGGTTTTCCATTCAAAGTTTTAAAGAAAATACTTAATATTTTCTCTATTTATATCCCAAAAATTTATAAATCTATAAATATGAAAAATAATAATTCTATACATAAGAAAGCTACATATAATTTTGTATTGTTTATTTTCAGGAATTTCCCACATTTTGCTACACAACAAATGTAAACATGATTGGCAAGATTGGCACGGGTGCAACCAGTGGTGCTGGTGGAGTTACTGGCAGTGTTAATATAGCACAATTAACCACAAGTGATGATAAAACATGTTACATTGCGCAACCATTCTCTTACAATTATGCACTTGTTAATCAAATGCAAATTGCACCCAATGGAATCCAAAATACAATATCCAATATCAGTTTTAAGTGTGATGTCTGTGGTCTCATGTTTGGGCATCTTAGTTTACTCAACTCTCACAAAAGAATACATGCTCAAGATACAGGTGATTATAAATAAAATTATTTCACTTTAATTTATTTTATGTATAGGGATATATTTGATAATAACCCTTGATTAAAATTATGTTCCAAGAATATTGAAATGACCTTATAGAAGCCAAATATTTTGTATTAATACACTTCATTATATTCTGTAATATTTGTTCAGTTTTTAAAATTACTTTAAAATGGAGAATATTTTCAATTTGTCTGTATTTTTTATGTATATTATATCTTTACTATTTTTTTAATAGTTCTTCTGTTAATCGAAAGATTTACTCCCCATTTGGACCCGTAACAAATTAGTCAAACTTGGTGTTTACTTTTGTAGAAATAATTATATTATTTGTATTTATGTTTCAGATAGCAATATAACAGTAGTAGCAACTGGTGTGAGTGCCAGCAATGAAGTGGCTATGCCTCCACATATTCAGATACTTTCGTCTGACCCCAACGAGCAGCAGCAGCAACATCATGTCCAAATCCAAGACAGTAATACATATTTATTTACTTTAATGTTTTAATGTAATATGGAAACTAGTTTTTTTTTTTTTCTTTTAATAGAATTTAATTAAAAAGTAACCAAGTTTTGAAACTACCACAGAAACACTCTGAAAATTAAATTAATAATAAATCTAAACTTTGCAATATCAAATATCTATATTTGTGGCTAAAGTTGTCCCTGACGAATTAACAGAACAAACTTAACATTCAGACATTTCCTATGAAGCTGGCATAGTCACCCAGGTGTGCTGAAACCTCAACAAAATTTAGAATAAAAAAAACCTAAACTTTTAATTGATTAATTGATTTTTGATTTGTATTACTATTAAACATCTACAATTTGTCATATGGTTGAGTCTATTCAAACAGACTACATAATATACTATATTAATTAACATTCTTTGGTAAACAATTTTGGCCACTTTCCATATTTATTTCTGTTTTTCCAAACTTTGGCAGAGTATATTAATAAAATCAAATGGGGTAGCAGGGGGGAGGACAGGGATTATTAGTAATGGGCTAGAAGCCCAGTAATGGGGGCATTGCTAGAAATATATGATAATGCAATAATATATGATCAATCAACACAAAAGCTTTTAATTCTAAATATTTATACTATTTTAAAATAATTTTTTTTATGATAATAAAATGCATTAAATACTAAATAGGCCAAATAAGAGATAAGAGTAATAATGGTACAAAAATTTTGTCCCTGTAGACTGCATTCTGCATATAAAGAATATTGTAATTACATAATGGCTAAATCAAATTCTACAGATGCAACTTTAATACCAGTAAAATATACAAAATTTATTGGTTTATTTATTTGTCTATTTGTGCATATTGATATACATATGTTAGAATTAAAAAATATATATATTTTGCACAATAGTTTAGATAAGTGAGTACACTTTTGTTTTTCACTCATTGAAAAACCCTGACATGTAAATAATATTTTTTCTGATATCTGTAATATAAATGTATTATGGACATAGTAGATTGGTGAGGGGTAAAAATCTACAATTATTATTTAATTTTTTAATATCAGCTAATAACAGAAGTTGTATATTAAAATTGCTATTTTATTTTCAGCAAAACCAGTTATCATAGATAAAGTTCAGAAATGCATCACTTGTGGAGGCCCTATTGCTAACAATCCTAAAAGAAAAGGCCCTAAACTTATACGGTGTGAAAATTGTATTGCTCAAGATTCTGTTGAACAGAGAAATAATCAGAGTATGTATTATTATTTTTATTTTAATAATTTTGGTAGAAAAAATAAATGTAAAACATGACTCACAAGGTATAATATAATAATTAAACAATAATAATATATAAATACATAACAGTGTTAATTGGAAATAATGAAATGATGCAAAAGTTTAATTGTAAAGAGTTTGTTATTTGATGAATCTTTGGAGTTTTATAGCAATCTCAATAAACACTAAAATAACCTAAAAGTAATTATTTGATGGTGGTCTAATTTATGCCAGGATCTCTTTAAAACTTCCCTTTAAAGACATCATTAAAAGCCTAACTACAAATCCTATACTATGTATAACTATGGGGGAGGCCTATGTTTAACAGTGGACAGTTAATGACTGATATGATGCTGAAAGTCAGAAGTGAAGATGTTTTAGCAAAAAACCAGAGGGAGACTTTGTACAAAAGTCATTTGTTTGGGTACTTCTGTCCCATTCGTTTTTCAACCGTAAAGCAGTTGTTTGCATGACTGTGTTTCGGTTTGAAGGGTGGGATATGGCGTGAATTTACAGGGTACAGAGGAATAACACCTAGGTCCTCAAGAATGACAACACATGGAGGGTATCATGGGCGAAACAGTATACTCTGTTATGGTCATGGTACTGCTCATGTCTATAGGTGACAGTTACCACTTTCCATCAGGTGGGCTGTCAGCTTGTTTGCCAATTTAAGTTGTATAAAAAAAAATGAAATTACATTTTTATTTAGGAGCTTTGAAAGACAAATTAAAAATATTCCAAATAAAGTCTGTTACTTTTGTTCTTAAATTGATTTTTATTATCAACTATTATCCCTGAAACAGACATCACCTTCTTTAATTTTTATTTTACTTTAATATTATGTAAATTTAATTTAATTGTGTTCCTTAATTTGACAGTGAACTCAACACAAATTTTCGTTGCATCAGAAGACAACGTGAAGTTCGAAGTGAGCGGCGTCAGCGGTATTCAATCGCAGAGTGATCCTCTAGCTACCTCCCAGTCCACGCAACAGTCTCAACAGCAGCAAAAACCTTGTAAGATTTTATATTTATTAACTGTCAAATAATTATTTTCTCTTACAATCTATACACATATGGCAAAACTGCTAATAGATTGTCTGTATAAGCATCATGTTAAAATTAACAGATGGATTTTATAACTACATTTTTTTGTGTTATCAATTCAAGATAATCATAACACATTATTATTCACTTCGAAGAAAATTGTTCTAGATTTGTAGAAAATTCATTGCATTGTTCTAGATAGTAATTGAAGGCGTAATGGAAAAAGTATAACAGTCTAGTAGTTATATGGAGTTAAAAATACCTAAAGTATGAAAATAATTATCTAATTAAATTTTATCCATTGTTGCAGTGCCTGGTCACCATCCTGTGAAGAAACGAAACTTAGCTGCTGTAACAAAATGTCAGAACTGTAATGGATCTGGTATTATTTTTGTTGGTGGAAATAAAAGTAAATTAAACCAATCTAACATGGACAAACCATTCCATTGTAATATCTGTGGTGGGTCGTTCTCTAGGTATTCTTCACTATGGTCACACAAAAAATTGCATTCTGGAGAGAAAAATTTTAAATGTGGAATATGTGGTATTGCCTTTGCTAAAGCAGTTTATCTGAAAAATCATTCACGGATACACACAGGAGAGAAGCCATACAGGTGAGGATAGTTTTTTTACTTTAAATATACTTTAATCAATTAAAAAAAATATTCTCAACTATAATCTCAAATGGAGTAGTCAGCATCATTCGCCACTGTACTATTGTGATATGGTATGATAATGGTATACATTTTGAAAATTTTAAAAAGCATATTAAAATCTAACATGGCAGGGGGGGAGGCAAACATACTGCCATCACTTAATAATACTTTTTGTTATTATATTTTATTTGTCATAATGTCATTTATATGATTGTCTCATTTAAATAATGATATATTTTACTGTAAGCAATAAAAAAAATATATTAATATGTTTCTAAACTAAATTTTATTCTTGCAGATGTAACACTTGCGGTATGCAATTTTCTCAGTCACCACATCTTAAGAACCACGAGCGAACGCATTCTGGAGAAAAACCATATGTTTGTGAGGTAGGTCATGTTTTAATTGTGCTACTAATAGATTATTTACTTATAGCAATTTGAATAATTTTAAATAAATTTCAAACAAAGTGATAATTGTGGTGTATAGACATGAATAATATCATCAACAATTTTAGAGATAGAGTGACGCCTCAGAATCGACCTCAATGTCTATTTGTTTAACAGTACTGTTTGCATGTATGTCATTTTTTACTGAACCGAGTGACCTTCTTCGTTTATTATAATTATCTTGGAAACTACACGAAAGTTTGTTTGAATTTGGTCATAAATTTTACTAAATAATAAAATTGTAACTAGAAGATGTCTGTACGTAGAAGATATGTAAGAAAAACTAATATGAGAGCAACAGAAATCAAAACAATAATCATTATGAGTTTAATGGATGATAATTAGTGTCCGATCGAACTTTCGGTTTCGGCCAGAAATTCTACTTTCGGACAAAAATTAGCCGAAACTTTCGGCCGCACCGAAACTGTGTGTGTGTGTGTGTAATTGAAAGTTTTTTTTTTTTTTTAAGTTTACCTCCAAGAATAAGTCATAATTTTAATTAGTGTTTATTATTACCCTTTAACTATCTGTGTGTTTGTGTAAATAAGTGTATAAAAAATATGCTAAGATTTCAGTATAGAAGAGAAATTTTAAATATATTTTAGTAAGTTTCGGTTTCGGCTGTAAAACCAGTTTCGGTCTGACACTAATGATAATGTAATAGTAATCGCGCCTGCGCTATCGGCATACACTGGTGGGGCACCAGTGAGGGTTGATAGGTGAGGATGAAGGCAGCAGATCCGTCAGCCCATCGTGACGAATTCAACGATGAATTAGTCACGATAGTTTCCAGGGGGAACCACGTAGAGATCGACCTAATAAGGCATATTGCTAGCAATGGGGCTGTCAAACTCCATTGCTAACAATCCCTTCCCCCGCATAGGGTGTATTGATAGCAATGAGGACTAACCTACCCATTAGTCATCATTAGTTACCCATTTAACAGTCCTTTCCCCCAATCATTTATGAGTTATAAATATGCTAAGGAGGTAAATCATTTGCAGCATTAAACTAATTTACCTATTTCGTTAATTCTTCAAGTTTCATTCATTCGTAATGTCGTTACTAATTAATTCCGTCTTTTAATTATTTCTAAAATAAACTTACCATTTAGTTTTATGGGGATTTTTAGAGTGATTTGATTATAATAAAAACTGCCAAAATGTATACAATAATTACCGCATTAAAATTGCTCCAGAACAAAATATGTATTATCCTTGAAAACATATGAAACAAAAATTGTAAGATTATAATAATTATAATGAGACTCTCAATATCCTATGATTTTAGATAAAATCAATAGAAACTACTATTTTATAAACTTTTGATATAATAACAGGTTTGCGACAAAGGTTTCGCGAGACATGCAACATTATGGAATCATCGCCGTATACATACTGGGGAGAAACCTTATAAGTAAGTAATATATATAAATTGCATGTAATCCTTGACAATATTTTTTCTTGCATGTATTCTTCAAGGATAACTATTTTTATTTTATTAAAGGTTTTGTCTGTACTAGTAGTAGAATATGCTATGTACTCTTATCTGTCTAAGATTCTTTACAAACATTTATTAAGTAGGATTTTTTATTTTTAATGAATGATAATGGAACGGTAACTCCGTCCGAGCTATTGGTATACACTGTTGTGGCACCAGTGGGAGATGATAAGTAAGGATGAAGCCAGGTTATTTGGCCCATCATAACGAATTCCACAAGAGTTAACTAAGATCGTTTAAAGGGGAAACGCGTGTAGATCGACCTAATAGGATAGAGTGTTAGCTCAAAATGTAATTCTATTGATATTTTTATACTTTTGCAGTATAATGCAGAAATGTACCCATTGAAATTATAAGTACATGATTTAATTAATCCATAATGGATTAATCAGAGACTTTTGTCTGTTATTGTCCTCTGAAAAATAATATTGGATATGTTCTACATATCGCCAAATATATTGAAATCCAACATGGCAATGAGATAGACTACCATCATCATTTGCATTAATTGGGTTTATTAATGATATTTTCCGTTATCGGAGAACTAATTGGTAATTTATATTTGCACACAAAATTTATGGTGTACTTTAACTCACAATTTGAAATCTGTAATTTATCACTGGACCACAACACAATTATTATTATTATTATTACTAATATTATAAACGTGAAACTGAGTTTGTTTGTTTGTTATCGTATAGCGCCTTATGGCTTAACAAATCACTATCAAATTTGGTACATACGTAGTGAATAGGCATTATTTGAATTTGCATATAACACCTTAGACCACATCATCACTTATAATCAGGTGAGATTGTGTAGTGGATTTAATATAAAAAATACCTATATAGGTTGAAGAAGGATATAGGCTATTTCTTGGTCAGTAAACATTTCTCGGTCACGCGGACGAAGTCGTGAATAAAAGCTAGTATATTTATAAAATCAGATTTCTAAACTCCTTACGATTATAATCTTCTCCTTATAATTACAATAGATGTGAAACGTGTGGGTCAGCGTTCAGCCAAGCGGCACATCTGAAGAACCACGCAAAGGTGCATTCCGGAGAGAAACCTTTCAAATGCGATATATGTACGGCCGCATTCGCCGATCGGTTTGCTCTCAAGCGACATAGGGGAATTCATGACAAATATGGTATGTATTCCGTATTGTTTTTCAAAATACAGATTTTTAAAAACATTGGCCTTGTATATTTTATGTTCTTTTTAGACTTGATTCTATATCTAAATAATAGATAATAAAGTTAAGATTAAATTAAATTAATCACCTAATATATTTTTTTTAATGTGAAATACAATCAACCTCTCTGACCTATTTGATTTTATTTAGGTCAAACCACACCTCTCCCTTCAAGAATACAACAAAATCAACAAGAAATGCAGCAATCAAATCAACAAAGTAATGAACAACAAAACAGTCAACCAGCAGTGGAAGTAGAAACAGGTGACCAAACTCTTTGAGTATAAATAACTCGTTGGGTTTCTTAGAATACTTACCTACCCAGAACACCATGAATGTGAAGTCAAATAAATCTTTATGTTTGGAATGTTATAACTAGCTGTTGGCACACATTTTGAAATATTTTTGTGACACGAAGCAACTTGGGAGTGAAATCCTGAGCGTTGTAGCGCACATAGATTGACGACGAAGCGATATGGCTCGTCAGCAGAATGAACAGTAAATCGATGAAGAACGAGCTGTGAAGACGCAGTAGCTTGATACTGTACTTATATAAGGTGACCAAACTCGAATATGCAAGGGTGCGTTTGGGACGTTCCAATTAAAAAAAAAACCCCCCGTTTGTTAAACCTACAGTTTTTTTCATTTGGTCACACAGACATTGTATATTGACCCTAACCTATCACTTATCGACGTTGCACAAGCAACTGACACTGCCACATTAATAATATAGATAAGTGAGAAAATGTTTGCGAGAATGACCCTGAATATTGTAAAACTTTGAACATAAACAAGCATCAAAGTGATCTATATCACTCTTGTTCCACTAACGCAGTGATTTCAATATTATAACAAAATTAATATTAATTAATAATCGCACTATTTAAAAATGCATAAAACCTACTGATGTATGCTATTTTATAGACATTAAATTTTAAATATTTTGATTCAGAACACAAATTCGTGTATCTACAAATATATTTTGCTTTCCAATAGGTAGTATCTTTTTTTGCTCTTTAAAGAAAAACGGAAACTCAAACGTCATAAAATTAATATGGGACCAACAAAAAAGTATCGACTAAAAACATTAACATCAGTTCAGAGCTGGCTATATAATCACATAATATACAAAAGACGAATTGAGATCTTTTTGAAATCGCCTAAAAATAGAAACAGTTGAGTCTTATGAAACAAGAAAATGTTGATGTTATCGCCAAAGTTATGGAATAATTGGCCTCAATAATTTACAAGAACAGTTTCACTTATTTTTTTAATTTGAAAATCTTAATCATATCGGCTGTGGCGACGTACTTCTTTATGTATTTTCTTTATTTATTGGTGAATATACATGTACCTAATGAAACGCCCGTAAGATTAAATTTGTGTACATATTAATATTAGCAAAAAAAAAAAAAAATTGTGGTCAATGAATAATAAAAGATAGCATGATGTAACATTTTTCTTACATTGTAAATATATTTGATCAGTTTATATATTAGAAGCCTATGTGATTTAGTATTTTAGCATATCCAATGACTCTTAAATTAAGGTTTTATTTATAATGGATGGGTTGAACTTATCAGTAAATGAATAAGTTAGGAATACATTCTTTGAATGAAATATTTTTATTTAATCTTACATTATAAGTACAACTCATCCTAAATCATCCCATACATACATCAATGTGATGTTATAATAAGTTAGGATTTGAATTTATATTTACTGAATATATTATAGTAAAATTTGTCTAGAATGATGATTAGTTTTATTTAGATACATTCAGTATCAACCTTAAGGAGAAGATCGTAATACGCTCGGGAGCGCCAATATCCAAAAAGGGCCTCAATTTTTTTTTAGGGCGTCAGGAGCAGTGGCTCTTTTAAGAACTTACCAAAGAGCTATAGGTATGCAAAAGTTGGATTTGCATATACCATATCCAATACTTGTAATTAATATGATGCATTTTGTGAAGTTTTACCATTTATTACATATTTGTTTTAATAACAGACTTCTTACTAATATTATGTGAAAATCAATTTGTTTGTTACCTTATAGTGCCTTAACGGCTTAACTAATCACTATGAAATTTAATATACACGAACTATACAGGATGAAAATAGATATAGGAATACCTTTAATCCAATCATTAAACATATCCTGGTCGCTTAAACGAAGTTGCGGATAAAACTAATATTAAATAATTTGAGGACACGATTCCTTTTGGCATTGAAAAATACATTGTGACACCCATTGGCATGCCTTATGTATTGGTAGTCTGAGTAATAATGTATATCTTATTATATCTATACCATCAATTGACAAAAGTATAAATTGTATTTAGTTTCTCAAATAGAGAGCTTAGCAGGTCTATACATAATCAAATCATATATTACATAATAATTATTATGATTAAATGATGGAACTTCTCATGGAAAAGATCTGCGAGAGATAAGTCCACCCTTGCTCACAACATTTATAAATACATTATTGTATATGTAACTTACAAGTGCAATAAAAAATATATACATGAAAAATATATCCAGGCTCTGAAATTATAGAGAAATCTTGGTTTCATCAATATCATTCAGATATTGATGAAACCAAGTCTACATATGGACAATTTGTTTGTTTAGTAAGGAAAGAAAATATGGTCATTTACCAAAATGAATAATGACATTTATAATCTATATATATAGAATCAAAGGAAAATGAGAAAACTTTGTGATTTTATTTGATAAATTGTCAAAAATCTCTGTTTTCTTTCAGAAAACTGTTTTTGTTGTAAAAATAAACCAATATGTGATATCCCTTTGGTGTCCATTAATTTTTTTATATGTTTAACAAATGCTGTATGAATAGTTTTATACTTATTGTACATATTTAAGGGATTTAGACAAAAACTATTTCTGCCTATTTTCACACCAAGTCCCTTGTGGGTAGATAGTTTTATTGTACTTATCAGATGTAGTAAGATTACATCTGATAAGTATAATAAGAGCATATATGAAAAACATTAGGTGCAGGTGGTTCAAGGATGGAAACAATATATATTGAGCGCTGAACAATAACTGAATAAGCTGAAGTCAGTTGTATCATTATATAATATATAAATAAAGAAATCAATATCTCATTTTTCTTTATAAAAAAAAAATAGGTGTCACTACAGAGATAGAATAACCATTTGATTGTATTATTTTTATCAAACATATTTAATTAGTAAGAAAACTATTAAAATACTTATTGACAACAAACATTAAGGAATTATGGATTAAACCAACAAAGGTTAAAATCATAGAATAGCAGTGATAAAATAAAAAACAGAAAATTTAATTACAATTTATTTTAATCTTAGAAATAAGTAGCAAATAAAAATGGAAAATTATTTTGAATAAACAATCTATATTTATTCATATACCCACTGTTCAACAGCTGGTGTCCAGCCCACAACTTCTTTCTCGGAGAACCAAAGTGAAATTTCCTTGTTAGCGGACTCCACACTGTCAGAGCCGTGTATGATGTTTCGACCGACCTGTATGCAAAGATCGCCACGAATAGTTCCAGGTTGAGAATCAGCAGGGTTAGTAGCGCCAAGCATTTGACGGCCGGTCTTAACCACATTGAGTCCTTCCCAAACCATGGGAACAACTGGTCCTGAACTCATGTATTTTACAAGACCGGGGAAGAATGGACGCGAAGCCAAGTCACTGTAATGTTGCTTCAGAAGTTCTTCAGATGCCCACGTTAATTTCAAAGCTACTAGTTTAAAGCCTTTCTTCTCAAATCGTTCAATAATGGTACCGACAAGACCGCGCTGGACGCCGTCGGGTTTAACCATAATGAAAGTTCTTTCACGTGGTGCGGCCATTATGATATTTGCTACCGATTGAACAATACGTGTGAAATAGGTTATGAGTATGGACAAAGTGGCAATCATGAAGGACGCGAAAAAGGAAGTTACACAAAAGTCAGATCCCTGTCCCTCCCACCTCACCACAGAGTAGGTATTTTCGTTATTGATTCGCAATTAGAAGAAGCATAGATAAAGAACATTTCTCCGACTTATTATATATTTAGAAGTTATAATTCAATCAAATTAAATTTACGTAGGTGTGCATCAGTGCCAATGGGACAATTTCATTATTGTCCTTTTAGTTTTTGTATATTAATAAATGGAAACACGCTGAATCTTGCGTAACTTTCATACTAGCTTTAAATGTATAGATTTGAATCAGAAAACAGCATGCCAACATTTAGTTAAATTATGAAGTCACAATAGTGCCAACTTAATAAATATAGTCCCAAATGCAATGCAAATGGCTACGATCGTTACATATGAAATAAAGCCCTCCGCCGTATCTGTCTGTCTGTTCAGGATAGACTCAAAACTACTGGACCGATTTTCATGCTGTTTTCCCTAATGAGTAGAGCGGTTCTCGAGGAAAGTTTTAATATATAATTATTAAGTTTTTGTATACATTTGCTAAAATGTAACAATATTTGTTGAAGACAGAAAAGTTTTAAATTTTTCGGAAAGGTTTCAACGAAAACGCTGCCTAAATCCATTGATATATATCAAAATAAAGTATGGTGAAATTGTGAATCTTATATAGGTCTATAGAAAAGTCCGTAATGGCACATGTTTATCTCTTAAGAATAACATACTAAATCCATTTTAAGACTTTAAAAAAATATGCAATTATAAAGCGGTAATTGAAAAGCTATTTACACAAATATGGTATTAATCTTTATCATTTTAAATACGTTAGTTGATTTGAGCATTTCATGAAGATTATTTTTCCCCTTTACATCATGCAAATTATAGCTATATATATAAATGAATACCTTAGGAGACATAGCAAAATCAAAATAATAGTGTATCAATGTAAATGCTATGTATAACAACAAAAGATAATTTATTTTCTGTTTGTTACGATTTAATCCAAAAACTACTCAACCAATTTTACCGAAAACTACTTCTCCTAGGAGTAACATAAGCTATACACCTATCCCCCGATTTACACGGTACTTGTTTTACACGTTTTCGCTTTTACACTGTTTTCCAAATAAGTTTTTTTTTTTTGTTTTTATTGCACTCTACTAAATGCTACTGTGTTTGAACACGTGCGCTGTGTACACATCTCACGGGGAATCCCGAGCTTATATGCTGACTTGCTGCACATGCACACTGTGTCTGTATTTCTTCGCATAAAATTAAAGTTTTATCTACGGAAAATTGTATTTGAGTGAAAGTTTCACAGTGTCAGAAAGATTTAATTTTTCATATTCGTAAATTACAAGTGGGTGCATAATTAAGATTTTTATAAATTAACATAAATTAAAAAAAAAATTATAGGCTTATAATGTCGAAAGAAGTTAAAAGAAAAGTTATTTCTTTAGAAACTAAAATCGAAATTTTGGATCGCTTTGGATCGTTTAATGTATTGTAATTAAATAAAAAAACAGTGTTTCCGTAATATATTACATATTTTAACCTGTCAATGCATTTTATTTTTATTTCTGTGTACACCTAAAAATATTGAAAAAAATCACAACTGTTAAATAGCAAAATTATGCATTTTCTGCAAGCTTTTCGATTTACACGGTTTTGACTTGAAAATTTTTAATTTTCGATTTACACGTTTTTCTCAGGAACGTATCTACCGTATAAATCGGGGGATAGGTGTATTATATTTTATGCAAAGAACCTTGCGAAGCTGAAGCGGGTTGCTAGTCTAAATTATTCGTGGAACAGTTTTAGATTTGTATTTAATACTTATTTTTATTTTGACGTAGGAATTACTCTATATACAGGTGTCTCAAAAGAAAGGTGACATTTGTTTTGGTTATTGCGTGAACGCAACTATTCTGAGGGGCGCGGGGGGTATGTTATTCGGTAGCCTAGTTTCTGGGAATTTTGTTGATATGGAGCGTTTCTTGGGACTGGACCGTGCATTGTGCGTACGCGAGTTTTACAAAAACGGTAATTCGGCGACTGTAGCGCGTACAAAATTTTGCAATATTTAACATTTAAATGACGCGCCAAGTCCTAAACTCATTGATAAATGGGTCAAAAAGTTTGAAAAGACTGGTTTAATGCAGGAACAATCAAAATCCGGACGTTCAAGGTCTTCGAGAGCGCTAGAAAACATAGTGTTTCTCAAACTGTTCGTAACAACCCAGATCTTTTGATTCAGAAGCGTGCTGATGCTTTAAACGTGCATAGTCTCAGGATGCTGGGCAGAGGGTTGACTTCGTAAATCAGATGATTGAGCGCTTTTCAACGTTTACCAACATATTCTTTGCGGATGAAGCTAATTTCCATCTCAATGGACATGTAAACAAACACTTGTATTTATTATTTTATTGTAGTCATTTGTATAATTAATATTGACTCTATTATGATATCTACTCTAAAAGTTAACCAGATGTTATGGCAAGTATTAAAATTTATATTTACTATCAATAATATTACGAAACAAAGATCTTAATGTAATAATGTATAAAAAAAAAACTAATATATTTAAGAATGTTATCCGTTCGTTTTATTTTTGCTAAAAAATGTTTATTGGAACGTGCAACTTAACATAAAATTTAAAAATTTCTTTTTATCACATGATTCGTGTTCTAATGAGAAATATTTACATTTTATTACTATCGAAAAATATAACTTTAGTATCATTACAACCCTGTTCGTTTCAATTTTGAAGATCAGGCTTGCCAACATAACAAGAACAAGGAGGATTTTGTGTAGATTGGTAAGATATCCCTGACCTAGTCGTTTTACGTGATTTGTATAAAATGTTATCTTTTTTCCTGTGATTACGAATGATTTTGTTATTCAAATAATTAGTAATTACTAATTTTATAATTCGACTATTAGATTAGTAACATTAATTATCGTATTCTTCACTTCACTAAGTAGTAACTAATACAACAAAGTCCTTTACCTGTATCTGCTACTACCAAGTCCATTTACTACTACTATCTCTATGTCGGTGAAAATAACAACGAAAAAAGAACAACAAATACATTATTGTCATAATATATATAATAATATTTTTTTGTTTACTTTCCTACTAATGTAACAATAACTATCGTATACATTTTTTCTAAAACTATAGGTACCTACTTTTCTTCATTACTCTTATCAAAAATTTTAACTAAATTTAAATGCAATACTCTTGCATGAATGACATTAGTAGTCGGCTGACATTAACAGTTGGATGAATAAATTGGTAGAATAATCTGAATGATTTGCTTAGTTGAATTAGTAGTTGGATTGGTACTTTTTTTTTTTATACAACGTAATAACAAACAAGCTGACGGCCCACCTAATGAAAAGTGATAACCGTCACCTATAGACATGAGCAGTACCATGAACATAATAGAGTATGCATTGCCATTCCTGAGGACTCAGGTGTTATTCCTCTGTATCCTGTGTGTATAATATTATAATTAAAATTGTTTTAAATCATTCTTAGAAGATGGCTTAAATGAACACTGTAACACGGGATTTTTATATATTATTTTTTCTTTTTATACAACTTAGAATGGCAAACAAGCTGATGGCCCACCTGATGGAAAGTGGTAACCGTCGCCTATAGACATGAGCAGTATCATGGACATAACAGAGTATACTGTTTCGCCCATGATACCCCCCATGCGTTGCCATTCCTGAGGACTCAGGTGTTATTCCTCTGTACCCAATAAATTCACGCCATATCCCACCCTTCAAACCGAAACACAGCCATGCAAACACAACTGCTTCACGGTTGAAACACGAATGGGACAGAGGTACCCAAGCAATCGACTTTTGTACAAAGTGTCCCTCTGGTAGTATCACTATTATATACTTTTTGACCTGAGCATATGCAAATATACTCGGTACTGATAGCCAATATCGTCATACGCTAGCGGGGCACCAGTGAGGGATAATAGATGAGAATGAAACAGTATAGTTGGCCCATCGTGATTAATTAAAAAAATATTAACCACAATAGTTTCTAGTGAGAATCACATGGAAGTTAAGCATGTATATTGCTAGAAATGGGGCAATATCAGACCCCATTACTTATAATCCCCCTCTTTGGGGGAGAGGAGACTGTTAGTAATTGGGCTTAATAATCCCATTGCTAGTAATATATCCTATTAGGTCGACTACGCTGTCACCCCTGAAAACCATCGTGATTGATTTATTATTGAATTTATCATGATGGACTAACTACCTGCTTCAGCCTCAGCTGCCACTCCTCACTGGGTCCCCGCCTATGTATACTGTAAGTGCAGGCAGGTATATCATTACATCATCATCCATTTAAAAAATGTGATACTTGATAAATAATTAGACAAGTAGGTAAATAAAAATAGTAGATATAGCTCTATTTTTCTAAGCTTTTCTGCGGCATACACAATCAATAACATGATCATTGACTAAACCACAAGCTTGCATGAATGCATAGCAAATAGTTGAACCTACAAATTTGAAACCTCTCTTTTTTAGAGCAATGGAAAGGGCTAAAGAAGTTTCAGTATCATTTGGAATCTCTTTGATATTATGCCAATAATTTACTTTAGGTTTATTATTTACAAAACTCCAAATGAAATCTGAAAAATTTTCAGAATTATTTTCCATTTTGATATAACATTTCGCATTATTTATAATTGCTTCAATTTTGCTCTTGTGTCTTATGATACCGGTATTGGTTAATATTATTTTCACATCATCATGTGTTAATTTTGAAATTTTATAAGGATTAAAATTATAGAATACTTTTCTATAATTTTCACGTTTTTTTAAAACGGTTAACCATGAAAGTCCTGCTTGTTGACCTTCTAAACATAATATTTCAAACAACCGTAGATTATCATATTCAGGTTTTCCCCATTCTTCATCATGATATGTGATGTAAATAGGATCTTTGGTTAACCATTGACACCTAACATTTCCATTAGATTCTTTTTCTGACATATCCAGATTACCTAAAATCAAAGAAATATATTGGCCAAATTCAAATTCATGACCTTTGTTGTCTAGTCTAGTCTAGGTAACATATCACAGGGCCATGACATACTCATTATAAAAAATAAAAATTGAAATGGTATTAAAAAATACATTTAACATTTATTTTATATATTGTGACGACAAAAGCAATCCACAATATGATCATTTATTAATCCACATGTTTGCATAAATGAATAACAGATAGTGGATCCAACAAATTTAAATCCTCTTTTTTTTAAAGCTTTGGCAAGAGCACGAGATGCTTCAGATTCAGTAGGTATTTCATTTATGTTATGCCAATTATTAATAACACATTTATGATTGACAAAACTCCAAATGAATTCAGAAAAATTTTCTTTTCTATTCTCCATTGCTATAAAACATTTAGCATTGTTAATTATAGCCTCAATTTTATTTTTATTCCTTAATATACTAGTGTCATTTAATAGTTTCTTAACATCATTATTAGTAAACTTTGCAATTTTGTAGGGATTAAAATTACAAAAAAGTTTTCTGTAATTATCTCTTTTCTTTAAAATTGTGATCCATGAAAGTCCAGCTTGTTGTCCGCCTAAGCACAACATTTCAAATAAATTAATGCTGTCATATTCAGGCTTGGCCCATTCTTCATCATGATATTTAATGTATAAGTCATTTTTGTTTGCCCATTCACATCTTGTCAAGTTATGCTCTGTCATTGTTTAAATTATTTCTACATCAAATTGTATAAGTAATAGGTAATTATAATAGTTACCTACAATAAAAAAAAATTAACTTATTTTATCAATTTGTTTTTTAAATAAATATTTACGGTGTATTAATCTTTCAGAAAATAAATACGGTAAATAATTAGATGTGGAGTGTATTTCATAATAAGTACCTACTTACCTACTTAATTATGACAAGTTACATTGACTGGGCTTCAGCCAGGAATGAGGAATCACAAATAGCTTTTAGTTTCATAGAATATTTTGATTAGTTTTCTAAACTGGATAAGTACCTAATAACAAGTAGCAAGCTTGTTATTCAAGTTTCGTTTTACCAACTAAACAGAAGATTTGTATTGTACTATTTTTTTGTATTGAGTTGGTTATATCAAATCGCCGTAACAATGTGAAAATTGTATGATGTTAAATTTCAAAAAAATAATTGATCATTTAAAATAGGTAAATAAATAAGATAGTATAGTGACCATAGATTTTTTTTTTTTTTTCATTTATTGTGACTTTGGCGAAAGCCATCAGCCAAAAAGTAACAATTACAAGGTAACAATATGACCATAGATTACAGAGACCACAGACTACTTAGATTATTATTTTTTTGGTGATATGAATTATTATCAATTAGACTATATTTTTATGTTTATATTAAACAATATCTTACTTAAAGATATTCGTACCTTGAACCTTGTTCCTTGAACAGTAACTGAACTCTTCAAAGATTGGTAGTAAGAATTAGCAGAATTGTCAGTAGATTTCACTTATACAGTTTATAAGGTCCAAACAAATAACACAAAATATATATAAACGAACACACAATATCACTTGATATTTAAATAAAAATAATATTTAAATCACCTACTAATTTTCTATTTTCGTAATAAACGACAGTCAACAATTGCTAGGCAACACACGCAATAGGTGTCACACCGCATTTAAATTTTGGAACCAACCAAAAAGTATTAACATCTTCTCTCGGTGTGGAGACCTATTGACGCTAGGATTTTCCACAAACGAGGTCTAGGCAGAGGTTTTGTGAATATATCTGCCAACTGTAGTCCAGTGTGAACTTTCTTTATCACTAGCTCTCTAGCTATAACAAGCTCACGAACAAAGAAATGACGAATCCGAATATGTTTAGTCCTCTTGTGGAATTCCGGATTCTCAGCTAATCTAATAGCAGCTTCATTGTCCACATTCAACACAGGAAGTTCTTTCAAGCCTACCAGTTCTCGAAACAACCTAGTTAGCCAGATACATTCCTTAGCTGCTTCGCTAGCAGCGACTATTTCTGCTTCCGTTGTAGAAATTGCCACACTAGTTTGTCTTTGGCTTAACCATGAGATAGGACCACCCGCATAGAGGCACAGTACTCCTGACGTTGATCTTCCTCTTGTAATACAACCTCCATGATCTGAATCACTATAGCTTTCCAAAATTTTGTTCTTATAATATTTCTTGTACAAAATTCCAGCTTCAGGAGCATATTTGAGATAACGCATAATACGTTTCACCCTAACGCAATCTGTCTCAGTTGGTTTTTCTAAATTCCGTGATACAACACTTACAGCATAGGCGATATCTGGACGTGTGCCAACCATAAGGTAAGCTAATGCACCAACAATCTGCCGATAATTTTCCAGGATTGGAGTTAAATCACACGTATTGTGCTTTTGTTCCACATCATCCTTAACTATGGGCGTCATAACAGGTCGACAATCTTCCATACCAAAACGCTTCAAAAGTTTTCTTGTGTAACCAGCTTGAGCTATCAGTAGGCCGTCTTCTCTTTTTTCTATCTCTATTCCCAAAAAATAGCATGCAGGCTTCATAGTAATTTTGAAAGTACCTTTCAGATCTTCAAAAAATTCATCTACTAGCATCTGTGAAGATCCTGCCACCAAGCCGTCATCCACATACAAAGCTACAATAATCTTCCCCTTATCGTTGTCTCGTACGAAGAGACAAGGATCAGCATCACAAGCTTTGAAATCTACGCTTTTGAAAAAATCTAGTATCCGTTTGTTCCAACATCTTGGAGCTTGTTTCAAGCCGTACAGACTCCTTTTTAATAAACATACGCGTCCAGTGCCATCGTCATAACCTTCTGGTTGAGACATAAAAATCTCCTCGTCCAAGGATCCATACAAGAAAGCAGTTGAAACATCGAATTGCATCATATACATTTCCTCACTAGCCGCGATACTCAAGACAGCTCTAATCGTTGCCATCTTAGCTACTGGGCTAAATGTCTGATAGTAATCAATGCCTTTCTTCTGTCGAAATCCCTTTATGACAAGTCTAGATTTATACTTATCAACTGTTCCATCTGCATTAAGTTTCACTTTAAAGAGCCATTTGCATGGAATAGCCTTCCTATTTTTCGGTAGTTCTGTTAAAATCCAAGTTCCATTTTCTTTTAAAGAAGAAATTTCACTTTCCATAGCTTTTTTCCATAGCTTACTTTCTGGACTTTGTATCGCTTCTTTATAGCAACTTGGTTCTGAGTAACCAGTCCATTCGGTGTTCATAATATAGTCATTGAACTTAGCAGGAAGTCTAAGTAATGCACGATCTCTCAATACTCTAGCACCTTGCTCAGATATCTCAAGATCTCGAAGACCTTCTGGAATATTATTATTAATATCTTCCCCATTTGCTTCATCCAGTTCAATTTCTTCTTCATGAACATCATTTCTCGTATCATCAAATACTTCATCATCAATAGGCGAGCTTGGAGAAGTCTCTATCAAAGGACTTTCTTCTCTTGCAGTATTAATACGATCATTTGTAGCGATCGAAGCTTTCTGAAGAGGAATCTCTATCTCATTCTCTTCAATTTGTTTAGTTGACACATCAATGAACCTTGATTCGATTGGATTCTCATTGATAACAACATCTCGAGACCTTATTAAAGAATTCGAAGCTTTATTCCAAAGTCTATAGCCATCATCGTTATCATAACCAATCAAAATACATTTATCTGCTTTCTTTTGCAATTTCTTTCTTTTTTGTTTTGGTACATGTGCATAACATAAAGAACCAATTATTCTCAAATGCTTAATTTGTGGTTTTCTTTCATACCAGAGTTCATAGGGAGATTTCTTCTCTATACTCGACGGTCCAGTCCTATTTAAAATATAGACAGCCGTGTTCACGAGTTCAGCCCACAAGTATTGAAGCAACTCCTCATGCGCATGCATCATTGCTCTAGCAGACTCAACAATGGTTCTGTTGTCACATTCACAACAACCATTCTGCTCTGGTGTATATGGCATCACCAGCCGTTGCTTAACACCATTCCTTTTTAGAATGTTTTTTACTTTTTCGTTGTCGAACTCTCCGCCGTTATCGCTGAGCAGTTCCTTGACTGTATGTCCTACTGTCTTAGCTTCAGCTAGCATATCTTCTAATTTCTGATATACTTCTGATTTCTCACGTAGAAAGTAGACATAGCGAAATCGTGTGTAGTCGTCCTTAAATAAAACAAAATACTTATATTTTGATGTAGAACTTGGGAAGGGTCCACAAACATCTGTGTGAATAAGTTGTCCAGGTGCAGTTGCTCTTTCACGTACACCAAACTTCCGTCTATGTGCTTTTCCGAAAATACAGCCTTCACAGACTTCTTCATTAGACCAGTTTGTTTTAATTCCCAACTCACGTTCGATTACACCCTTTACGTGTTTTTTTTACTCTGATGTCCCAATCTCTCATGATATAGTTGCAATTTATCTGTCTTGTCTACCAGATTTATGCAAGTCACAGGCAATACAGGTTTAAATTTCAACTTATATAAACCACCATACCTTTCTCTGGTTCCTTTTACGGCAATCTTTCCGTTGATTTGGACATTACAAGATGTTACACGGGACTCAAACAGACTATCAGGATTTCTGTCCTGAGCCGATAGAACCGAAAATAAATTCTTACTAATTTGAGGTACATACCAGACGTTTCGAAGATATATATTCTCTTCCTTACCATCAACATCAGCTATAACGTTGATTGTGCCTTTACCAACGGCTTTGATAATATTACCATCCGCTGTTGTAACAGTGTGAGATTCGCCAAAGTATTCAAAATCCTGATAGAGATCCTGACGCATTGTTACATGATTGGTAGCTCCATTATCAACATACCAGCCATCCTTGTCGATAACCGTGTCTAATGAATTTACCAACAACAACATCATGTTCATGCTTGAAACAGTCTCTTTTCCTAAGCGAGTAGACTTCTTCTTAGAACATTCCTTCATAAGATGTCCTACTTCTTTACAATAGAAACATTTCCTTTTATCAGTAGTCTTTGAAGTCTCGCCTTCTTTCTTTAAAGTTTCACCTTCTTTCTTAGTAAACTTTTTCTTCACTTTGGTCACCAGTGCTTGCCCACTAATCTCACTAGTACCTCCTGTTCCTGTAAGAGCACGTTCATGAGCACACAATTGACTAGTTAGATTTTCCACTGTTCGATCCTTTTTTGACATCAACAACCAACTCGACTTAAAAGAGAAATACGATTCAGGCAGTGTGTCTAGAATTTTGCAAATCAGTAAAAGATCCGGTAAATTAGTATTATTTTCTGCTTTTGCAAGTTCCTGTACCAGTTTGAACCATATATTCTTCAGTTTTGTAATGTGAGTTGTAATATTGTCTAAGGGATCTTTACTGTACCGAAAGAATTCCATACATAAATCATACGCTTTATTGTCATTAACGCCATCATAAAGCCTGTGTAATTCATCCCATACTTCTTTAGGAGTGGAGAATCTAATCACCTTGTCAAGTGTTTCGTCGCTAATATTATTAGTTATCAAGAGTAGTGCTGTACTCTCTAACCTGAGAAAATTCTGTAGACTCGTGATATCACCTGTGCTAACCCTATCTCCATCAGCTGATGCAGCAGCTCCAGCCACTTGCGTAGCAGCTTCTGCCAGCAGAGAAGGTCGTTGTATATTACCTTCAACAATATCAAGAAGTCCGTCGATACCCCTTAGCAAAGCGGTCATCCGATACTTCCATTGTATCCAGTTATGGTTTTCAAGTTTGGTAATCTGTATCTTGGCAAGATCCATCTTCAGCAATCTGGGCCCATAACCACTTAAAGATATTCGTACCTTGAACCTTGTTCCTTGAACAGTAACTGAACTCTTCAAAGATTGGTAGTAAGAATTAGCAGAATTGTCAGTAGATTTCACTTATACAGTTTATAAGGTCCAAACAAATAACACAAAATATATATAAACGAACACACAATATCACTTGATATTTAAATAAAAATAATATTTAAATCACCTACTAATTTTCTATTTTCGTAATAAACGACAGTCAACAATTGCTAGGCAACACACGCAATAGGTGTCACACCGCATTTAAATTTTGGAACCAACCAAAAAGTATTAACAATCTTTGCTTATTATGAGTCGATTTTGATAAGTCTCTTATTAATCGAAAATGCTATACTTCTGTATTTGTCATATTATTTGTGTTTTGGTTTTCAGGGTATGACATTACATTGAATTTTTTTTTAAACAAGCTGACAGCCCTCCTAATAATATGTGGTAACCATTTCCTGTAGATACGAACAGTACTATGGACATAATAGAGTATACTATGTTGCCCGTGATACCCTTCATGCATTGCCATTCCTGAAGATTAAGCTGTTATGACTGTATCCTGTGATTTCACTGTTATATCTCACAAATTTCCCCTTCAAACTGACACAGAGAAATGCAAATACGTCTGTTTTATGACAAAAATACGAATAGTTATAGAGTATAGATGACTTCTACAAAGTCTCTCTCTGTTCATAGGTAGTTTCGTACGCTTGTGGCGTTGACTTTACATTTACGATACAGCTAATTCCGCGCGTCACGGTAGGATTTTAATACGAATATTACATTGCTGTTTTTCGGTATTTCATAGTACCCATTTCACTATAAAATTATTTATTATTTCTTTATATTATGACATAATAAAATGGATTACATGATTTTTATAGAAAAAAACTCCAGGAAAAATTTTAAATTTTCTGATAAAAATTTTCGCTGGTTTTCAGTTCAGAATAATAGTCTGCTTCAGTTTTTGTCGACCTGTCCGTTACAGTCTGTACATGAAGTATGCATTTTCATCAGAAAACATTTGCATTTATTTAAAAAGAGTGACTTCTGCAATTTTAATACAAAGAATCCTCACAACCTTATAAAACTATAACTTTAAATAGCAGAAATGCCTAATGTATGACATAAGCAATGAAAGATAAGCAATGAAGTTCAATGGAAAAGTATAAAAACGCCCAATGTGGCGCAATCAGAGAGACACGTCCTAGCTTTAAAGATGCGAATTTATACAGTGTTATGTTTATTTTCGGAACGCTTATAATGTATTTACATTTTTTATTTTTTTGTAATATTTATAATATAATATATATAAAATATATAATTTTTCTGTAATGTAGGTAAGAACTATGATTTTATTATAATAAAGTTAATGGAAAAATATAATATTTATTTATTCATATCAATCATACAGGCTAGGTACATTAATATTTAAATAACCAGTGCAAAGTAGCCACTTTGGTCCACTGTAAATTTTAGCTAACTTTGATTGATGATTGCATCTGTGTGGTTTAATATATCTTCTTGTTTCTGGTCCACTTACAAAACTTTTCGATAATTTAATATTTTTGTAATTTAGTGTTCCATCTGATAATTGTTGCAAAAGTGGAAGATATTCTGGTTTCGATAATTCATTTGATATACGATTAATCTGAAAATTTCAATGTGTTAGACGCGTTTTATTGTCGGATATTATATCTATCATCACCATCATTTTTTCAGCCATTATATCTAAGTTATTTATAAATTAAATAGATATACATCTAACATAAATATATTATACTAAGAATATATTATACAAAGTATACTTACGACAAGTTTTAGTTGAATGTCTGTTAGTGGAGTTTTAACAGGTCCTAATAATAATACACTACTATTTCTATCTAGACTATCCGGGTCCACAGAGATGAGCTCATCACTGACATTATTTTTTATTTCATCGTTCACTACTAGAAATATATATTCACGTGTCATTTTCTGTGCATGTTTCGTTATAATATTGTACATCATACTGAGATTTGTTGGTTTCTTTTTTTTACAACATAATGTTTTTAACTGTGAAACAAGAACATCAAATAATAATTCCTTTTTATCGTCATCCACGCTATCTATATCTGAGTTAATTTGATAATTACTTAAGAGATTATTTAATTTTTTAACAGCGATGTAATTCGAATCATCACTCTTAACATACGGATCGACTTCTTTATTTTCTAATCTAAAAACGGCTATTGGGTCATTGTCTTTTTCAATTCTTGCTTTAAAATTTAGCTTCTTGTTATTTTGATTATTGTTTTCGTTTAAAATGTTATGCTGTCGAACCTGATCTTCATTGTGTTTAAAAGTATCTTCATATACTGATTTGGAATCGAAAGCAATTTTTACTAAATCATTTAAATCATATTCATTTTTCTTCGGTTGAGTATTTAATAATTTTATAAGTTCCTCGTCTGATAATTTTGAAAGAAGGTAAGTAACATCATTGTCTAAAATGTTATAATGTGTATTACAGACCTACACAAGACAATAAAACTATTTATTTCTATATTCACTCACTCACTTCATTCATTCATTCACTCATCATCATCATCTCAGCCATTATTTGTCCACTACTGAAGAGAGGCCTCCCCCATAGACTGTCACAAAATCGGTCCTGAGCCACCTGCATCCACTGACTCTCTGTAGTGCATTTGAGGTCGTCACTCCATCTAGTAGGGAGGCTGTCCTTCATTGTGTATCTATACGGGGTCGTCTCTCAAGAACCTTTCCTTCTCAAGGGTTCTCGGTTCTTCGAGCTATGACTAGCTCAATGTCACTTCAGCTCGCTTATCTTTCGAACTATGTCGATGATTTTAGTTATATATCCTCGTTTCGGATTCTATCATGCAAAGAAACTCCGAGTTATACATATTCATTAAAATTTACTAAATGTACAACTTCTGAATTTATTTCCAGTATTAAGCAATAAATACAAGATATAAATAACAATAAATAACAATTAGATATTTACCCGCTTTTTTTATTAAAGAAATTTTAGGTAATTCCCTGTCGTCTGGCATATAACTTTTGGAGTATATAATGTTCGCTAGATCATTTTCTGGTTCAAAATTATCCATAAAATAAGAACGTTCATTTTTCAGCATAGACATTGATATAACCATTTGTATCTAAAATAAGATATAGACTACATTAAATTATTTTATTTCTAAAATAAAATATAATAGGGACCTACGAAAATAAGTATTTTACAAAACGAAGAATCTATCTAATCATATCTATCAGTAGCTTACCCAAAATAAAGAAAAACCAAATGAAAATAGAAAACGTAAACACATGTTTAAATTTCACAAGAATTATCATGAACTTCTTATATTTAATATTTAATTTCACGCATGACTATACACGTTAACTATAATTTTCATGAATAAATAACTACCTAGCTATTCTAAATGCTCAGATAGAATTTAACAATGCACAAGTGCTCGTTAAAAGTTTGTTTATGCTTACCGTTGATAAGAATGCGTGTTGTAACAAAAAGTTGAATCTTTTTTTTATATTTCATGTATGCCATTACAGTTTAATTTCCAAGGCTAAATATTATTTACCAAAAGTAAGTTTTGTAAAAAAGTCCTTTGTTCCATTGTGTTTCTTTCTTGGAGTAGCTATACCTACTTGCATGGCTGTTTCGATTTGAAACGTGGAATGTAACAGTAAAATTAAAGGGTACAAAAGTATCACATTATATTGTAGTTTTCAGGAAGAGCAATGTGTAAGCGGTGCCATGGGTATTACAGTAAATTCTGTATTATTTATGGTGTTCTTTATAAGCGACGGTTATCACTATACATCAAGTGGGCCATTATCATTTTAAGTACTAATCATAAAAAAAGTAATGGGTTTTCGATGATTTGAGGGCATTTCCAATTACGTCACGGAAATGATACTATGTGTATTGTTAACTGAAATTATTCTTTCAGTAGTAACTGCCCTCAGAAGAAATTTTTTCACGCTCTTATTTGGGATTCTCAAATGTATAAAAAATCGATCGTTATCATATCGTAGTTTGTTATTATAGGTATCTAAATTTTCGAATGAACGCATTCATAAATAGTTTCAAATAAGTACATCTTCAATTTTTTCCTAATATTGTTACATGTCTATAATATAATTAACTTTTTATTGGAACTTCATATACGTAGATCTTGAGAAGGAAAAAAATATAAGTACACTGAATTTAAAGTTAGATTTTCATGTTTGATAGAGTAGTTTATGCATGATACCGAAATAAAGATAAAAACACAGACAGATAAAAATTCTAACAATTATTGTTTTGACTTCATACCAATTTTTCTTATATTCCATTAATATAAAATGCATATTTTTATTACGTAATTAATACAGTTAATAAAACATATTATGTTAATAGGTAAAGAGTTAGAATTTTTTTTATATTTATAGTATTTTTTACATAATCCATATATTTTTTTATACCACTGAGATGGCAATCAAGCTTACGGCCCACCTGATGGTAAGTAGTTATTTTAGCCTATGAACCCCTGCAATACAAAGGGTATTACGCGCGTGTTGCCGACCCTGAAGAAATCTCTTTACCCCCCTTTTGGTCTGAACTTGTTGTGCATGAGGAGGGCGCGTGGATACACGATATTGAGGAAGCATGTGCTTGAATAACGCCGATGAACTTCATTGCCATCACGAAGGAAGACGTGGCTGTTGCGATCCGTCGGGCTCCAAACTAGAAAAGTCCGGGGATCGACGAACTGCAGCACTACTGGTTAATGGAGTTCTTGGCTAGCCATGCGACTTTAGCCGTGCAATTCTAGAGTGCCCTCGAAACCAGAGCGCTCCCGAACTTCCTTACAACCGGGATCACTCATTTAGCTCCTAAGACAGACGACACCGCGAATCCATCTAAATATCGCCCCATCACTTGTTTTACAACAATATTTAAGACGTTAACATATGTTCTGAGCGCTGAGATCTCACGTCATGTAAACGAAAATAAGATCCTATCTAGCACTCAGAACGGATGCAGGGGCGGTAGGTGACGTCCACCAAAATCATTCTAATCGTTTTGTCGGTGAACGGTCTTATCTCAATCTCAACTAGTCTGGAACAACATCTCAGTCAGTTGGGATTTCGAGGCGACTCACTCCCGGGAAAGATGCAGAAAGTGGTGCTCTTATATTCTGCCCGCATTGTACGCCGGTTTCTCTCCCTGGGGCCCTAAACCCCGGCCGCCTGTGCTTCTGCCGACGGTTAGTTGCCATCTCCTCTCCTTAAGAGGGGAGATGTGAAATTTGTAAAAATTATTATTAATTCAATAAATAATATATTATTCAGTATTATTATTATCCAAACAGCCATAGCAAACAGCATAAATATGCAGTGGCGGATTTGGTCTAAGGCCCAGCATTGCAAACAGCGTAGAAAAGAAAGCTTTTGATTTTGACATACAAAATCGAGGCTGTAGACTAGGCTGTCGGCGAAGGCGAGGCTGATTTTTATTAGTGAATACCAAATACTATGACAAAATGTCAAATCGCACAGCCTTGAAGAGTTTCCGTTTACGCCGCTCGTCTTTGGACGCTAGTGTCGCGTATTAGGAATTAGTGAATATCATTTCAATATTTCATCGCTGCGTCAAGGCTGATATCTAGGCTGTTTGCTTAGAGAATAGCACTGTTGATCTCTAGCCTGTTTGCTTAGAGAATAGCACTGCTGATCTCTAGCCTGTTTGCTTAGAGAATAGCACTGCAGTAGAAAATGACATATGGCCGTATAACCTTACTAAATCCAAATACAACCTGCTCGCATACTTTCTACATAAACTGTGTCGAATATATAACCTAGTTTAATAAAATGCAATTTCACATGACAGAGTATATATTTAAATCTAAGACAGTAAAAAATGTCAGAGGTTAATATGTTTTTTAAAAAGAGTATACGATGAGGTTGTAACATTACTCCCCAATGAATATGATTTATATACAATGTTTGTCTGTCTCTACAATGTTTCTTAATCATAAAGTAGTCGTCTCGGAGGGCGTCTGGTACGTACACTACGACGCAATGGTACGGCTGTTTCCTCGGCCGTAGAATATGCCTCTTTAGTAAGTGGTATTGATGTCAATTGTTGCCATTCTTGTGGTAGCTCACAGGGTGATGTTTGTAATGGTGTAATTGGAGCATTTGCTTGAGTTTGCTCTGGAGAAGGTTCCTGAATTTCTGATGTTGGGGCCTGTAATGGAGTCATACTCGCTTGTGAGTCTTGAGATGGTTCTTTAACCATTCCTCCTATTTTGGTACTTTCAGCTTCATCAATTGCTCGAGAACGTATATGATCTGCATGTCTTCGTTTTTCCACACCATCAGGTGTTTGAACTAGGTACGAATAACGGTGAGTACGTAATGTTACAGTAGCAGGATGCCAAGTTGATTCATTTCGCGTGCGTATATAAACTGGGTCACCACTCTTAAATTCTTTTAAAGGCTGATCTCCATGTAAGTTAGTTTGAAGTTGTTTGAAATTTAGTGTTTTTCTTAAATCTGGGCGTAGATTGTCAAATACACAATTTAGTTGATGGCCAAACATTATTTGTGCTGGAGATTTACCTGTTGTAGATTCCACAAGGGATACAAAAAGCTGTATTACACTACCTCCACCGCGGCCATCCAGGCACATCTGCTATGCGAGCTCTGGCTAGATTTTATGTCTGGTGGCCCTCCATAGACGAAGATATATCTATCCTGTCATTGTCATGAAGACTTCAGACCCTATGCTGTTTGGATTAGACTGGAGTGAAATGTTTGGAATGGAATTTCCGGAAGCTGTATATTCTATTAAAGCAATTAATGAACAACAGACACTACAAAACATCCTAACAAATTACGCAACACTTTTCAACAACAAACTTGGTAAAGTAAAAAACTATCAGGTCAACATTCACATTAAACCGGGAACAGAAGCAAAACATTTTCCACCACGTCCTGTAAAATTCAGTATCAAAAAGAACATTGAACTGGAACTAGATCGATTAGTGCAAGAAGGGATTATCACAAAAGTGGATCCTAACATAACACCCGTAGAATGGTCAACTCCAACAGTTAATGTCGTAAAACCTAATGGTCAAATTCGTATTTGCGGTGATTATCGCGTCACAATCAACCCTGCATTAATAACACACCTACATCCAGTACCACTTTTTGACCAATTAAGACAACAGCTTGCAAATGGTGAAAAATTTTCCAAAATTGACTTAAAGGATGCATATCTTCAATTTGAAATTGCCCCTGAATCAAAAAAGTATCTTACAATAACAACACATAAAGGATATTTCCAATACAATCGAATGCCCTTCGGTATTGCAACAGCACCATCAATTTTTCAACATTATTTAGAAAAACTACTAGACAACATCCCGAATACGGCCGTCTACTTCGATGATATTGCAGTAACAGGAAAAAATTACAGCGAACACCTAAGTACTCTGACGTCAGTACTCAAGAGATTGCTAGAAGCTGGCCTCAAAGTTAACTTAAAAAAATGTAGTTTTCTCCAACCCGAAATTGAATATCTTGGACACATAATTGACGCACGTGGTGTACGCCCAACTAAAACAAAAATTGATGCAATCGCTAAAGCTCCAGCGCCAAACAATACTAAAGAACTACGATCTTTTTTAGGAATGGTCAACTTTTACGAGCGATTCATTCCGCACTTACATACACTTTGTTCAGACTTGCACGACTTAACATCTTCACGAAAAAAATGGAAATGGACGAAAGAATTACAAACCGCATTTGAAAAGGTAAAAACCTGCATAACAAAAACAAGACCTCTGATAGCTTATGATGATAAACGAATGCTTTATCTAGGATGTGATGCTTCCGAAAAAGGACTTGGGGCTGTTCTTTTCCACAAAGAACACAATATTGAACAACCGGTCGCATATGCTTCTAGGAAATTAAAACCTGCAGAAAGTAAATACTCTGTAATAGACCGAGAAGCATTAGCTATCTACTTTGGTATCAAAAAATTTGATCAGTTCTTAAGAGGAGTCCGTTTTACATTAATTACTGATCACAAACCTTTAATCTACCTTTTAGGCCCACAAAGAAATCTGCCTATACTTGTTAATAACAGATTGGTGAGATGGGCGTTAGCAATTGGGTGTTATAATTATCACATTGAGTATCGAAAGGGAGAACACAATATTCTTGCAGACTTTTTGTCAAGAATGCCAAACCCTGACCAAATACCGTCTGAAGGTGAACTGACTGTACATAAAATAGGCACGCGATTGCAAGCGATAAAAATGATTGATTTAACACTTTCAGAGAAACTGATTAAAGAAGAAACAGGAAAAGATCCCGTCCTAAGGGAAGTATCCAATCATATTAAACTTGGCTGGAAGAATCAATGTAATAGTCACCTAAAACCTTACTATCGAAAACGTGAAGAACTTGCCATCGAGAATAAAATTATAATGTGGGGCGGAAGAATTGTAATTCCACAAGGGATACAAAAAGCTGTATTACACTACCTCCACCGCGGCCATCCAGGCACATCTGCTATGCGAGCTCTGGCTAGATTTTATGTCTGGTGGCCCTCCATAGACGAAGATATAGATAGATATATTAAACTTTGCCATAAATGTCAAGAAAACAGGCCGAATGATCCAGAACTCCCTATTTACTCTTGGTCTATCCCAGAAAAAAATTGGGAAAGAATTCATATTGATTTCGCAGGTCCTTTCGAAGGAAAGTATTGGGTAGTAGTTGTTGATGCTTTATCAAAATGGATTGAAGTACGACCAATGACTAAAACTACTACAGTAAAACTATGTGCTAAACTGGATGGAATATTTCAGGGCTAAGGCATGTGAAAAGTAATTGTCTCTTCACATTGTCAGTGTCTCCACCCCATATGTTACATTTGACTTCAAAGTAGTCTATGAAATTATGTATATCCGTTGTTGCGGGATTGAATTGATCGCATTTAAAATTTTTTAAGACTGTGTTTGACGATGTTGTCAATATGCTCGAGTCTGTTACTCGTAGTAGGGGTCTGTGACGTTCCACTTACTTGTATTACTGTTTGTGTAAGTAATTCCAGTATTTTAGTTATTTGTGTTTGTTGGTTTTGTTGTACCTTAAGGAATTCTTCCATTAATTCCGGATTCATTTTAAAATCCTCGTCGCCAATTTAATAAAATGCAATTTCACATGACAGAGTATATATTTAAATCTAAGACAGTAAAAAATGTCAGAGGTTAATATGTTTTTTAAAAAGAGTATACGATGAGGTTGTAACACCTAGTAATGTAAAATTTGTTATTGATAAATAATGAATATATCAAACATTTTCTATACACTACCTTGGTATGAATTTAAAAACAAGGAATTACATAGAAGGAGTGATAAAATTATCAAATTATAGCAGGCTAGTGTATAGAAAATGGTAACGGCCGTACAAGTTTAACAAATTCAGATATAACCTGCTTGTATACTTTCAACATAAACTGTGTCCAATATATAATGTAGTAATGTGAAATTTGTTATTGTCAAATATTTGACATATCAAACATTTTCTAAACACTAGCTTGCTATAAATTGAGAAAAATAGCAACTGAGGGTGTATCTTTCGTCCTCTTTTTACTAATTACATTTGCATAAGAAGAAAGGAGCAACCACATGATTTATAGTTTTTATTTAATCATTCCTTCTATGTAATTCCTTGTTCATAGAGGTATAGTGATATAGTCTTAAGAACAAGGGGGTAAAGGGATTGTTAGTAATGAAGACTAAGAATCCCATTGCTAACAATATACCCAACCAGCTCGGCCTCCTCGTGGTTCCCCCTGGAAACTATCATGGTTAATTCCTGATGAATTTATCATGATGGGCTAACTGGCCTGTTTTCATTCTCATCAATCACCTTTCACTGGTGCTCCGCCAGCGTATCCCGTTAGCGCAGGCGGGTTGCCATTCCATTTTCACCTATCAAAAAAAAAAGTCTTAAGAACAAGAAAACTTTGGTATTCTGTTACCTTGTAATTGTTTCTTTTTGGCTGATGGCTTTCGCCAAAGTCACAATAAATGAAAAAAAAAAAACTTTGGTATAGTCTCTGTAATCTGTGTTGTGAATTGTTAAAACTATTATTCTTATCTTAATGTGACAAGTCAGCATTTTGATCGGTATATGTTTTATTAAAATTAGAGAAAATCAAAGGAAGAAATGAATATACCCTTTCCTGTTTTAACTCCACGTTTAGTAGATTCGAAATGGTTCAACGCTGATAGCCCTTGTGATGAGGAGGCAGAACTTACTGCATTAGAACAAGCAAATCAGCAGTGGGTAAGTGATAATTATTATTTATTTAAATGTTTTAATGCTTGGTTAATATTTATTAATATAAACTATTTATCACCATTATGTATAACATGTAAAAAGTAATGATGACTCGGAGCCCCGGACTGCAAGTGATCCTCCGTCAAATTAAATCTCAAAGAACATTGTTTTACCGTCCGTAATAGAATTCAGTTCATTCAGCGGTTGATAAAATGAAAACAGTTTGTTAATGCATTTACAGCAGTATCAATGTAGTATTATTTGATTAGTCTTTACCAATATTATGAGAAAGTGTGTTTGTTAGTTTTAAATACCATAACTGTTTAACCAATTTTCATTAAACAGTATTTGGGATGAAAATCGTAGTTTTATGTTCATGAAAACTAATACCTAATTGAAAAATAAAGTATTTAATAAAATTACATCGAATAGATATTGTTTTATTTTAGTTGAGTTCTATTGGGCTGCAGTATATGAAACGGGCTCCTCTTGGCAAGACTGATCCTGAGCCAATGGAAGAAGAGGCTGATACTGATGAGGAAGAAGGTTTGTAGAACTTGTTTTGTGTACTTGGCATAGTAATTATAGTAAAATTCTTTAAAAACTTAAATTGTCGCAATATTTACAATATTGTAAAGATATATTATTACTATACTTCTTTTGCAATTAATCTATAAAAGACATATTTGTGAGGGATTATAAAAGACTATTATTAGTAATAATTGAATACTCTTCTAGCAATAATAATTTAAGAAAATAATAAATTGAAAGAATTTCAAATAATTGATTATCTTTACATATTAGTTTTTATTAAATTATTGCTTAAAATTCTAATGATTTTTTTCATTAGGTAATGATGAATCAGATGAATCAGAAGAGTCACATGATGAAGATGAGGAAGAAGAGTTACGAACATCATATTCTCCAGCTAGGAATAACAATGAACTGGAGCCTGATAGCTTGGATGACTTGAATGATGCTTCAGAATTGAACACTTCTGACCAAAGTGCTATGTATTGAACATATATTGATACAGCAATTGATTAAGTAAATTAATTGACAAAGCAGTGCATTGTTCACTGTGATAAATGAACACTGAATTTCCTGAAAAATAGAGAATAGATTAATGATGTCACTCTATTGAAATGACCAGTTTTTGATTAAATTAATAAAAAAATATATTGTATGTTATTTATACTTTTATTTATAACACTTAACTGTATTGGATATAAAAGCTTAATTGAAAACAATATATTCAATTTTATTTTCATTGTATCAGTCTATGATTATCTAAATACAATATGTTAATATTCCTTCCTTAACAACTATTAATTGTCTATTGATGAGAACAGATCACCTCTCCATGTTAATATTATTAATATTTAATTGAAGATATGAGGACTTGCATTTATAGTATGTTATTTTTGTGCTTAGACAAGTTTTATAGACATTAACAATATCCTTAATCTAATACCCTAGGATGCTGCTGAGGAAGTAATTGTTACATGCATTTTAAGTTTCACATAATTCTTTTTATTAGGCTTAAATAAAATCAGTTCTAAATATTACATAAATTTCACTGATTTTTCTGATATTTTCTCATCATGTATATTTAATGCAAGTGTTAAAATAATTTTATTATATATTATCAAATAAAAATATTGTATATGTTTGTGCCAATACATGGATTGGCAATGTTGTTATTGAATTAATGTTAATCACAACTACAGAACAAAACAATACACATTAAAGACAACAGGCCATTTTATTAGCCACTTTTTAACAAATAAATATTTAATCATATAAAAATAATTTATATAATATTAATTTAATTATTAAATATTACACCATTAATTAACTTTATTATTATGAAGTATCACAATATGTATTCATTCATTTTTTACATTGTAACCCAAAGTGGTTGGTTTCTACCCATTTTATTTATCAAAACTTTTTTATTATGACTTAACATCTATTGTAATACAAAATAACTTAGAAGACTGGGAATTAGCCCCTTTGGCATAACTGACATGGAAAAAGAGCCTTGTTTTTTAATTTTTGCACTATGAAAGTACTTATTACAAACTTTACAAGTTTTTTTTTATTTAATTAGCATGCAAATACATTAATAAAAAAAAAAAAAAAAAACAAAAAATACTATGGACTTTTTAGTACAAGTTAAACCTCTTGGATATTAATAATTATACTTTACAATAATAAATAGAATTGTTATCAACAATATTAAGTTTCCCTGGGTTCAATACTGGTGACGTCAATTACAATATTTACAACTCTTGTAAGTAGGGGTGCCATATTAACCTTTGGGACGCCACTGTACCATTTATTTTCCAAGCACTTTTCTATAAGAGCATGTATAGAGGTCTGATCTGGAAAGGATTTAAATTATTGAGACTATGAATCAAATAAAACATATTTATGAAACAGTTTAAGCTTGCCATCAGCTCCTTTTAGACAATGGGCAAACAAATTTATTGTTATCACTCATGAGCATCAGAATGACAGTAGCTAGTTACATATATTCACAGTTAAATACAATCAAATTCGAGTTTTAGAATTATTAATACACATTATTTTTACAATAGCATTTAAACAACAGCTATTAATTTATTAAAATAGATATTTTGTGGAACAAACAAATATTCTAAATATAAATATATACTATATATATATAAGTATTCTAATATGTTTTTTTCTTAAAATGTCCTAATTAACACAAATATACTGGATAATACTGGTTATATCATACAATACCATCCAGTATTAGTACAAAGCAGAGCTTGCAGTATGGGTGGATAGTGAGAAGATGTAGAATTTTTAGTAAATACCTATGTATATTGTATGTATATACATAAAAGAAACAGGGATCGAGCCCAAGATCATACGAAAATAAGGAAATATATAAATATATTTTTTATACTCAAAATATTTTTTTAAGCTTGTAAAGCTATTGCCTTACAAAAAGTTTCTGAGTTATGTATATGCAATATCTCAAGTAGCAAAGCTTAAGTTAAAGTTTACTATTATTCTGATAGTAAGTAATCACCATTGGCCACATTAATTTCACATGAAATTGTAGATATAGCATAGACACAGGATATCGCAAAGGATAACACATAGAATTTATATATATTATATAATTATATGTATAATGAATTTTTTAAGTAGATATAAATGTATGCTTTGTTGGTTGTCCTTAAATAAATAAATAATGATAGTATAAGGGCAGGGGTAGCACAAAAGATACCAATGGGTCGATGTGCTTAGCTGATCTCATTCGAAAATAAAAGATAAAACATACAACGAATTAGGTATTTTACACAAGACAACATAGGTTAAACAGCAATGGTACATACCTGATGGTATATCAGAACATTGCGCTAAATTCAATGTAAAGAATATGGCGCTCTTTTTCACTAAAGGATTATATTCATCACAGTAATAATGAAAAGCCATAGCAAGACTAGAAGGGACTTTATCGATTTCTGTAATAAGCATTACTCCAGATTTGTCTACATCATCTCTATATTTCTTTATTAGTTCATTGTGAGTATTCATGTTAAGATTTGTACCCTGTACTGTAATGTGTTGAACTGAGGTAGAGTCATTTCCTGAAAAAAAAAAAAAAATGTTAAGACCAGGGGATCTATAATGAATTTAAATTCCGAATTTTCGAACTTAATTTCGTACTTATGTTCATACTGAAATCACCCCAGTAAATGGAGTTTAAGTCCAAAGGAAAGATATTTTAATATTTTTAAACAGTATGTAATTTTAATATAAAAATTCGTGTTTCGTTTGGTCCCAAAATTTCAGAAAGTATTTCATGGTAGCCCCATTGTTCACGGAATACATTCGTTATTAAAGTTTCATCTTTAATAATAACAGAATGCACGTTTATATATTTTGGAATTATAGTATATTTAGATTCGTCAAAATGGTTATTGACGGCTCATTGTTTTATTTTAAACTGTTTTACGACTAGAATAGAATCTACAACTAAATAACGAATATGTAACGTAGGTTGAATATTTCTAAGAATTATTAGTTATTTAATACAATTAATTTTGTTCAATTTAGCAAGTAACTAACCATGTAGCGTACCCAACTCATCTGGAGTTGGGTACACTAGATGTTTAATTAGACAGATACCTTGTTCATTTTAACATTTTGTTAAATACTTATTTAATTTTCTAGCAATAAAAACAAATGTCTCACTTAAATAATGTGCAGAAGTTGTCGAAACATCGTGCATAAACCTGTTTAATTCGGCTGGATCAAAGTTTTTTGAATTACTGTTATAAATAAATATGAAGGATCCTGTATCTTGCCGTCTATATATTGTTGAAATACCTGAAAACCATAATAAATTTTTAATAGGCAACTCTTATACTAATGGACAGCATTAATAAAAACACTATGGTCAATAATTTTGTATCTCAATTTACATGAGATTTCTTGACGTTAAGAAACTTGTCGATAAAATTTGTCAAGTATATCTCTGATAGCAGTAATAGGTGCACCATTAACAAATAAAATTGATATTAGAGATGAAAGTCATGAGAAGGCTCACTCTGTATCTCTGGATGAAAATGTGTTCGGCGAATAATTTACGTTTACGATCACTGACTAGATATCTCTTCTAAATTTTCAGTTACGAACACATATTAGGCATATAATTTAAATATAAACGTATCTACTTATTGTTAGGAATCGAAAAATTTATGGCATTTAAATATTAATGTACTTTATTATTTTTTTGTTAAATAGGTATCCTTTAGTGTCGAAGTTCCAAATTAAGACAGAACTTTTAATTAAATATGGATAAAAAAAATTATATAAGATAGTTTGAAAACTGTTTTTATTACCTGTTTGTAATTGTAAAATGGTATCATCAGTCACTTTGTATTTTCTTCTTAGATTATTTATATCAGTATGGAATTTTAATTCATCATAAACAATACTGCTTCCTCCTTGAAATATATTGAGCATATTTGCTTCTTTACAATATGCTAACACTGTATATATCAAAAATCCTACTAAGGGCAGTAAGAATATGGAAACTTTTTGAGTGGCTTCTTGGCTTTTAGATTTGTCTTGAAAGTTGTTTGATTTCTGATTACTTTGCGAGTCAAAACTTCGATCATGGTAGATTGATCTTTCTCTTTCAAAACTATATGACTTCTGTCTATTTTGTTTTGACGACGAAACATGTGATGTTTGGTTCACCCGATCACTATGCGCTGAATAATTAAAATCACCTCTGCAATATGACGGAAGAATTGCCGGTACAGACTTAGCAAGTGTATCACTGTAACGAAACAGTCATTACCAGCCCATAATTTATCAAGAACTAGTAAAATGAGTGAATGATATTAATGAAAATAGTAGGTTATATAACTTTATAACTTTTATAAAAATAAAAGTATAATAGCAATGTTTAATGGTTTTAGTGGATGGTAATGTACTGTTTTTTTTTTAATAGGTGAAGATGGAATGATGCATCTGCGTAGATATGCTAATAGTATACAATAGAGAGGTGCCGATGAAGAATGCAATGACGATGAATTCAGGTCAATTGGGCTATCAGAGTGAATTCATTAGAATTTAACCATGACGGTTACCAGGAAGGGCCGCGGGGAGACTATATCGCTAGCAATAGTCTAACATCTCCATCATTAACTACCCCTTCCCCCCTCGGTATGCAATGGTAATATTAAAGAAATATAAGAAGCCAGTACAGTAAGATCATAATTAGTATAACGTACGAGTACTTAAGTAATGGGGGAGAAGGGATTGTTAATAATGGGGACTAGCAACACCATTGCTACTCGTTGTGTACATCGTGATTAATTTCTAGTATATGGTATTCGTTACGATGGGCTAACTGACATGAGCTTTATATCTTCACCTGTCATCCCTCTGGCACCCCGTCAGCGTAAAATTTTGGCGTAAAAGCCTATTTTTTTTGTATGCTTCAATATTTATTTGCGTCTTTTTTTAGAGGATGAAGATGGAATATTGCACCCACCTATGCTGACAAATACAATTGTGGGGCTCTAGAGGAGAATAAAACGATGAGATTGAAGACAGATCAGTTTTTTTAATGAATTATAAATTTTAAGGAATACTAACCCCGCCTGCGCCAATGGTATACACTAACGGTGTACATGACAGGACAGGTGAGGATGAAAAGGCAGGTCAGTTAGCCCATTGAGATGAAAACATCTGGAATTCGACATGATGGTTTCCAAGGCGGACCTCGGACCAAGGTCGATTTGATAGGGTATATTACTAGCAATGGGACTGGTAGTTTACTTACAATCCCTTCCCCTGCCAGATAGATTAATGGATAATATTTTTTTTAATGGATGATAATAGAATGGTAACCTCACCAGCACTAACGTTAGAATGAAAAGGCAGGTCAGTAAGTCTATCATAATGTATACATCTGGAATTTAGCACGATGATTTCCAGGGGGGACCATGTAGAGGTCGACCTCCTTGATCATTGACCATCATGGTTAATTCAGTAAGAATTAATAACGACAATCAGGAGGGTCTGTGCTGAGGTCAAACTGACAGGGTATATTATTACTTAGTGAAAGGAAACTGCCCCTATTATTAACAATTTCCCTTTTCTCTATTTGCACTAATAAACACTGATCAGAATATAAATAAATATATGGATGCTATAGTTTATTTATATCTATATAGCTTTATGTAACAGTAGTTATGAATTAAAGACAAGGTAAAGCAAAAGCAGTTCCTTTCCAGTTTATTTAACAACCAAAAAAAAATCAGAAGAGAATATGTAAATAAGTGGTTTAATACATATGATTTAATCAAAAAAATTAAAACTTACTACAAATCTGTAGTGTTTAGTCACTTTCTTTAAAATTAATAATTTGGCACAAAAAACGGTAAAACAATAGCTAAAATAGGTCAGATTTTTATGAATAAGGGGGCTGTATAAGCAGTCTATACTTATAAAATTGTTTGTCAACACACAGCTAAGTCTAGAAAGCTGAAGATTATAACACAAGCATCTAGTTTTTAAATACTTAAAGAATAAATAATATATGATACATGCAAAGCTGCAGACAACAGTCCTCTATAAGAGCAATCATAACTAACAATGGTAAGTTAATTATTGCAATTTTCAAGTTACAATGATAACAAATTTTATGAATATATAAAGATACTTACTCTGCATCAGAGTTATCATCTGAGTCGTCACTGTTTGGAGTGCCTAAGGATTGTCTTCTGTATGCATTTTTATGATTGACATGAGTTTGTAAAGGACTTGATGTCTTAACTGGTTTGCTGCAATAGACATTTTCAAGGTTTATTTTTTTAGAATAAGAAAATTATATTATAATGATTTAGTATTCAACCCTTGCTTGATGATTTTATATATAAAAATCATAACTGGTCACTGGGTGTACATGGAAGATATATAAAAAAAAAAAAAAAAAACTATTAGATTAACAGAACCCAAAACAATGATTTATACAATTTATCTCTAAGCCAATCTCAGAAATGGCTTAAACGATTTAAATGCAGTTTTCACTAATGCATTGCTGTTGGCTCTATTTAACATTTAGTGTTTGTTTTATTTCATTAAGTTTATAAATAAAGTTATATCAATCTAAAAAATCACATAAAATAACTGATTACAATAGAAAGTTATGTTATCAACAAGTACAATATATATATATATATATATATATATATATATATATATATATATATATATATATATATATATATATATATATATATATATATATATATTAGCTTCCTGAATAAACAGAATATGATTGCAAGTTTTCTAGACAAAAATGTGTACTTGGTAAAAAAAGCTATATTATTTTTGTATGAACTTCCTTGTTCATAATTCATTTAATTTATAAAAGGACATTATCAATACAGATCTATGTGCTATTTAATAATATGTTAAAATAGAAAATAAAAAATTCAGTACCTCATAACATTGTCGACCACATCAAATCCTTGAGTATTTTGTGCAGTTGCATGTGTATCTCCTTTATGAGTCTTATTCAAACCATATCTACCCATATTATTGCTATGTAAAAATGGGCAATTTGCGTGATTATGAATACTCTTCCTTGCTGATGGTATTATAGAAACCCCCCCAGTCTAAAACAACAAAAAATAATGAAAAATTGTGTAAAGATATGTAAGGGTATCTACTGATTGGATATATGGATGGTGTGCCTAATAAACAGTGGTAACAATTACCTATAGAGATGAACAAGACCATTGACAACACAAACATACTGTGACATCCATATTATCCCTTATGTGGTATCATTTCTAAGGATTAAGATATTAAGCATTTGTTCCCAGTAATTTCACTGACATTTCCTATTCTTGGAACTGAGGCATAGCTACACATGCAAAATGGCTTAACAGCATAAACAAGAGTGGGTCGATAGATGATTTCTTTTTCTTCTAAGCAATAATTAATTGTAATAATTTTTGTTCAGCTCTTTTTATTAACTGGAATGTTTATTAATGTCAAGAAAGAGAGGAAGGGAATTTTTAGTAATAAGTCTAAAAGTCTTATTGCAGTCTTATAGTAATATATCCTATTAGGTTGACTTTCATGCAGTGCCTCCTGGAATGCTTCATGGTTAATTGATAAAGAATTCGACACGAAGAGCTAATTGAAATGCTTTCATCCACAACTATTGTCTTGCCAGTGTATACCGATAATGCAGGCGAAGTTACCATTCTATGTTTATATCATTAAAAACATCAAGAAAGGAGGCATAGGATAGATAAAATCAAAGTAAACTAGATTGTTTTACATAATGTTTATAAGGATTATTTTTTTAATATTAAACCTCTGAATAATGTAGTGGTTTGTAAAAACAAAAAGTCATAAAACTCACTCCATCGTACTCATCAATCATTAGATGTTTAGACTATTAAAATCCACTCTGAGTTTACTACAATTATTATCTCAGACCAACTTAATTATATACTTATTAATCCAATCTACAACTTTTATTCGGCGGTCACCTAAAAAAAAAAATCTTTCTCATTATTTTTGACAGATTAAGCTTCACTTTTGGTGATAAAACATCTATATAAGTGTAACTATTTAAGGTATCACTGAATTTTGTAGGTAAACTTAATAGAATAACGATTATATATATTTTTTTATTCTCTAAGTTTCATGAAACAGTACCTAGAAAACAATGATATCGCAAAACAATGTGAAAATAAAAACATAAAATATTCCTAATAATGACATCTGACAATTACAGAAGACGTGCAAGATAGGTATATCTACCACAGATTAGTTAGAAAACTCTATATAGACTAAAGATATTTTTTAAGGGAAATTAATGGTGCCCGTTGCAGGTAGGATGCGAACTACTAATTAGTTCGCATCCTGCCTACAGCGGCATCAGACAATTTTGTAATGGGCATATACCCTATTAAATCGACCTCTACGCGATCTAGCAGGAAGTACAGAACCTGGGTACTAAATTTCAGGTGAATTCATCAAAATGGGCTAATTATTCTGGCTTTTCATCTCACTTATTGTCCCGCATTGGTGGTCTCGGGCATACACCGATACCGTAGACAGTGTTACCATTTCATTATTATTTCATTAATGCAGTATAGTAACCGTTTACTATCACATAGGTTATAAGATTTTTGTCACTTTCGTGCTGTAAAAAAAGTTAATGTTGTGTTTCATAAAAAAAGCCGTCTTCAATTGTGACAAAACCAATTATTTTAATTTAAAAATTAACCTCTGAACCGATTTAGATAAAAATTCTGTGAGAACAATGTTTAAGTATGTCTTTTCAGATGAAAAAAAATTATTTAAAATCGATTTATAACTGACGGAGTTCTTTTTATAAGTCGGTTGAAATAAACCGCCATGCTATAGGGGCTTGACTTAAACGGTAAATAGGAAAAAAATAACTATATACTTATTGATTACCTGCCAATATTCCTTGCTAATATTATAAACGTGAAAGCGAGTTTGTTTGTTACCTTATAGCAATTAACCAGTCACTATGGAGAGGAATAGAATTCTTAACAATGGGGATTTACCAGCTCCATTACAGTCACTATGAAATTTGATATATACATATATATGATGGAGAAAGATATAAGCTTAGATATAAGTTACTTTTTATCTCAGTCAGTGAAAATATCCTGGTCATGCGGACTTGGTCCCGGTCACGGTAGTCTCTTATGATTATCGAGAACACGAAACGGAGTGGTGACATATTGATTAAAGATTCTTAGGGTAGATTTACAGTAAGTATGAGCTATGCGCACCAATGAGCACAATAAATTAATTCCGAAAATCCTGTGGGCATAGATTCTGTATCGGCGGCGACTTAGGAAGCAATATCTATATATATAGATATATATACGACTATCTTATATATAAAATAGTAAAGGTTGAAAAGTCGTTAGTTACGGAAATTAACTGGAGATTCTAAGAAATATGCGATATAACATAAATCAAAATTTTGTCAAATTCTTTTTGTCTGTCTGTTTATTACGTTATTAGGAGAAAATAGTTCAATGACGTATCAGGGACGTGTACGGAAATTCCGGTTCCATCCTCAAGAAAAAAATAATTTTATAAATTTTTATAAACGTTGGTTTTAAAACTCTAAAATTAAAAATACAGTATTATTTATTTCAAATGAATATTTAAAGGAAATAAAGAAACGAATTAATATAATAAAGTGGAAGTGTTCGTTAATTTGTTTGAACATGTTACATTTCTGGAAATATCAGTTAGATTTGAAAAATTATTTTCGCATTTCATAGATCATTTCTTGAGGAAATTATTAAGCTATTGAACATTAGTATTCAACCACGGACGACGCTGCGGGATACTGCTAATTCTATAAAAAAAGATAATTTATTTTAATGAGAGTTAATCCATGGTGTTCTAGAACACACAATTTTTCAAGAAATGGCTGGTCAAGTTAAGAGGTAATGTCGGCAGCTTCTTGAAAGTACTACTTTTATTACCTAATTTTATTTATTTGTTTGTTGATGCCATTATTAAAAATTAATACATACATACTAAAGTACATACTACGTAGATGTGGAAACTCTATAAAACGAGTTGTTATTACTGGCAGTTCGTAATAATAGCTAAGAACAAAAAAAGATCTGCATATAAATATGAAAGAAGCGAAAAAAGAACTAAGATCTCAGATTTTATTTTTCAATGTATTAGCTTTTTCATGATGAAGAACGGAATTGTGTTCTTTATAGTTATTGTTACCTTCGGGTTTGCAATTTGCTTTGCAGAAAACGTTAAAAAAAGCATAGATGATAATCGAGAGGATAATGGCGACACTGAAGAACCCTATAGCATGGACATCTCCGCAGAAAATGAATCCAACAACATTACGTGCGCAAGACGGCAAAATAGCTTAATGCATGAAATTATAAAGGCAAGTTCTAAGCAATTTCCTTTCATGGCTGCTATTATGTCTCATCAGAACGAATATCTATGTTCCGGATCCGTGGTATCTAACGGCCTGATTCTTACAACTGCACAATGTACACAACAATCTATTAGTTATGTGTTATTAAATACAACGAAGGCTAAAAAAGATGACGCTTCGACTATGATCCGCGTGATAAAATCTGATAAATTTCCTTCATATACTGGATCAGACTCTTTAAAAAATGTCGGGTTGATTTATACAGAAAAATTTAATAGTACTGTTGCTTCTAAAATTAAATTGAGCAACTACACTAGCGTCCGTAACATACTTGATATAAATGCTTTGGGATTTGGATTGAATTCTGATGATGGCCAATTGAAAGAATTGCAATACGTTGGCTTAGAGCATCGATCTTTGTATGACAATCAAGATATATTGAAGGGATATTTTGACTGTGTTGAAACAAAGGTAATAACTTGTTTTAAAGATACTGGCGGGCCAGTGATTTACGACAATGAACTGGTAGGTATTATTACTAAGGGGCAAGATTCGTGTACAAAAGAGATGTCTTCTGTTTATGCAGTTAATAAATTTATGGTGGAAGCTTTACCAACTTACACTTTTAAGGCCTGGATAGATGAAAAAATTAAGAAAAACGAAGAGCAAGACGAGACCGCTCTTATAGTTTATCCCTCGAAGCCCGTTCTACGTAAACAAGTTCATAAAATGACAAGTGCTGGTAATAACATTATTATTATGCCGTTAATTGTTCTTGTTACGTTTTTCGTGTCTACAATATTCTGAACTACATGACTCTTATTATGTTAAATTTCTTGTGATTTAATAAATTTTGATTCCTGTGAAGTATTTTCTATTTACATTTAAATAAGTATATTTTATTAATATAATAAAATTTGAACTAGAGAATATCTGTATATGGGAGATACTTAAAGAATCCAAAATAATATTTTTTAGAAATTTTTTACTAAACATTTCTTAAGGCATGTTAGGCCCTTTTTGGGATGCAAAAAAAGTATTGAACACGCGTGATTATCATGCTTATATATGTAATCGTATATTCAATCTTTTTCGTATAAAAAAGCGCAATAAATTAAAATGTAATTACTTAATATAATAATACTTTGAATAAAATAACTCCTAACAAATAATATTTCTTAAAAATTTTTCTTAATAACCCAAAAATTGTTTACAGCTTGTAATTATAATTAGGTTTAGCTAAATTGGGTAAAGTTTGATCACTTAAATAGATATTGGTATGTTGTTAGTAATGAGTACCAGATAGTTATTTTTCGTATAAAGAAAAATAAATACCCGTTACAGATATCTATTGGCGTGTGAGTTCAACTCGGACTTGACCGTTTTTTTAATGTTTGTTTTAATCTGAAGGTTCTTTGGGGGGTTTTTACTAATCGACCATTGTGCTAGTTACCTTATGTTAACTTCTTTACAAAATAAAAAAAAAAAAAAAAAAAAAAAATATATATATATATATATATATATATACTCGTATTGTGCGCTATAAAGTAGATGACCATATTGCGAAAAAAATTCGTGCAGCGGATATTGTATTAATATAAATTAATATATTATTATAAATAAGACTTGGTTTCGTATTTCTTGGTCGTTCGACATAAAATATGATATGTGGTTTAGTAAAATAATTAAATGCCCTTTTCTGCGGCAGACAGCGCCATTTAAGATTTATTTGCGAAAGATAGAACCAATTGTTATAATAGTAATTCTTTCTCCCCTAAAAGGGCAGGTCTTTTTCCCCCAAAAGGGCAGGTCAGTTAGTTTATTGTGATGAGTAAGTACCCCGGAAGTCAAGTGTATTCATCATGATGGGCTCACTGACCTGTCTTTTCATTCTCCCTTATCATCTATCATTGGCGCCCCGTCAGCGTATACCGTTAGCGCAGGGAGGATTACTATTCCATTATGATCCATGAAAGATAGGGTATATTATTAGCAATGGGACTGGTAGTCTGCATTACTAACAATCCCTTTCCTCCACACTTCCCTGATTTTTTTTAATGGATGATAATAAAACTCCGCCCGTGCTAACGCTATTCGCTGGCCGGGCACCAGTGAGAATGAAAAGATAGGTTTCCCATCGTGATTAATATCCCTGGTATTCAACACGATGGTTTCTTGTGGAGACCACGTGAAGGTCGATTTGACAGAGTATATTGCTAAGAATGGCACTGGTAGTTTCTATTACTAACAATCGTTTCCTGCCCATACTTCCCAGTTAGATACCTACTGCCTAACCGGAGGAAGAAAGGATTATTTTCTGGTCGACCTCCACATGGCTCCTCCTGAAATTATCATGGTTAATTCTAAATGAATTTGTCACGATGGGTTAAATGATCTCTTTTTTAACCTCACCTATTACCCTTCACTGGTGCCCCCTTAACTTATATGATAGAGCAGACGGGTTACCATTTCATTTTCACCCTTGAAAAAAGACAAGTGGGAAGTATCTGTCTGTGAAAGACGAATCTCACTGTGTGTTGTTTGTTCAGTTAAATTGAAAGGCCAGAATAGTGTCGACTTATCAAGTTTAAATTGATATAATTACTCTAACTTTTTGTTATATTAAAACAAATACTTTATTCGTCAATCTATGGTTATACTATATTAGTTATTTAATCTATGGCTATGTTGTCAATGTTAATTGACTTCACTGCCAAACTGACATTTGACACTGGAAACGTTTTAATTTCTGTCTTTGTGTAAGAATTTCACGACTTACACTTTCATCAAAATTATATTTGAAGTTTGTTTAATATATTTCAGTGTCTTTTATATATATTCATATACGCATAATATATTAATATCATAATGTCTAAGAAAAAGGGAAACAAGAAAAATCAAGATTTTGATGATGAGTTTGAGGAAAAAAAGTCAACAACAGCTGGTAGTCACGACTTAACCTCAAAAAATAAAGGAAAAAGTAAAAAAAAGAGTAAAGGCAACGTAGGCGATTGGAGTGAAAGTGGTGATGATGCTCCTGTGAAAAATCAATTGTCGGAAGAAGAAGAAAATATCAAATCAGCCGTAAAGAAGTCACAAAAAAAAGGTAAGGTGAATGATCCTTGTCTAAAATGAGCAAAAATAATGCAATGTTAAGAAATATTTGCATAAGCATTAAGTTTTTCTACGAATAGTTAAAAAATTGTGTGATCGTCTAATTTTATTGTTTATTATTTACACCAATAATGTACATACCCCTATTGTAATGTTTTAATTTGACAGTTTCGCAAAAATAACTGTTTTAGGTAGCATTATGCGTTAAATTTAACTTATTAGACTTTAAGTTATTCGATATTTAGTCTATATTAATCTTTAGAATGAACATTTCACTATTATTATATCAAACTAAAATTTTTGAGATAACTTTAGATTTGTAGTGTCTTAGAATCAACCTTATTGAATAAATTAGCAACATAGTCGTTTTTATAAACATTAAAGTCATGATTGAGTTTTCGGACTGATTTATTTGATTTGTATATAGTTATTTATGCTTTATAAAAGCATAGCCACTATATAGGTATTTGTATTTAGTACTTTATTGATACATTTGATATCAATGTGAAATACACTTTTGTAAAGTTAGTAGTTAAAGAAAAATGCCACTAAAATAATTATTATAATAATATTGGTTATTTACAGTTAAAAATAAGAAAAAGGATGGTGAACATTCTGATGATGAAGATGATAGTAAATCTGTAGTGAGTAATACCACAAGTACTGCATCAAAATCTACGACTAAAGCCAGTAAAAAGAAAAAGGGTATGTATGAATGTTGTGTACATACACAACATTCGAACATGTTTACACATATTTAGTACATTTACTTATGACTTTGCATGTGTGAGTTCAAACACTGCCCACATTGAAATGTTTTTCATTAAAAAAAATCATTGGAATATAATATTACTATATGTCAAGTTATATTATTCATTTTATATTATGTCACGGTTAGTATCATTATATAATGAAAAGTATGTTATCTAATAAGATGTAGTGAAACAAACATTAATATTCTAGTTTAAATTTTTTTAAATCTGAGATAGCCAATATTGTTAGTCAATGTCATCATAATATACAGTCATATATTATGATCAAATGTTAATCTTTGTATATTCAAAACAGCTCAACTAATTTAAAAAAAAAATTCTAAAGTGTATTGTTTGCTCCAAATCGAGAGACATGATGCTTTTATCTCTATAAGATAATATGGATCTGATAGATGGTAGTCTATTGTAATGTATATTATGTATATTATAGTATTTTTCAATTTATTACTTTTATTGTAAGTAGAATGCATTATACTAAATGATCACTCTGTGTATCTGTATTATTGTTAAAATGTTTCAGTGCTATTTTATGAAATAGTAGCATTTATATATTAAGTGAAATATATACACATGACTTTATTTTCAAAGAAATAACAAAATAGAAAGAACAGTTTCCAAATTATATTTTTTTACTTTTTTATATACATACATTTTATATAAGTGAAATGTTGTAACATATATTTATTACAATCTAATAATTAATCATGTATCAACATGTGGAAGATGTATATATATTTATTTGTTTTTTTTTTATTTAAGGTAAAGGTAAAAAAGATGATGACTGGTCTGACGGCAGCGGTGACTTAGAACTGAAGGAAGTGTCAGAAGATGAAGTTGTAAAACCTGTTTCCAAAAAGAAAAGTATGTTTTAATTATTAAGAACATAAGTACAAAGAAGTATATTTAAATTTCACATTAGAATATACAAATATAGTAAATAATCATAACTTAAGTTATAATCACCTTTAGACATACAAAATAGTATTTCACTGATGAAAATATCAGGATAAATTGTTGTCAAATTTACTTCTATTATGTATATCATTGTGATCTGTACTCATATAAAATCATAATATCAATTAGATAAACTGTGGCTATAAATTATATAAAACTTCTATTACAAAATATCTGAATTGGCTTTTTAGACTTTTGATCTCCAATCTAGTATGCTGAGGGCAATGCCATCAATCTATCAAGAATCAAACCCTAAATTTTTTTATTAACTAAATTACATATAGTATTTTATTTTTCTTAGTTACTAGATAAAATAATTAATAATTATGTCATGCAAAGTAAAGCATATATGTAATTATATTTTATTTTCTGGTCACAGCTAAAAATAAAAAGAAAAGTATAGCAGTTGAATCTTCTGATGATGAAGATTATGATGATTCAAAATCAGTAGTTAGCAATGTATCTAGTAATACAGCTAAACCTGCAGCAAAGTCAAAGAACAAAAAAGGTATGTTATAATTTCTTTTGATAGAAATCAATGAAAAGGTAATCAAGTAACATTGAAATTATCATAAAGACACTCTCTAACTAAATTAAATCAGTTACAAGTTGAAACATGTATTTAATCTATTTTTTATTTGTACAACTATTGGGAATCAGTAGCTTGTAAATGGTTAGTTTAATTGTTTTTTTGTTTAAATTATTCATTAAGTTCAATAGAATTTAATGAATAATTACGAATCACGTTTGTTTTTGTTTGAACGATCAGCATTATGATGCCATTTTTAAATCTGTTTTAAAATTTATCTACAAACTATAATGTTTTGAGATTTATTTTAATTATGTTTCAGGTAAGGGTAAAAAAGATGATTGGCCTGATGAAGATAGTGATAAGGAATTAAATATACCATACGACGATGATGATGACCTCCCTCAGCTTCCTGTTAAAAATAAAGGTATGAAAATGATAATTCATTTTTATTCTATTATAATGAACGGTTGTTTACCTATTTAAAATAATAATAATAATGTAACTTATCATAATTACAGGTAAGAATAAAAAAAAGAACAATATAGACGACATTGAAGCAGAACTCAAGAAATTTGAGATTAAAGAGACTGCAGAATCTGAAGAACAACCTAAAAAATCCAAGGTACTTTTGTATACAAAAAATTTGGACCCTTCCATACTATTAGTTGCTAATTTAGAATATAAGATTCTAAATTTGTTTGTCATTTTTCAATCCCTATTTATTTGAGTTTAATATTCAATGATATTCAATGATAATGAACAATTCTTTAAATAAATGCTAATACAATAATAGTAACCATTATTGTAAATTTTACAATAGTATTATTTTTAATACAGGATAAGAAAATTAAAATTAAAGACCAGGATGTTGTATCCGAGGGTAGACATTCGGATGATGAGGCTTCAATGGAACTGGATGATAAGGTAGTCTTCAATATAAATATTCTCAATGCATGATGCTGTAGGATGAAATCTGAATTGATTCACCAAAATTGTTTTTTATTTGTAATTTTGTATTATATAATAATGATAATAAATTTTACAGCCTACTGAATTGCCAAATAAAGAACTTACCGAACCTGCGGAAAAGAAATTAAGTCACAAAGAGAAGAAGAAGCTAAAAAAGCAGCAGGAGTATGAGAAACAAGTGGAACTATTGACTAAGAAGGGTGGTCAAGGGCATAGTGATCTGGATGCAAACTTCACTGTTAGCCAAGCTCAGAAATCTGCTGGTAAAAGTTTTTTTTTTTTTTTACAAATCTATATCTTTAACTATTATTGATTTGTAGTTCATTAGAATTTTTCAGAAAATCAATTTATGTAATGTTTGGTCATAAAAATCCTTTAATCCTTTTACCCTTATTACTTTATGTATATGGTCAAATGACTATAAGGTTTTTTCTGTGTGAACGGAAGTATTCCAAATAACTATTTACTCACAACAATTTTCAATGTTATTTATTGCATTAATACATTTCTGTTTTTCCTAAGATTGACTGGAAAAGAATATATCTAGCATTAAGTCCGCTTTTTGTATCAAACATTCTTTGTAGTGTAGTCAATAAAGAATAAATAAATAAGCAGAGACAGGGACTCTATATATGGATTAATATTAGTATTTCTGCTTTTCTTTTACTTAAATGTTAAATGACTCACTAATTTACTTTTCTATTACGATTTTTAAAATTGATTATGTATTTTTTTTATATAACATAAAATGGGAAACAAACTTATGGCCTCACTTGACGGGAAGTGTTCATTGTAGCAAAACGGAACGAAAATTTATAAATTTGCCTTTAGTCTTGATTCGTCGTGTATCAAAGGTAATGACTGTTATTAATTATAATTTTCTCGTACTATAGGTCAGATGGCAGCACTAGAGAATGCGGTGGACATTAAAGTGGAAAATTTCTCCATTAGTGCTAAAGGGAAGGATTTGTTTGTGAATGCTAACTTGTTGATCGCCAATGGACGTCGGTACGGTCTCGTCGGACCCAACGGTCATGGCAAGACAACGTTGCTACGGCATCTCGCGCAGCGCGCTTTCCCTCTCCCTCCACATATAGATATACTGTTGTGCGAGCAGGAGGTCACAGCCAGTGATAAAAGTGCTGTCGACACGATCTTGGAGGCTGACGTCAAGCGAACTGGTGAGTTTAGTTAACGAATTAGTTTTTATTGTGGATTCACATAGTTCACATACATTTCCGTGTCGATCCCGGCATAGAATGAACTATTTCTTCATTTTTCATGGGTGTCATAAGAGACGACTAAGGGAGGGCGAGGGTTGGGCAGCAGCGTCCCTCTTAAAACATCTGTAAAAGTCTTAATTGCGGTTGCCACCCTGCTTGCCAAGCGTGGCAACTACTGGCAAAACTCCTCTTATGAGGAAGGCTTATGTCCAGCAGTAAACAGTTAATGGCTGAAATAATAATAAAAAAAATCACTTAATAAATATTATATTGTCTGGTTATTTTATTGTAATTTGAATATGAAATTCTTTTACTGTGTCAAATATTATTTTTATTATATACTTTTTTACCCACGGAGTAACTGAGATATATTTACTGATCGCGATAAAATTCTATATATTTCTCCATCTTATATAGTATGTGTCTACCAAATTTCATAGTGATTGGTTCAGCCATTCAGATGCTATAAGGTAAAAAAGAGACAACTCACTTTCATATAGTATATAATATTAGTAAGTATATGTGTTAAATGCTATTTAATAATATTCGTCTGGAAATATAAAAGATGTGAATGGTTCTTCTTAAAACTAAATAATATACTCATTATTACTAATTTGAATTAATCATTTTATGAATATTTTTATAAAGTACAAAAGAGAATAACATGTAAGTATATAATTAAACAAATTTTTGTAAATCTTATTAATATTTTATTTTTTAACATTTTTTTTCTTTTAGAATTGTTGAATGAGTGCAAGCAGTTAGAAATCGAAACGGAAAAAGGAAATCTTAGCAAACAAGATAGGTTGAATGAGGTGAGTAATTGTAATGTTTACTGTATTTACCATAGATACACCATAAATATTTGCAAAGCACCAGAACCATGCATCTACAGAAATGTTTTTCTATCTTTCATATTCACTATACCACAATAAATTATTTCAACCTAATGATGGCAATAATTCATATTAATATTTTATTTCAGGTATATGCGGAATTAAAAGCAATAGGTGCGGATTCCGCCGAGCCCCGCGCTCGTCGTATATTGGCAGGTTTGGGTTTTAGCCGGGAAATGCAGGATCGAGCCACTAAAAACTTCTCTGGTGGTTGGCGTATGAGAGTATCGCTTGCCAGGTAAGTCAAGAGGCCTTAAGACTTAAGAATATATCCGTTAACATGTGACTGGCAAAATTAACATGAAATGGCAACAATTTTTATTGCAATAAACAATTAATCATCTAGTCTTTAAATAATTTTAAAAAGTTAAGGTTGCTGTCTATGGCAAAAGAAACTCGCGTTCCTGAATTTAGATGCTGTTATCATTTTTGCAATGTAAATTTTTTCATTATACTGAAATATTAAAAATTTTTGTAAATGCGCGTCCTTTTCGAAGTTGCTTTTATAGATAAAGGTTTTATGGATTATATGCAATATAATATAATGTATTTATTCTATTCTTACAGAGCCCTGTATGTAGAACCAACATTGTTGTTGCTCGATGAACCGACAAACCATTTAGATCTTAACGCCGTAATTTGGTTAGACAAGTGAGTATGATTTATATGTGTATTATGGAAATAATTTATATAACATCATCATGTTATCGTTTAAATAATGGGACTTCTATTCTAAAATCACTATCACGATAGATCCCAATGATTTGGGTATAATGTCAAGACCAATAATAAATAAATTCTCTGATCATTGTAAACAGCGTCAGTGAACCAAAATAATCGAAGAGTCTTGGAAGAGGATGATATATCTATAATGTACATAAATGATTGAATTTAATATTGATATATTTTTTCAGTTATCTGCAAGGTTGGAAAAAAACACTCTTAGTGGTATCTCACGACCAGTCATTTTTAGATAATGTTTGTAATGAAATTATACATTTGGACCAACAGAAGTTGTTCTATTACAAGGGTAATTATTCAATGTTTAAGAAAATGTATGCACAAAAGAGGAAAGAAATGATAAAGGAGTATGAGAAACAAGAAAAGAGATTAAAGGATTTGAAGGCTCATGGACAGTCAAAGAAACAAGCAGTAAGTTTTGTATACCTATATCTTATTGGGAATATCATAAAAGATAATAAATATAATTTGTAATGTAAAAGTGATAATGCTTACTTTAGACATTAATATTAAAAAATGCGAAAGTTTGTAAGGATGGACATATGTGTACTTATTACTTTTTACACAAAAATATTGAACAGTTTTTAATGAAATTTGGTATTTGTGGTAGGATATATCCTAACTTAGCATATAGGATACTTTATGTACTGATTCACGCTTAAAGCTGCGAGATACATTTAGTGAATAATAAATACCAAATAATACACAGACTATACTGTATATTTACTTTTAACTTCTGTCTTCAATAATTTTTTTATTAGTTATTTGTGTTTTGTAGGCCAAAGAGACCTACAGAGCACTGGCTATAGCATTATTTGACCGTTATGGACATCAAATCATGGGTACTTACATATAAATATTTTTTTTTATTTATTATATTGAAACTGTGGTAAACGGTGTTGATAGCAAATTTACTCAACGTTTTCTTTGATTAATATTATGTATTATTCTTTATTTTGTCGTTGTTAGTTTACCCAAATAAAAAAAAACAAATACAATCATATTCACAATCGACTGTGTTTTATATAATAGGAGAAAAAACAAAAGGACGCCCTGACTCGCAAACAAGAAAAGAATCGCAGCAAATCTCAGCGCGAAGAGGCCGAAGAGAACTCTGCGCCGGTGACGTTGCTGCAACGGCCCAAGGAGTATATCGTCAAGTTCAGCTTCCCGGACCCTCCGCCTTTGCAGCCGCCTATACTTGGCTTACACAGTATGTTCTATTTTTTTTATATTACACATATTACAATTATTTTTTTTATATGTCTAGAAATAGCAGCGAGCAACTCATCTGTAAATCGATTAAATAGGAACTAAGAGAGGATAAGTCCTCTTTCTTTTATTTGGAGTTAGTTATGTATTAAGGGTACTTCCTTCATCTAAAAAAGTATATGTACATTTTTTATGTTGATCGATTTATTGATTTAAATAGCATATTAACTTTGACAGATGTGGATTTCAACTTCCCCGGTCAGAAGCCGCTGTTCAAGGATGTAGACTTCGGTATAGATCTTAATTCCCGCGTGGCCATCGTCGGACCTAATGGTGTCGGTAAATCTACCTTCCTAAAACTGCTCGTTGGTGAACTGAGTCCAATTCGTGGTGAATTAATTAGGAATCATAGATTGGTAAGTTTGTAGTTTTGTAATGCTATACTATTGACTTGTTTATAAAACATGACACCTGCAATAAACCAATATCAAGTAGTGTTTTGATACTTTTTAATATTAAAAATTTGAAAGAAAGAGATGATGTTTAAATATTTAAAATATTAGATTAGTTCGTTTTAAACTTTCGCGTTGTTTACACATATTCTAAATACACAATCGGGTCTTAACGTGATGAAAATTTACCTTTGTAGGTAAATAGTACATACATACTCGCTTCTTTATTGTATTTAAATATTAGATTCATCATCATCGTTATATCAACCTTTAACTGGTCACTGCTGAACATAAGCTTCTCCCTTGGGGGGTTTTGCCAGTAGTTGCGACGCTTGGCAGGCGGATTGGCAACCGCAATTAGGTTTTGGAGACGTTTTAAGAGGGACGCTGCTGCCCATCCTTCGCCCTCTCTTAGTCGTCTCTTACGACACCCACGGGAAAGGAAGGGATGGTCTATTCTATAACGAGACCATACGGCCATTAGATTATTAGATGAAAATATAGTTTTGAGTAGCAACATTCACTCTTGTATGAACACGACAATATTGTACAACATAATATTAAAAAAAAAAAGAAAACTAATATTTTTAACACAGTGGAGTAACTTCACTACTTATAAGTTGCTTTGTTGACTGACATTTATGTTTATTTGTTATTACTTACTGCACTTCCATAGCATTTTTTTAAACTTTGGATTTTCATATAAATGATTTTGACTTCAGAGGATTGGTCGCTTCGATCAGCATTCGGGTGAGCACTTGACAGCTGAAGAGTCGCCCGCGGAATATCTCCAGCGGCTGTTCGGACTTCAATACGAGAAGGCGCGTAAGGCCTTGGGCACGTTCGGGCTGGCCAGTCACGCGCACACCATCAAGATGAAAGACCTCAGCGGAGGGCAGAAGGCTCGGGTCGCCTTAGCGGAGTTAACTCTGATGGCGCCTGATGTTGTTATATTGGTAAATACTTATTTATTTATTTCTAGAAAGATGCTTTTTTCTTAACTCGGCAAACGTTGTTCTGTTTTAATACCGCCACATATTGGCAAAATTTTTTCTTAACAGGATAAAAATTATTTATCTCTTAATGAATTATACTATACATATTTACAAAATTTCTTATATATATATATATATAATAAATTACAATCATTGTTATACAATAGGTTACAATATTTAATAATAATTATTATTAAATATTGTATATTTTATATAGATTATAACAGAAAAGGGCATATTCCTTTTTAAAAGGCTGGCAGCAAAGCGGCTATGTCTTTGGTGTTTTTAGTGATCATGGGCGGCGGTAGTCACATATTTATAGATATATATAGAGTATAATAACCATCAGGTGAGAATTATACATGAAAATTTATCGCATGATCGCCATCTTGCAACCCTCGAATATAAAAATCGCGATTAAAAAACAGGGGTTGATCCGTAAAAACTGTTTTATATAATTATATATAATAATAAAACTTGTTTGAAGAGTTTTGGAGATTAGCATTAACATATCTTATGTGTTTATACAATGTATGCAGATTGTATGACTGCCTATTTTTATTTTTAAAATAACTTACAATTTACATGAAAAGGTTTTTGCTAGAAGAAATCTCTTATTAGAGATAAGCTCGCCTTTGTACATTATGTTTCAAATGAATTGTGGTTAACATTGTATTTTGTGTACAATAAAGAATAAAGAATGAAAGAATAACGAGTATCGTAATGTCGTAAGATTTTTTAAAATAAAATGTAAGCAGTTTGATACATTGTTGATATATAATATAATGTTGTAGGATGAACCGACAAACAATTTGGATATAGAGAGTATAGATGCGTTAGCGGAGGCCATCAACCAATACAAAGGTGGCGTAGTGATAGTGTCTCACGACGAGCGTCTCATCAGGGAGACTGACTGCGCGCTCTACGTCATAGAGGACCAGACAATTAATGAGGTATGATACTATCACACGTTTGAAACTAGTTATTACCAAATCTTTTTTTTTTATACAACTTAGAATGGCAAACAAGCTGACGGCCCACCTGATGGAAAGTGGTAACCGTTACCTATAGACATGAGCAGTACCATGGAAATAACAGAGTATACTGTTTTGCCCATGATACTCCCCATGCGTTGCCATTCCTGAGGACTCAGGTGTTATTTCTCTGTACTCAGTAAATTCACGCCATATCCTTCAAACCGAAACATAGCCATGCAAACACAACTGCTTCACGGTTGAAACACGAATGGGACAGAGGTACCCAAGCAATCGACTTTTGTACAAAGTCTCCCTCTGGTAATGCAGAAGTTAAGTAAGACTTAGTGCGGAAAGAGGAGTCAAATTTACCTTAACTACATAAACTTTGCTTTTTTTATGTACGTGGAAGTGACAAACAAGTTGATAATTTACTCTATGAAAAAAAGAAACTGTCGCCTATAGACATAAATGGTATGATGGACGTCACAGAATACACTGTGACACTCATAATAACCTTCAGTACAGTCATGTCAGTGCCATATTTCATTTTTTAAACCGAAATAGTCACGCAAGCATTGCTACATGGCTGTGTTTCTGTTTGAAATAACATGCAAACAACTTTTGTACAGTTTCTCTTTTTTTTTTTCATATATTTGGAAGCGTATCGGTTAAACATACTGCCTCACTTTCCATGTAGATTCTCACAATATAAATTATTGTATATATTCATAAGTATTTTTATATTAGCCTCAGTGTTTGTATGTCTGTGATCCGGCTTAGCTTTGCATGGGTAATTAGAATTTACGAAAATAATATAGTTTATGTGATTTCATAAGTAAAAGATTTTTTAAAATCGGTTAAGAAGTATCTATGTTTATACGTTACTATCAAACAAAACTTTTCTTTTTATAATGTTAGTATAGATATATTAAAAAAAATATATATATTCATCAATTGAGACCAATTGAGATTTGTCGTTGTATTATAATATCCAGATACTATTTGGTTAAAAAAAAACCAAAAGGTTAAAACGCCATTTTACACGTATCATAATAGGATTTATTTTGTATAATCTGGTGAAGTAAGAGTAAATATACTAGCCCATTGATAGCACGAACACACTCAGTATGAGAAGCCTACTTAATTCGGCGAGTTATCCAAAGCATATCCTATTACGATTCATCTAAAGTGGGTTTTTTAATTTCTAAGGTCGCTGCAATGTGTTTTCCTTTTTAACTCTCTCTGAGTTACTTTCATGAAGTCTACAAAGATTATTTATTATCTTCCCAACTTGAATTTGATTTTGTATATTTTTATATTTTTCGGTTTCTAGGTCGACGGCGATTTCGACGACTACCGCAAAGAACTATTGGAGAGTCTGGGTGAAACGATCAACTCACCGTCTATCATTGCTAATGCGGCTGTACAGCAGTAAACTTCGTATATATACAGAGTGTAAGGGGAACACATTAGAAAATATTCGAATTTGTATAATATGTATGGGGGAATTTTCTTTTTAATCGACCCTTAAAATAAAAGATCTCTATTCGATTGTATTTTTGTGTGTATGTTATGCGATATCTTCGCGCATTGTGAATTGATTGTGAATAGTTTTTTAATGGTATGCCCCCGTGTTTTTTTATTTAAATAACTTTATTGGTCGGAAAAAATGGACTATTTTCTACTATCTTTAAGAGGGACTGGCCTTATACAAATCAGAATTATTCTTCTTTTAAAAAAATATTTTTTTTCTTTTAAAAATTCTACTAATACGATAAATGAAATTTATAAATAAATTTTATTAATGCTTAAATAGTTGAGTGTATTTGATAGGATTTGGTATACCAAAGGACCATAATTATCTTAGATTAACATAGTAAAATTTTTATGGTAATTTATGTGCAACAACCGCAGAATACAGCCAATTATATTTTACAAAGTGGATTTTAGTTAACAATTGTTTCTAGTGGGCAATAAATATAATAATTTACTTTTCACAAGTTCTCCTTACATAATGTATAGTATCTCGAATGTTTACTAAACATATTCCGTCAAAGTAACTACTCTCTATCAACGCTATAGTATTTTAACAATAGGAAACAATTGAATATTTTGTTTTATTTGTACTATTTAATTTTTTTATTCCACAAATAAATTTTAATATATTCAGTATTTAGAATTATAGTATACTTATACATATACTTAAAACAAGCAACGTCATTGATGTCTTTACTTTGCAATCGAATTATTGTTATAACATTCTCATTAAATATTATTGTAAAATATGTAAAAGTATTTATATTGTATAATAAATTTTGTTACAAGATCATTACTTGATTTTCATTATAAACCCTTCCTTTTTATATTTAAGTATACTAAGTAGATATCTATTATTGATAGTTATTATCTATAAATGTGTCTGTAAGAAATATCAATAATTTTTATAATATCACGTAATGTGATCATGTCTTCCTGAGCGAACACAAATATATTCCATCAATGCGATATTTGAATTATTACATCAATGTACCAAAAAGACAATATTTTACTCTCAATGGCTGTCCGCACTATGTTTGAAGGATTCTAGATTATAACCCTTAAATACCTGAAGTTTCATATTTTAAATCCGGGTTGTAAATCGCATTGGGCGCCTACAATCGATTTTATTTCAATATTTGGCTGTTTACATGTTACCAAATGTTTTTTTCAAAATAAATATAGAGAAATATCGTTTTAATTTTATACTATTTTTCCCCATTAGTAAACACAGTAAAGGGTACACCTATATATCTTTTAATTTGATTTAAAAAACCAGGCTTTTAAGGGATAAGATAACACATGCTTGTTATAATACAATTATGTTCAACTTCGAATTCCAAACACGTAATAAAAAACGCAACTTTAAATCTGAAGTTGTAAATAAGTAACACTATAATTATCTATTTGGGTAGGAACATTTTTAACATTTTATCGATACATTGTAATCTTCAACATATCATTTTCAGTTGCCCATCGAAAAAAAAAATACAAAAATATGGCAGTGAAATTACTGATTATTGTGCCTGCGCTAACCCCGCCTGCGCTAACGGAATACGCTGGCGGAGCACCAGTGAAGGGTGAAAGATGAGAATGAAAACAGGCCAGTTAGCCCATCATGATGAATTCATCAGGAATTACCCATGATAATTTCCAGGGAGAACCGCGAGGAGGTCGACCTGATTGGGTATATTGCTAGCAATGGGATTCTCAGTCTCCATTACTAACAATCCCTTTCCCCCTAATGTGATATTTCTGTTAGGATTGCAGGCGTGAGAGCCCTTTACTATCAGGTAAACAATATTAGCCGCTGTCGTTATCGAAAAATAACGGGATTTATCAAAATCACATAAAAATTATGATATAGACGTTGATAAATCGATGTATATAATAAATAACTGTAATAAAATTCGACACAGGTATATCCTACTTGGTATCCAACATGGACGACTGTATGTATTTCTTTATTACAATAATTTATTTAGCTTTTTACAATTTTTAATATATAGCTGGAGTCCAACGCATCTTACGTTTTTTTTTCTGTACTGTATTTTATACATAAAATTTTTTCCATAATTTTTTAGAACTTTTACATATTACAATGAACGTCCAACGTGGGTTCATATATGTTCTATACATAACCGATTCTGTAACCAAAATTATAATGCCAAAACAACTATGTACTCCCATACTAATTTAAAATAGCTAATTATAATGGTCGAGATGATATTTTAAAAGGCAAAGGGGGTTATAATTGGTAGAATACTCTTTCAATAAGTTACCTATTTCACTTGTTATTGTTTGAAATATTGTTCTTTAGAATCACTTTAAATATTTCATTGGCACCCAACGTGGGACAAAGTATATATAAGTACAAAATGGTTTAATGAAGATGAATTTATTTATAAATGAAATTTTTCAATGTCTTTTTACAATTTAGAAAATGTCCTTGTTAATAATGCACTGTCATTATATCCAATTATTGAAAGTATAAATTCAATAAGGAAATTTAATGGTCGAGAGATGAGCACCAGTGTCTCTCTTAAAACATCATCAAATTCTTATTGTGGTTCCCAACCCGCCTGCCAAGCATGACAACTACTGGCAAAACACCCCCTGATATGATGATGATATATGATGCATTGAAATCATTGGAGATTCGCGACTGACTCTTGGCCACAACAGAATATCAGTGTTTTGCTCTTTTGAGGGCAAAGCAATAAACTGAGTTGTGACCATTTTGTGTTACTATGGCACACGCATGAAGGAAGGGAAAGAAAGGAAGTTGTTGGTTTATATATTTTGCTTTTTGTTTTGTTGCTTTTTTATTTTCAATTTTTTATTTCTTTTACTGTGTATTATGTGTATGTTTATATTGTAATTTGTGTGCTGTAAGTAATGTAAATAAATTATCTATCTATCTTATCATATTTCAGAAAAATTGATAATGATCAAGTTTCATTTCAATTTTGGAGGCTTCGGAACTCCTCTTTATAAAAAAACTCGGTTATAAAAAAGCAAAATTGTAATTGCAGTGCGAATGTTGAATATTGTTGCAATTATTATAAATGTAACATATTCCAATAATATTTTGTACTAGGGATTCTAATATTTTTCTAACTACGTTATTATGCGTTTATTTCAACCTCAGCTTGCAAGGACTAATAATTATAAATTATCGGACAATTTAGTATGGGTCGTATGGGGCATAAAATGCGCCACCCCTTCTTTTCTTGAAACCACCAAAGCCTAACTGGCGTTATCAACCTGCCTATGAAGCGTGGCAACTACTGGCAAAACTCCTCAAGCGGTTGGTCTATGTTCTACGGTGGATAGTTAACGGTTGATATAGTATATGGTAGACAATTTAGTGTGTTCAAATCATAGACGTAGTATAACGTACTTGGTTTATAATCTAAGATTTAAATAAAAAGGTAGTTTTTTTCTATGTGACCTATAACCACGTATATATTTATTTAATATCACAACAGGTGAAATTCCTTTTACTAAATAGCTTTTTTCATGTCCATTCTTCTATCTGTGGTAACTTCTCAGTAAGTAGATTGCTACTTACCTCGCGATTTGGTAGCTCCCAAGCTTTTTCCTCAATTTGCGTGCAGCCTTTCGCCCCTCCATTACAAACTTCTCAGCTTCATTAGAGGATTTAAAACGCAAATTTCCTTTTCGATTGTAACTTTTTTCCACTTCTTGAAAGGAAGCTTCTTTTAAACTTAAAAGAAAATTAGTATCCTTCCCTTTGAGGGGCGGGAATGTGTTTTAAGAGATTCGTTTGGATATTCGACTCAATCTGCTAGAATAATTATATTTTCGTTGTTGAGTAAACAAGTTAGCGTAGTTACGTGGATTTTTTACTTGCACAGAAACATTGTGGTTTATAAATTACTTTTTTATTACTTACTTACCAACTATAATGATAGACTAGCAGTGATTACAGTTTCATTTGTATACCTAGTGTGGACTTCGAATTTTCGATTTTAAAAGACAACAATAGTATATCCTTTCATAAACATTTATCGCTACGAACGCCTGTGTCAGGGACATCTCGTGTACCTATGTGTTATAGAAGAGTATAACAGGCAAACATATACAAACGAACGTATATGTGTGCCTACACATATAAAAACGAGATTAAATAATACATAATGTACAATGTATCCTACAGTTTATTATAGGTACCTATCATTATCATATCAGCTGTTATGTGTCCATTGCTGAACATAGGCCTTTTCCATACATTGACATAAGGAACGGCCCTGAACCATCAGCATCCACTTCATCAACTTCATCAACATCAATGCATTTGAGGTCGTCACTTCATCTAGTGGGGGGACATCCTACTCTGTGATTGATCGTACGGGGTCACCACTCAAGAACTTTTTTTTCCTATCGGTTGTCGGTTCTTCGAGCTATGTGACCAGGCTATTGCAACTTCAAATAATAGTTACAATAATGAGTATAAATTCTACATAACTATGGTATATATTTATATTAGGTGTAATACAGTGCTATTTATACGTTGGTAGGTATTTATATAGAGATACGTATAATAATATTATCTATATAGGTATAATCTTACCTACTTACAATATCATATTAAATAAATATAAACTTAAAAATAATAAGGTTTATGTTTGTTTCACAATAAATCGTTATTACATATTAAAGTAAATACCTAATTTATCTAATATTATTAGTAAAATTTCCAATTACTTAATACACCACAAGCAGATTTCCTTTACGCATATTCGGCGACCTAAACGCGTTATAGCGAATTATCCTTTAACGAGCTAACAATGAGAGGTTTGCCTATCACCCCAAGAGCCTATTACTGTCTAGAGAGCAATCCCGCCCCTCCTTACATTACTTCTAACTCCTGCAACCCTGTCACACTCATTCGATGCCGCTTTCTAGGCAAGTCAATACGAGAGAACAGCATCCGTTATTGTGACAAAGTATTATGCCCCCCG